CAATCATTTAGTATGATAATTTGTATTAAAATGACAAAGCCATTGTTATTTAATCATAAAATTTATATTGTGTTATAAAATCCAGTGTTATAATTGGTTAGTATGTGTAAATATATTTTGAAACCTAATATTATATTAACTATATACGTTGATATACTTTTTCTTATCCCACATGATTAAAAAGTTTGTATACCATTAGACCTTTTCAAATACAACATGTAACGTGTCATGTTAGTTATAATCACTAGCTACCAACTTTATTACTTACTGATCTAATGACTTATAAATAATTCGACGGATCACAAAGTCTACAATCCAACAATGCATCATTTATATTTGTCCTATCAATTTTTTTTTTAATAGCTGGATAATGACTTACTAAGTGTCTAAGTATTAAGGTTTAGTAAGAGAGCGATGAGGTGGGGACCAAAACACCTCCCATACATTGAAGGAAGGAAGTCACAGTCAAAATTCATAAGCACAATAATAACGAAATCTCATGTATTTATTTAACCCTAGTTTACCAATCACAATCCAAAGCTAGACTCTCTCACACACGCATCCAAATTAGTTTTATATAAAAACCAGCAAACCCCTTTTTTCACTTTCCAAATTTCACTTCCTCCAACTAAGAAAAAGAGAGAAGCTAGCTACAGCTAAGAACAAGACTAGGTAAAGAGAAGACAGAGAAACCCTACAAAATCAAAAGAAAGAAGAGACGAAAATGAAGAAGATCCAGCTTGGATTTCGTTGTTCATCATAACTACTCTCTTCCTTTTTCTAGTTTCATAAAAAAAAGGAAGAAAATAAGAGTCAACTTAAAGATCAGCTCTCAGATCCATCAGTCTCTTCTCTCTTTGATCTAATTCCACCATTGAACCATAGATCATGGATCCAGTGCAATCTCATGGATCACAAAGCTCTCTCCCTCCTCCTTTCCACGCTAGAGACTTTCAATTACATCTCCAACAGCAACAACAACAACAGCAAGAGTTCTTCATCCAACATCACCATCAACAAAGAAACCAAACCGATCAAGATGAACAACAAGGGGGATCAGGAGGAGGCTTGAACAGACAAATCAAGATGGATCGTGAAGAGACAAGCGATAACATGGACAACATAGCTAACAACAGTGGTAGCGAAGGCAAAGACATAAACCTTCACGGCGGTTCCGGAGAAGGAGGAGGTTCCGGTGGAGATCAGATGACAAGAAGACCAAGAGGAAGACCAGCTGGATCCAAGAACAAACCAAAACCACCGATTATCATCACGCGGGACAGCGCAAACGCGCTTCGTACCCATGTGATGGAGATCGGTGACGGCTGCGATCTAGTTGAGAGCGTGGCGACTTTCGCACGCAGACGCCAACGCGGCGTTTGCGTTATGAGCGGCACTGGAAATGTAACCAACGTCACCATACGTCAGCCTGGATCTCCATCTCCTGGCTCGGTAGTTAGTCTACACGGAAGGTTTGAGATTCTCTCTCTTTCAGGTTCTTTTCTCCCTCCTCCTGCTCCTCCTACAGCCACCGGATTAAGCGTTTACCTCGCCGGAGGACAAGGACAGGTGGTTGGTGGAAGCGTGGTGGGTCCTTTGCTGTGTGCTGGTCCGGTGGTGGTTATGGCGGCGTCCTTTAGCAATGCGGCGTACGAGAGGCTTCCCTTAGAAGAAGATGAGATGCAAACGCCGGTTCACGGAGGAGGAGGAGGAGGTTCGATGGAGTCGCCGCCGATGATGGGAGGACAACTGCCACATCAGCAACAGCCTATGTCGGCTCATCAAGGTTTGCCACCTAATCTTCTTGGTTCGGTTCAGTTGCAGCAGCCGCAGCATGATAACCAGTCCTATTGGTCAACGGGACGACCATCGTATTGATCATACACATATAGCTAACGAAGAGTCATGAGTTTAGTGGATATATACATATGATTGAAAGAGGTTTAGCTAATGAACAAATAAGACTATGAATTTAGTCGACGATGATCATGTGGTGGACAATAAGGATTCTAGTCGGGATTCACTACATTTGGGTCAACATTCATATGATGAATCAGTTTTTTTTTCTTTTATTTTGGTTCGTTTTAGTTCGTAGATCTTTCTTTGTTGATTTGAGTAACATTTTTCTTTGTTTCTTGGTTTTTCTTTGATGGTTTTTGCTTCATTTTTGTTGCTAGTTTACATTTGCTTTGTGTTGTTGGCTCTATTGATGTTTTTTTATTTATAAAATCAACATTTCATGGTGTTTTATTATTTTTTTCTACAATGCGTTATGCGTATATAGTTCGTATCACACATTTGTTCTTTTTCTTGAATTGAATCGTATAACACATAACACATTCTTAATACGAAACTATTGGGATACATAGGAACTAATTAATATATCCGCAGTCATGTTATGTTTATGCTTTTACAGGCTTTCGTATATATTTCCGCAGTCATGTTAAGTAGCTTAGCTTCAACAAAATTCTGATTATAAAAACTAGAGACATAAATTTAGCTAATTAGTATATAAGTATATCTGTATAATTTTACACCACATATAACACATGACTACATATATTACTATTAGCATATTTATTTATATAACTCGGGATGATTAAATATTATCTATGTCAACGTGGTTTTCATATGCAGTTATGCATAGATTGTACGATATTACTACATTGTTTCTGTTGAAGTAACTAAAAAGTTATAATTAAGAACTTTCCTAAACTAGAAAGGCATGTGTGTTGGTAATTATTATTGGTGTGAAAAGCATTATTGATCTTGTCTATAACGAAAAACATTTTATAATGAGAGGTTTTCTTCTCGTCCTTAATCATTACGGATAATGATCACCTTAATTAGTCGTCATTACATGGCTGTGAAAAAAGTCAAAAAACATACTACAAAACATTATACAGTAGCCATTAATAAACACATTAACTATACAAACGCTACTCTATATTTTGTTATATAACTGTGTAAATGATAAGCCCGTAAACAAAACAAAAAAAGCTGCAATACCGATGGCTTAAACTGGATGCTAACGATTTACGAGAAAATAAAGAGGTATGGGTACTTTATCTGCATGTTCTCTCTATACATAGTGCAATGCCATCAACAAATCTTTGTGTATATCTGTGCATGAGACAGTGCAAATACGTTGAATGCATACGTATACATGTATGTATATGTGGATAAGGAGACAATATATGTGTTAAACTGTTGCGTCACACGTGCACTTGCTCGTGAATACCATGTTCCTTTCGGGACTACCAGCTACTTCTACTCATGTTGTTTATATGCATATATAAACTCTAATGCATCAAAAAAAAGTATTGAAAGAGTTCGTTCTTTTGATTCCCAATCAATACTCACTCCAAGACACAAAGCAGGACTAAATCATAATCATATCAAGCAATGTTTTACCACCAAAGAGATTGCAGATTCCTTATATTCGCAATTGATCCATCAATAACCATAAAAGCAGAGAACCTTGAAGGTTTTATCTGCGGTGTTAAAGGCAGACAGCAGACGACCATTTTTCAAATAATAGCATGCTTTGCAAATATATATTCTTTTAAAAAAATTCATATGTTTAAAATTGAGAATTCCATACTAGGTACTTTATAAAATGTGTATAAAACCGGTTTTAATTAAAAAAAAAAAATAAAGGAGAAAAAAAAACACTAAGAGTAAAAAATGAAAATGTGTTTTCAAGTCTAGACCAGCAACTGTAGTCATGGTTGGAATGAACAAACAAGACTAACATGATCCTCTTCAATTAATATCAGTGAGAGATTTTATGCATCCAAAGCTGCTCTAATTTCATGTTCTATTTTGAATATTATTGGGATATTGTAGAGGTTAATGGGCCATGAGGCCTTAATCTCTAGAGAGTGTGTAAGATAAAGTCCCACATCGGAAAGTGGGAGGGACCTTGAATAATATATAAGGGACTGAGGCCACTCTACCTATTGCCAATTGGTTTTAGGTTGGATGCCAAGGAAACTTAACATGGTATCAGAGCAATGATCCCCACACTCTCATGACCCGGCCCAGAAAGGGCCCGACCCCCTGACCCTAGGATTGATGGTCTGCGAGATTAATGGCTAGAAGGGCCATTATCTCGAGGGAGGGTATTGGGATATTGTAGAGGTTAATGGGCCATGAGGCCTTAATCTCTAGAGAGTGTGTAAGATAAAGTCCCACATCGGAAAGTGGGAGAGGACCTTGAATAATATATAAGGGACTGAGGCCACTCCACCTATTGCCAATTGGTTTTAGGTTGGATGCCAAGGAAACTTAACATGGTATCAGAGCAATGATCCCCACACTCTCATGACCCGGCCCAGAAAGGGCCCGACCCCCCGACCCTAGGATTGATGGTCTGCGAGATTAATGGCTAGAAGGGCCATTATCTCGAGGGAGGGTATTGGGATATTGTAGAGGTTAATGGGCCATGAGGCCTTAATCTCTAGAGAGTGTGTAAGATAAAGTCCCACATCGGAAAGTGGGAGGGACCTTGAATAATATATAAGGGACTAAGGCCACTCCACCTATTGCCAATTGGTTTTAGGTTGGATGCCAAGGAAACTTAACAAATATTACCCATCCAATTGGGTTAGTTTCGGTCATAAATAGAAGATTTTCTGTCAAGAAAAGCAGAACCAAAGATGATCAAACAGATCACTCAGACAAGAAACACAAATTAAATCAAGAACCAAACTTTCATCGGTTCACTTTATTATGGAACCAAATTTCATTTTCTTTTCCCCTTGGAAACAATCCATTTTAAACTATCCAACAAACTCCAAATCGATTTCAAATACAATTGAGTTGGAAACAAACCCCCAAATCCTTCAAAGTTTTCTCAGAACCTTTGAAGTTTATCAGCCTTAACCACAGGATTGGCTTTCGCAATCGCTCCACGTCCGACTTCTTTGAAATCAAAGCTGCAATCATGTCTCTCCGGGTACCGATGCTCGCCGCAGAAAGTGCTCCCACATTTGCACTTAAACCCAATATCCCAACCTTCCTGTTACAACACAAACACCGGTCGGTCTCGATGGCTCGCTCTCCTCAGTAACCGGAGCTGGAACTGCTTCTTCCGTTTCTTCTTCTACTACTGCTGAAGACGGCTCAGTCACAACAGAAACAGCTTTTTCTTTTTCCGGCTCCGATGATTTCACCTTTAAGAGACTACTACTACGAGGAGGAGATGATGATTTCACGTTGAATGATTTCTCAACAACAGCTTTTGCAACAGCTGTTTGTGCTTCCTCTGCACATATGCTTCTGTAACATTTCGAGCATAGGTCCATGTTTGATGCTGACCCGAAGAAGCCACATCCGTTTGCACATAGCTTTGGCTCTGTTGATTGCGTGAAGCTCGTGCTATCGTTTTGTTCAGACCCCATACTCTGTTTGTTTCTGTACATGTCCGAAATGTCAAAAAAGAATATAGATTCCTGAATGTCAGAAACATCTTATTAAGGTTGTCGGATTCGGAGAATATTCAAAGTACAGCATTGACTTTATCCGTTTTCTGACCCCAAAACATTAATTCGACATATGTAAAGTTTGTTTCAGCTTCCATTAGATCAATTCAGTTACCAAATTTCCAATACACTAGACACAAAAGGTTATATTACAGATCGGAGAATACAATCAAATAAACCAATCAATCAATCAAATCAAACAAGAGAAAACAAAGGGGATGGGTGGTGAATTTTACCTGATTAGAAAAATTTGATTTATATACAAATTCGCAAGATGATTCTGATCTGTCTGTATGAAGAAAATTATCAAGTAATCTTCGTAAGATGTATTTTTTTCTATTTGGTTTGTTCTTAATCGATAAGAATTCAGAACGAAGAAGCTTTCGTTTTCGAGAAAGAAACAGGAAAAAAGGCAAACACGTAACTATAGAGGATGATACGTGTTACGTGTAAATTATGGATTTTACTTTTTTTCTTTTGTTATTTTGCCAGGTGGAACTTTCTTCTACACACTCGTTTTACACCTTCGTATAATATTAGCCGTTCGATTCTTAAGCCGACTTAATCTAACGCTGCTAGTTTATTATCATCGGAAAAGGTATTATTCGGAATATCTCCAAAGTTCTGAGGTTAATTTAGGATTTTGATCACATATACGTGAATTAGTTTCTCTGTTTTTTTGCAATTTAAGTTTTCCTCTGTTTTTTTTTTTAAATGTTTATAAAATTAATTTCCAAGTTTTTATAGCGAATAACAGTATAAAATTATAAAATTTCCAAGTTTTTGAACAAAGGGTTATACAGTGTCTAGTGAATCATACAGTAATTATCGAACATTATATGAGTGAAGCCTTTTTTATGTTTTACCTTGAGAGAGTTACGCTACTTGGCGCCACCAACACCTATCAAAATTATAATGGAATAATGTTTTTGACTTTTATATGAAAACATATGGACTGTCAACATTGAACAATCAGAAAATAAAAATGATATTAGAGTACTTAATAATTAAATTAATTAGAAATAGATATATTATTGTAACTTGTAAATAAACAATTAACTTATACTTAAAAAGAAAAGCAATGTCAATAAATTTATTTACAAAAATAAGTATAACATAAGAAAACTATAAGCAAAATATAAGCAAATATTATCATATTTAAACATAAAAGATTTTGACTTCAAGTTTTTTGGACTTTTTGTTTAAAAAAATTGTAATTGAAGATTTTGTACACTTATGGTGAAACTCTGCCATATATTACACAAACTTTTGAGCTTACTTTATGTATTTATATGGTTTGTTTGTGGTTGCTCTTATCAGTTAAGGCTGTTTCTCAGAATTTTCATTTGAAAGTATTTTGAGCATTTTTCACAATCAAACAGGCACCTTAATGTATTTTTAGTTGTCTTTCTATCGCCAAATATGAAGAATAACATCGCAAAGGGAGTCTTTGGAGATAGTCCTGACTATGAGTTCGACAAGTCAACCAGCTTCTGGGATGAGATTCTTTGGGGAGGCGCTTGGATATATTATGCTACTGGAAATATAACTTATCTTGAGCTAGTTACAAGTCACGAGTTGGCCACACGTGTTAATGCCTTTGGAAATAACCCTGACTATGGTGTTTTTAGCTGGGACAACAAACTCCCTGGAACTCAGGTTAGTAATTAGTCTATGAGAACTTATTGTGCTCTTAGTTGCCTTTCTATCACAAATATGAAGAATAGCATCGCAGAGAGAGTCTTTGGTAATCCATATCCTCAAGGCGCATCCAGCAATAATGCTCGTTGCGAACAACACGTCCCTGACCTGTTGCGACCTGTGGAAATAGTATAAAGACAGAATCTAGATTTTAAATATTAACTCAGCATATAGCAAATTTCTGTCTAAAACACTTATGATTTTACCTAAGACATTTTGGAAAACTTTGTGATAAATATAGATTGCCTTTGAATTGATGATTAATTATCACAACTTGCGATGTTGGGATTCTATCACTTTTTTGTTGCCTACTTGAATCAAATAACCTGTATATTAAAATCTAATAATATGATATCTGAAACTTTAATACATTGTTCAAAGAACTACATATATTTGATGACAAATTCTAAAAGTCCGTTTTTTCTACGAATAATCTCCTAAACTGAATTCAACTAAAACAAACCAAAACTACAACTATATAACCATTTCTTCAAAACCGTTTAAGCAAAATTGAACGATGTATATGTATATCTCTCTGTGATGTTTGTGAATATTAATCTATTTATAATCTTTTATCGGCTTGACGGCTTCAGAAATTGTAAAATATTAATTATATAAATTCCACGTGTACTTAATCTAGTTCGCAATTACTTTACGCGTGGCGTGGTGGGTAATAAATCAAGGAGAAAACTTTCTGAGTGCGAAAATTGCCAATTTTCTTTTTCTTCGATTGAATTCACGCGAAGGTCAAATTTTCCGATCACTGGATTTTCCCGGTTTATCGGGAAATCCAGTCTGATTAGGGATTTACCCAGTGTAGCTCTCTTTCGGTCTCTGGATTACATTCCGATGACTTCACCGGAGGACGATAAGGCGGTTCTAGAGCTGCGGCTGAGAGTCGGCGAGAAAGGGCCTTATGTGAAACTGAGCGAGGGTTTAGAGCAACACGGTCAAGAATCAGAGCCGGATAAGGAAGACGAGGCTGCTTCGTCGTATCCGGTTTGGTTCTGGGTCAAGCTTGCTCTTTTATTCACCTTTCTTGTTGCCTTGGCCGTCGTCGGTTACATCTGGGTCGGTCCCTTAATCATGGATAAGGTTTGATTTGACTCTCCTCCTTTTATAAAAGCAATGCATGTCTCATATAATCTGGAATTAGCTACTGGATTAGTGTTTCTTGTGTTGCTGTTTCTGTAAAAGTTTAAGTTTTTACTGATTGAGTCTGGTGAAATCAATGCATGTCTCATATAGTGTCTGGAATTAGCTACTGGATTAGTGTTTCTTGTGTTGCTGTTCCATCAAAGTTTAAGTTTTTACTGATCATTCACTCTCATGGAGAAGATTCTTTAGTAAAGGTCTTAACTTTGATGGGTTTCCTTAGTCTTGAAGACGATTCTCTTTCTCTGTGGACTTACAGTGTCCATTAAGTTGATTACTGAAATGCTTCTAGGCTTCATATGCTGCATTGTACTAACAAATTCAATGCTTTAGAGAATTGTTTGTGTTCTTTCTTTTGCTGTGTTCCTAACAAGGAGGATTTATGCACTTGGTTTGGGTTTCGCAGGAGCTTATTCCGATTATAAAATGGGAGATAAGGACTTTTACACATCCAGTGTGCGGTCTTCTTGTGTTCGCTTCCGTGGCAGTGTTCCCGACGCTACTTCTTCCATCTACGCCGTCCATGTGGATCGCTGGGATGACATTTGGCTATGGATATGGCTTTCTGCTAATTATCTCAGCTGCATCTGTTGGTGTATCTCTTCCTTACTTCATTGGACATCTCTTTCGCCACAAACTCCAAGTATGTCTCAAAAATCTGTTTCCTTTTCGCTTGAATCAATCATAGTACTACCAGGATTAACATTGTTTTGTTTCCTTGTCGTTAATCAATGTAGTTGCATTTGTGAATGTTACTGAGATCGGTTTGTTTCTTTTGCTGTTGTGATTTTATAGGGATGGCTAGAGAGATATCCTAACCAAGCAGTTGTATTAAGAGCTGCTGGTGAAGGGAATTGGTTTCACCAGTTTAGAGCAGTAACCTTGATCCGGATTTCTCCATTCCCTTACATTCTTTATAACTACTGTTCTGTAGCGACTCGTGTTAAGTATGGTCCTTACATCACCGGCTCTCTCTTAGGCATGGTGCCTGAAGTTTTCGTAGCCATCTATACGTAAGTCAGGTTTCTTTAACCTTTTTTGGATTCCAAAACACATTTTGTTAGGTCTAATACTGTTTAAGCTTGTGTCTAGCAATGAGCTTCTAGAAGCTTTAAGTAAGTCCATATTCCAAATGTTGGATCCTGACACTGATAGTGGAGTCTCTCGTTTCTGTATTGCAGAGGGAATCTTGTAAAGACATTAGCAGAGGCATCTTCTGCAGAAGAACACGGCCTCTCGATGGCACAGATAATTCTCAACATTCTCGGCTTTTTAGGAACTGTAGCTACAACGATTCTCATCACCAAGTATGCGAAAAGACAGCTGGAGACGATGAAGAAAGAGGAGGAAGCTTTGTTGCTGTAGTAGTAAACCCACGTGAACAGACTCTGAGCTGCCTGCCTGCTTGCTTTTGTCTCTCTGCTTTTTTACTCTCTTGTCTCCTTCCTTAACACGGTACAGGTCTATTACGAGATGTAAAAGAGCTCTGGTTTTTTTGTCTCTTGGTTTCTTCATCTCTTTTATTAACAACCTTGAAAATTAAAGAAAAATGGTTAGCGAGTATGAACAGAGGAAATCTAACTCCATTCTTAATTTAATTTTTCTTTTTTTTGGCTCTCTCTTATTTTTTTGTAAATTGTACACTTGATTTTGATGTGTGACATGAATGAAAAAGATTGTGTTATTTATTTGTTATGTTATTGGGAGACGTTAAAAAGGAGAGAATCTTCGTATTGATGCTAATATTACTTTCTCTTGTATATGTCAAATCAAGTCAATTTTTTTGTTTTACTCATCAAATCAAATTTATTTAAAGCTTGTCAGAGTAAAGTTTAATATTTTGAATGTAACTGCCAATTATTTTGAACATATTAATGGATGGAAAGAATAAGAAGAAGAAAACTTATCTCTCAACTCTGACTATGGAAACAATTGTCATGTGGATCATGTGACCCAATTTAATGAATATATCATAACAATATGATGATTATATGCGCATATGTGTATGTAATATAAGATTTGCTTTTTCCATTTTTGGTTAAACTTTCTTTTACTACGTCTGAAAATGTTCAACCAACTGTGTATGCATTAAGTTTTACTTTTTCCATTTTTAGTTAATTTATCTTTACTACCTCTGAAAATGTTCAACTAACCTTCTCCCCAAATAAATGTATCTTTGTACTCCTAAAAGTAGCTTTGGTCCAAAACCCAAAACCCTTTGAACAAAACGTATGCCTAACAAACACATACAGATTTTAAATCTTGTCCTACCCCAAGAACAAAAAAATTTACAATTTGTCCTTTTCTTTACACATATTTGGGTCTTTGTGTACTCCCATAGAACCTATTAAATGACAAGTTTTGCTTTACAAAAATGATGGATAAATTATTAAATTCACAGTCAACGTCACTGTGTCTACTGTCCACTCCTCTTTTTCATATGAACTGATGTCAAAACATTTAAACATTAATCTTTAATAATCAGTTTGAAAATGTTACTTCAAAAAGAAAATATTCAATTGCGGTGGGAGAAGCCTTTATCCAATGCCATAAACTACTCCAAGATAATAATCTTTCGGCAATGCACATATGCCACCTACAATAAAAACTAAAAAAGGACAGTTACATTTTACTATTTTTCTATGAATAATTGAATATTTCTCGAAACTATTGTAAATGTCCCTACATCTAATTTTCTCAATGAATTTTCCTACAAATACTTCAAACTCCATTTTTTTCTTATGAAAGTATTTTCAATTTATCAGTGAGAAAAGCGCAATTGCCAGGTCATACCTGACAAAGGAATACAACCGTTAGTGGCATACTCGTAAATAAATCAAAATCCTAAGGGTAGTTTTTGATCCCGCCGGAATTCCAGTCTCGTAGAAAGCCAAGAAAGCTCGCAGACCCAGACGCGCCTCGAAGCCCCCACATAGAAAAAATAGGCTCTTCGCTTAATGAATTGACGAAAACACCCTCACGCTCTCACTCGTAGGGGTATTACCGTCTTTGTCAAAGTCCTATCCGTAGTCTTAATTAAAATTCAAAATTTTCGAGTCGTTACAAAAACCGGAGCGTGCTTGTACGTTTTGGATACGGCGTCGTTTCTGGGTTTTTGTTTTTTGTTTTGGAAATTAAATTAATTTTTTTGCCGTTTTGTCGCTAAACCAAAATCTCTGCAACAGCGAAATTTGTGCCGTTTTTTTCCTTTTCCTGCTTCTTCCTTCCCTTTCTTCTTCTCATTCTTTCTTCTTCTTCATCAGACCCAAGGAATCAGAGATTTCTGGTGAAATTAGGGTTTTTGTCTGGTCAATTCCATGTGCTGACTTCAGAGGCTTTTGCAGAAGCGATCAGTGCTTATCTGCGCGAGTAGTTACATTTCTGATTTCCCCCAAGGAAAGTGAGTGACTGTGGAGGTTTTTAGAGAGAGAGAGAGAGAGAAATGGAGATGGATGAAGATATGGAAATCGAGCCGATGGTGTTCAATGTCAGAGAAATCGATCTGGAGTACGAGTTTGACGCGGCTCGGTGGTTCGATTTTACTCGGTTGGAGTTACCGGCGGAGTCTCAGGCCGCCGAGTTCTGGTTTCATTCTGCTCCGTCGTACGCGCCCTCTCGTGAGTATTATCATCATCATCATAAGCTTTAGGCCTCAAGTTTTTGTTTTCTCCTTCGGATTTTGTTTTCACCTTCATTTCGTTAGTGTCTTGGTGTTGTTGATAACGTACGATTGCAGCTTAATGAGAGGGAAATGCCTAGATTTCTTCTTCTTTCTTTGATTGATTTGGCTTTCACTTCTGAATCGAAAATCGTACATTTTCCTTTGCAATGCCGTAAAATGCTGAATCGTTCCGGGATATGAATTTGCGTCCAAGTTTAGGAGTTCATCGGAAACTTAATTTACAATGTGATCACTTGCATTTAGGAGTCTGTGTCTATGTTCTGGAATTTGCTTGTATTCATAGTCTGATTTAGTCGCTGTTAATTCTTTGTGTTTTCAGCTTTCGTAACAAAGCTGTTACTTAGAGAGGAGGTTTATGATGACAAGGCCGAGGCATCCATGAAATCAGAGGATGAGGAAGTCGCAGCAGATGTTTGTGAGAAGGATAGAGATTTGAATAAGACAGGTGAATATATAGTGTGTAGATTATGTACTTTGACCTCTTAAATTGACTATGATTTGAGTAGAAATGGAAGAAGAAAGTTGATACATTTAGATTCTTGAATTATGTTTGTTTCTTTATTCAGGAAATGGAATGCGTTTTGGGATCTTTACCTCCCAACAAGGAAGTAACTTGAAGAAAGTTCCAAATCAACCAATATGCAAAGGTGATAATTTTGTTGGCTATTATAGCAAAACGAGTATGCATGTACATCAATTATTGTTAATGTTGGAAGTTAATTAACGTGTGTCATGAGTTCCATTTTTCGTAGAACCTTTAGATGTGGTCCATCTTACTTGTGACCATTTTGGTATCTACTTTATTGTTTGTGGTCTCACTTTATCTACTTGTACCAGGGCCAACGGTTGGGAATATCAAGCACACTGATAAACCAAGATTCCGAGCTAAGTCAAGCATCAGACCAACTCCAAGGAGCTCAACGTTAATGAGACCTACTGCTAGCCAGTTAGCAAAGCAAAACAATGCCAGGTGACTTTTGGACCATGTCAAATCTTAGTAACTTTATTCATTATTTGCCTAATACGTAGCTTCCTTTTCTGGTATAGTAAGTTCCATATGCACGTGGATCAAATTCATGAGAAAGGCTTATGTGGGACATCTGGGTCTGAAGTTCAAGCGGCTAAAAGACAGAAGCTTGATGGAGGTCTTCTTCGTAAGGTATAGCGTTTAGAAGTTATCTGTTTTACCTTTTCTCTTTCTTTTTAGTAGGATCATTGTCATGGTACTCCTAGTTGAACACTGTAATAGGAATATCCGAATTTAGGTGCTAAAACTAGTCGCAATAATAGTCATTTGTTCTCTGTTTCAGGTTGCTGATACAAAGCAGGAGATGAATTTTGTCCACAAGACACCGAAGAAGGTCTGCTTTCTATTGCTTGATTACTGTTATTGTCACGTATAGAGACTAAAAAGTTTCAGTATGTGGAATATTCAAACTTTTCAGTGGAATAGAGCTCTTATTTAGATGTAAATCATTTAACTGTTTGCAGGATACAACGCTTGATAGAAACTCACAACATCCCAGAACAAAGACTACTATCCCACACGAGCCAGATTTTGCTACATCACAGAGGGCTCACAGGATACGGTGAGGCCCTATCTGTTTGCTGAAAGTAAATTGTTGCAGGAAATGTCACATCTCACAAGATGTTTTCTTGATTATTTCAGGCACAAGACTGATGCGAAGTTAGAACAGGACTCAACAGCTGTATATAGATTCAAAGCACGTCCATTTAACCGAAAGGTTTGTAACTTTGCATCTGCTACTAGAAATGTGTTCTGGAGATTATTTAATTTTCCCAACTCAAACTCGTGTTTGTGATCTTTAGATATTTGATACTCCCTCAATGCCCATCCGGCAAAAGAGCACTCCAAAACTGCCTGAATTCCAAGTAAGCATTAGAAATGAATTCGTCTCAGCTGATATATTCTCTCCACAGAATAATCTGGTGCAAGAGCAAGATTTTAAGATTATATCTCTTGCCTTCCTTTATAGGAATTCCATTTGAAGACTTCAGAAAGGGCTATGCAACATTCTTCAGCAGTAACAACAAGGTCTAAACAAGGGAATGATGCGTATAAGGTAGCAACGAAATTGTGTGTCCTGTGATCTTAACAAGTTCTTCTCGTATCTAAACAACTTCATCCTTAAATGTGAAACTTCTTTTTGACAGGGGTCAGCCAAATCTAATATAAATGATCTGCTTGACGGTGTTGACAGAATAACTAGAAGGTATGACTTATAAAAATCACAAATCACATAGACAGTTAAAAAGGAATGCTTAGTCTCTCACTTCAACTTGTGTTTGAGGTGAACGTAAGCTTAAAAGTTGAATTTTTCTTGCAGACCAAGCACTATGGATATATCTAGGAATGATGTCTCAGAGGGAAAACACGTTTTCAAAGCTCGTCCTCTGAACAAGAAGGTACTTTCAAGCAAAGGAGACATGGGCATTTTCAAAAACAGCAAGCGAGAAACAACAGTTCCTTTGGTATGGTAGTTTTACTAGTTATTCTTTGCATTTGATCTTTATAAATGGAGTTTCCTTATACATAAACTGTTGTTGGATTTGCAACAGGAGTTTAGTTTTCAATCAGAAAAGAGAGTTCGACCAGATTTACCAACAGACCTCTTCAGCAAGGTACAGCTCGTGGGTTATTTCTTAAACACACTCTAGTTATTTAAGTACTCTTATAATTTCATGACCCTGTTTTATTAAACTACAGCTCTCCATCAACTCCGAGCTCAAGCCCAACAATGGATCTCACACAAGATTTACTCAACCAAAGGTACAGCTCGTGAAACTCAATTTCACTTGACTTGTTTTTCTTTTTTCCATTTTCCAAGTCTAGTCACTGAATTGCAATCTTGTCTTGATATCATACAAGGTCTCAAAGGAAAATAGAGTGAACCCTTTCCAGGCAGGGAATGAGGTAAGCTCTAAACCTAAAACAACAAAAAAAGTAAAGCTTGCAACCACTAGCAACAGAAGATTTCTTAGTATTTGAATCGATCCTTAACAGATAACAAGAATGGCAGCGGGAAAATCGGTCTCTTCGGTTGGACAGCAGATACAATTTGGTAACAGCGGAATATTTCCTGAAACAAGCCAGCGAAGGACCACTAATAGGTAAGCAAAGTCACTTACGCCACGAATATCTTTCCAATATGCATCTGATCAAACTCTGGAACAACAAATGCTTATAATTTGGCAGGAGCTTTGGCATTCGGTGATGGTATAGAAGAAAGCATTTGTTGTTATTTTGGGGATCATCACCATCATCATCTCCTTTTGTACATTCAGATTTGCTTCTCTTCTCAGTCTGATCCTGTGGTATAACGCAAAGCTAACATTTTGAAAATCCAAAGAGGTAGACCAATTCGTCTTGAAGACAAAGGAAGAGGGAGAAGAAGCAAAGGAAGCCGCATTTTTCAGTTTCTCATAATAAGACCAGATTGCTTTCTTTGGCATCTATTTTTACGTTTTAGTAGCATAAAAAAAGCAAAAACAGTAAATGTAAATCGAAATACTCTCAAGCTCTTAATACAATATATATGTCGTTCACAGGGCTTACATATATCTTTCTCTGTTCCAATCCCTTCATTACATAGAGATTTATATATATAGAGAAGAGGGAAACTTGAACATAGAGATTATTAATATATAGACTCAACTTTCAATCTTTTTTCTCGGATACCAATTCCTCTTTTTTCTCGGATACCAACTCCTCTTGTTCGTTCCTGAATAGCTTATGCTCAATATGCTGAGCAAATGTCCTTGGAGGAAACTTAGCCGGAGACTCAACACTCACCATCTCCGGCAACGGCTTAAGCACAATCTTATCCTTGGGTGGCTCACAAAACACAGCCCAAGAAACCCTAACCTTCTCCTTATTCACCAATCCACGGTGAAGTATACTCTTATACTTCCCATTACTAAGAATCTCCAACGTGTCTCCAATGTGCATCACAATCGAGTCAGGAACACATTTTGCAATGACCCATTTGCCCTCGTAGAACAGCTGCAAACCTGGAACCATGTTGTGTAAGATGAAGGTTAATGCGCTTACATCGGTATGAGCTTCCACGCCAAGTGCTAGCTCTGGCTGGGGACATATTGGGTAGTAATTTATCTTCATCTGTAAGAGAAGCTCTTCCAAACCACCAACTTCTTTCTCTAGACGGTCAGGCTCTAACCCTAGACCGATAGAGAGAGCCTTGAAGACTTTTGTTGCAAGCAAACGTAGACACTTTGCGTACTCACTCGTCGCCTCTCTAAAACCATCCAAGAAAACGTTAAAACATTATACAAAAACCAAGAACAAGATTTAGTCAATCAATCAAAGCTTACATGTAGTCGCTAGGTGTCTTGGGCCAAAGTGAGAGATCTCTCTTGTCTTCAGGATAAACAAGATGAAAGAAGTAATCTTCCCACTCCAACTGTCCACTGGCGTTGTTAGCCAATTTACTTCCATACCCTTGAATCTTTCCGGTGGCTTGGTCGTTTGCGTACTTCTCCTTCTCTTCCACGGGCAAACGGAAAAACTCTTCTCCGGATTTCTTCACACGCTCCATGAGGTCAACAGGTATGCCGTGGTTGATCAAATGCATCACTCCCCAATCCGAAGCTACCTTCTTCAGCTCCTCTATGCATTTCTCACGGATGGCTTGATCCTCTGACTCGATGTCTTGAAGGTCGATGGTGGGGACTTGAGGACCGTCTTCTTTCTTCTCTTCGAGGAAAACGTCGTTGATGCTCTCGAGCTCTTCTTTGGGACGAATGTATTCTTTGGGGATTGATTTGATCCCGCTCTTTGCTAAACTCTCAACTCTTTCCACTACAACCATCTTTCTTGTCTTGTTTTTAAAGCTAAAAAAGCAGAGCAAGAAAACAGAGTTAGTAAATAAATAAGCTTAAAACAGGGGAAAAACAGAGAAAGATAACAAAAAAGTGTTTGCTCTGTTTTTCTTCTTACTCTATCTCTCTCTTTTGGGTTTGTTGTAGCTTGTGAGTTAATGATATGTGCAAAGGCTTTCTTTATAGCAAAAGATTTTTAATTTTATTTGTTCATTATAAATAAAAAGAAGAATTAAGTTAGGAATTCAGAAGTGTTTGATCTACCGGTGGTTAGTGGTTAGTGAGGAAGAAGTGGTAAGTGGAGTGACACACCAAAATGTCAACGGGAGGATGGTTCCCTTGAGATCCAACGGTCAAAACGTTTTCTACTGACTCTTGGCTTGGAATGGGCTTATGTACTGATAAAAGCCTATTAAAGGCCCAATATAATAATCAACGTCACCACTTGGTGGCGTTTCTTCTGCGTCCGTGTGCACGTGCCTAAATCTTCTCACCACGTGTCCACCTATAGTAGGTCTATCATTTATAGGTGTGTACTTAAATTCGTATCCACATTTTATTTTATTTTTGTACTTTGAATGCTGACATGGATATTATAGGTTGATATTTAATGCTGACGTGGATATTCTCTTCTCAGAGAGATCTGCCGAGGAATTCATCTCCACATTTTTCTTATCTCTTGATTTTTATTCCCTCCAAAGTCCAAACCCTCTACTAAAATTTTTAAAATAAAAGTAATAATTTAAAAAAAAAAATCAAAATCGGAACAAACCTGAAGCACACAGTAACTCATCTTCAACCACAGGTTCCTGAATATTTTCTCGGAAAAACAGAGGAAAAGGAGATCCTTTTTCTCTCACAGGGAAAATGGGTAGCAAGATTTTGTTCAGTTTGACAAGCCCTCGAATTTTCTCGGCCGTTTCTCGCAAACCCACCACATCCACATGTTTGTCTTCTCCTTCTCCTCCGTCGTCGAGGACTCAGTGGGCTCAGGTCAGCCCTGGAAGAAAGATTTCTTTGAGAAGAAGATCCTTCTTATTGCCTGCAAAAGCTACCACGGAGCAATCAGGTCTTGATTTTGCCTCTTATCTCTTGAAAAACGTTTTTGTCCAGTGTTGATGTTATGATCTCTTATCCGCCTTAGTTTTCTGTTTACAAAAAAGCCACTGGCTTCGAATTTTCTCAGAATTGGTTTCCAAAGTTATAGTCTTTTAGAATTTAGAGTACAAGATTTCTTCTGGCACCAAATCTAGTTGAAACTTTGAAATCATTCGTCTTTGGCTCTGAAAGTACTGATTTTTGAAGTATTTCAGTCACTAAAGTACTGATTTTTACGCATTCTTCAAGGGTATGATTGATATTCATCAGTGGCTGTAGTCTCAGTGTTTAGAATTTATCTCTGTAGTAAATTTCTGCAATATCAAAAGTTGCCTAATTGATACTAGTCTGCAAAACTAACTAAAGTATCAACATTAGATTTTCTCTTTATAAGCTCTGAATCACAGTCTTTGTATTCCTCAAGGTCAAGTGGGAGGAGAGGACTTCGATAGCAACATTATGCCATATTGTAGCATCAACAAGGCTGAAAAGAAATCAATTGGTGAAATGGAACAAGAGTTTCTCCAAGCGTTGCAAGTAACGTTACACAAACAACCAACCATCCTTTTTTATAGGTGCCAAAAACATGATTCATAACAAATCTTCAAGAGGCTGAGAATTTGCTTTTGTGTTTTGCTTGCAGTCTTTCTATTACGATGGCAAAGCGATAATGTCAAATGAAGAGTTTGATAACCTTAAAGAAGAGTTGATGTGGGAAGGAAGCAGTGTTGTGATGCTAAGTAATCAACTATGAGATTAAAATTTCATATCTTTGTCTTTGTTTCTTAGGCGTGTAAAAGTCCTAAACTTTGATTGGTCTTATGAAAATGCAGGTTCTGATGAACAAAGGTTCTTGGAAGTTTCCATGGCTTATGTTTCCGGAAATCCAATCATGAATGATGAAGAATATGATAAGCTCAAGTTGAAACTCAAGGTGCTTCCATTTCCCTTTATCCTTCTTCATTCAAAATACACATATCCTATCAAAGCTTCAATTTCTTATGATTATTTGTTTCTGCTTCAATAGATGGATGGTAGTGATATTGTGTGCGAGGGTCCGAGATGCAGTCTCCGTAGTAAGAAGGTAAATAAGATTCATTGTTCAGAGTAACCTAATCTGATAGTAAGATATTTACAGTCTTGTGAACTTGCTCAAATGCAGGTGTATAGTGATCTCGCTGTAGATTATTTCAAAATGTTCTTGTTGAATGTTCCAGCAACAGTTGTTGCTCTCGGACTGTAAGTCTCTTTCGTAACATTCAAGTTATTTAAAAACACTAGAATGTTGTCTTTGCTAACGTATTGATCTTTTAATTGTGTACTTGCAGATTTTTCTTCCTCGACGACCTTACAGGTTTTGAGATCACATACGTCATGGAGCTATCGGAACCATACAGCTTCATATTCACTTGGTTCGCTGCCGTGCCTGTGATTGTATATCTGGCTCTATCAATCACCAAACTCATCGTCAAAGACTTCTTGATCTTGAAGGTAAATGTAAACCATTACTCAAAGATTGCAACAAGAAAAGCAACAAGAAGAGTCCTTTATGAATTATTTCTTTTACTTTGCAGGGTCCTTGTCCGAATTGTGGAACGGAGAATGTCTCCTTCTTTGGAACAATCCTGTCAATCTCAAGCGGCGGTAAAACCAACGCTGTCAAATGCTCCAAGTAAGATCCATGTTCAACAATATATGTGTTGGTTTGTGTTTAACAATATTTGAATCTTTGATTATGTGTGTTTGTTTTGTGGTTTTAGCTGTGGAACAGCGATGGTGTATGACGCAGGTTCTCGGTTGATCACATTGCCTGAAGGAAGCCAAGCTTGATAAGGTACTCATCTTCATATGTAGTAACTTTTGATTAATTACTGTCTTTAAAGTTTAATGGAAATCTGAAATAGTAAAGTTTGATTATTTTTTCAGATGGAAAAAGAAGGATGGGTTTTGTCAGAAGCAATTTAGATTTGATGTTTGTATATTTAAGATCCTCCATGTTAGCTCCCTCCTCCTTCACATGTTTTCTTATATGTAAGTATTGTGTAAGCAATAAGAGAATTTTTATATGAATACTTCTTCAACAACTTTTTATTGGTAATGTAAATCATTAGTCATTACTATAGTTAAATGAACAAAATCCGAAATATCAATCAAATTTTATTAGTTTTCCAATCACTTAAGTTGTGAAATTCTTGAAAAGCCATTAACTTTACAATTTCCAATTAAATAAATTTTAATTTTAATTGTTTTCTCTAAACTTTAAATCTTCCAAACATTTTCTAATATCATTGTTAAGATTTCGATCTCAATTTTGAACTTTAAAAATATAAATATCACGAAAAATAAAAGACCATGTGGTTTATTTGTGATTCACCTTCAATGTGAGAAGTACGTTAGCTTTTCACCGCTGTAATATTTTATTATGATCAAAAACTGAGGAGTTTACAAATACTTTTCCTCTACTTCTACTTGCCCACAACAAACGAGAACATTCATAAAATAAATAGATAAACCATATGGCAAAACAAGTACATGTTCAAATTACTCGAAATATTGTAGTTATAACCGTTAATATTCGTCATGTAGACTCTATTCTCTAAGGTTTTAATTTGCCACCCTTTCTTACAACCATAGTTGACTTAAACATTACAATCGATTACCGCAAGTCCGGTGGTTGGGTGTTTACATCGTTAAGTTAACAAAATATTATTCACTAACAACTCAACAACAATTACATAGTGTGAATTTTAGGTGTCAAATTTTTCAAATGGTGTGTAACATAAATGGATTGATTGATAAGAGAACTAAAGTCAAGAACACATATAATGAAAAGATGCAGACAAAGGTATAACCATTACACAAAAGAGGATAAAAGTCACACGAATATTAGCACGCCAATGTCTCTCTTTTTTTCTTGTTTGTATAAAATAAACTACTATTTTTTTTCTCCCTCATTTTGAATGATAATTAACACAAGAGTAATCTTTCTTTTTTTGTTGGTCAGGACACAAGAGTAATCATGATCATCATCTTCCCATGCCTCTATCATCATTGACCCAATTTTCTCGTCCACTATAGCTAAATTAGCTATCAATTGCTTTTATATTGGTACAAAAAAAAAACATTTGAAAATTTTAAACCTCTACCTTAGAACGGTCATATGCTTATTTAACAATTATCATATGTCTTTCTACAAAAAGCAAAAGAGAAATCTGACAAGTGAAGTGTAAGTGTTTATAATGTTTGTCCACAAAACACATCCCCACAAAGTAAAAACACAATCAAACTTTCTTCTCTCTTTCTTTATTTCTTTCTTTCCTCTTCTTCACTTCCTCTAAAAACTCTAGAATCTCTTGATCCTCTCATGGATTCATTCTGTTTTTGTACATCAAAGATCTCTTTCATCATCATAAGTATAGTTCTCTTATCATTCCACCAATCTTGTTCTCAATCCATCCAGTCTACACATCTTCTTGATCTCATGATCAGAGATTACACTATTAGAAACTTTAAGCTAAATCTCAACACAGGCATCACCCAAAAAATCCACCTCCCTTCAAATTTCTCCGGTATCGATATTGATACGGTCAGGTTAAGATGCGGGAGCTTGAGAAGATACGGTGCAAGAATTGGAGAGTTTCATATCGGCTCAGGCGTGACGGTGGAGCCATGTCAGGAGAGAGTCATGCTGGTTAGACAAAACCTTGGTTCGAATTGGTCTTCAATCTACTCTACCGGTTACAACTTAACCGGTTACAGTTACCAGCTCGTGTCACCGGTTCTCGGTTTGTTAGCTTACAACGCTAACCCTGACGGTGTGGCCACGAACCCTTACGAGGTTAACGTTTTGTGTACCGATCAAAAACCAATCTTGATCGATTTCTTGAGTAGCAAGACAAGTGGCAACACTAAACTTAATACGACGACGAAGACAAACTCATCAGTCTTGTGTGCGTGTTTTGCAAGCAACGGTAATACAACGTTTAGTGATCAAGTTTCGCCTTATGTATGCAAAGGGACAAGACAAGGGCATTACGCTCTCGTGATGAAGATGGAAGCTCCAAGAAAAGATGTCGGTGGTGGTGGAGTGGTAACGTCATCGACTGAGGTGAATGTTGGCGGTGGAGGAGGAGGAAAGTTGAGCCGGTGGAAAGTGGCGGTGGGGAGTGTGATTGGGTCGGGGATTGGAGCTATTCTGTTGGGGATGTTGGTGGTGGCGATGTTGGTGAAGGTGAAGAAGAAAGCGGAGAGAGAAGAAATGGAGAGAAGAGCTTATGAAGAAGAAGCTCTTCAGGTTTCAATGGTGGGTCATGTTAGGGCTCCTACTGCTTCTGGTACTAGAACTCTTCCTATAATGCCTGATGATAGGTATAAAAACAGTCATTTGAATCATTATCCATAATTATAAAATAAACAAAAATTATTTCCCTCCATTTTTTTGTTAATTGAGTTTCTTAGCATTTTTACATAAATAGTTTGAATGTATACACAATGAAAATTTTAAAAACGGCTAAAATCTTTTGTTTTTGTTTCTTGAAATTTGTTTTCTTTTTGCAGTCTACAAAAGTAAAGACTTTTACAGAATGGAGCATTTTCTCCTGTTTTCAATAAAAATGATATGTGTGTGTCAAAGAAACTACGCAATTTCAGGCTTCGAATTTTGCATTTTGATATTTTGATCTTTTTTGATATATATATTTCTGATTTCGTGAATAAAAGATATTATGAAAAATTAATGGAATTTCCAACCACACACATCAACAAGGGACATACACGTTAGCTATTATTGTTAACGCAAAAGCTGTTTTCATCAAACATCGTAATTACATGGAATTTCTCTTTTATATTTTTGTTTGATTTGTTTGATTCTCTTTTGTTTTCTTTATCATACAGATCTCTTTCCTTCATTGATACAACTGTCTAGTTTCTTAATTTAATGTTTTCAATGTGATTAGAAAGTAAAAATTCACTCCTTCATTGCAACTTGCAAGTAATACTTATTTTGGGAAGATTTTGACTTTTTTTGTTAATTTTTTTGCAGTTTTTGACTGTTTTAGTTTAGTAAGAAAACATGTAACTAAATATACTTTAAATAATCAAACTGGGACAACTGTATAAATTTAGTTTTCTATTCAGGATATTGACTTTTTTCTATATTAGATTTAAGTTTTGTTTGTTTTGTATCTCAAAATTATGGAAATATCAACACTAAATTTAATAGAATCCAGATCTAATATAAATTTTTAACTATAAATAATTGACTTGATTGGGCATAGATCTATGATTAATTATATTTATTTTGGATCTGCCATCTAAGATTTTAAGATCACTAGTCTTTTTTTTTACATGCTTTAGAGAAAATGGGTGAAAGTGGAGTTAATAATAATACGTATTAATGCATATCTAAATGGGCCTAGCTATAAGCCCATTACACTTATTTTAGTCTAAATCTAACGATTAAGATCATAATCATGAATTCATCATGTTAAATCAACCAAAACCACCACCTGATCAACCGCATCAATTCACATGTCGTTTTCTGTTTCCCTGAGATTTCCCGGGAAAGGAAAAAATAAAATAAAAAAGGAAAAAAGGTAAAAACTAAACGGATAAAAAAATAAAATAAAAATCAATAAAAAGGACATAGAGGCTTCAACACTTTCAAGCCTTTGTTAAATCTGAAGAGAGAAAAAAGAAGAGTAGAGAAGAAAAATTAAAAAATAGTCAAAAAGACTCAAAACCAAATGGAAGATCCTACCGCAAGCAATGTGACTCCGCCGGCGAATTCTTCTCCTCAGCTGAATCTATCGCCGTCGATGAATACTCCGACGGTCTCGCTTGAGTCACGAATCAATCGTCTAATCAATGCCAACCAATCCCAATCCCCGTCGAGGTCTATATACTCTGATAGATTCATACCCAGTAGATCCGGATCCAATTTCGCGCTCTTCGATCTCGCCCCGTCGCCGGGAAAAGACGGGAAAGAAGACGGGGCCGGCTCGTACGCGACTCTGCTGCGAGCGGCGATGTTCGGACCCGAGACGCCGGAGAAAAGAGATATTACCGGGTTCTCGTCATCGCGGAATATTTTCCGGTTTAAGACGGAGACGAATCGGTCGCTGAATTCGTTTTCGCCGTTTGCGTCCGATGAAGCTCCCGGTGTCAGCCATAGTCCGATCAAAGCTCCGAGGAAGGTGTCGCGATCGCCGTATAAGGTGAGTTTCTCTATCTCCGATTTCTGGGGATCGTGCATTGCTAATTTCTGGGTTTTGGATTGTTACGGATTGTCGAATTTGTAACGACGGATCTCGATCATGTATTTTGTTTTTTAGTAGATGTGCATTGTTGCGAAATTCGATCGTTTCAAAGATGGGATTTTTTGTGTGATGTGTATAGATTTGGGTTTGTTAGAGCTTAGATTCTCGATCTCGTTGACTTTTGGTCTTAGATTCCACTGATGCATGGAACATTCTTGTGATCTTGGTGATGAGTTGTTCTGTGATGGTCCATAATTGGAGTCTTTGAGATTTTTTTGTTCTAGTGTAGAATGATCTAGATGAAACCATTACTGCAGAAAGCTTGATTTTTACTGTCTTTACAATAGCTTTGTGTGAATTTGATTTGGATATTTGTTTGTGGCAATGTTGATACAGATGATAACAGAGGATTTCTTTGTGTTGTCAGGTACTGGACGCACCGGCTTTGCAAGATGATTTTTATTTGAATCTAGTAGATTGGTCCGCGCAGAACGTTCTTGCAGTGGGACTAGGTAACTGTGTGTATTTGTGGAATGCTTGTAGCAGCAAGGTGGGTTTTTTTTTTTTTTTTATTGTCACTTACCCTTTTAACATATGCATCTCGTTTTCGAATTGTTTTGATGTTGATTACTTGCTTGAAATTCAACAGGTAACTAAGTTATGTGATCTCGGGACTGATGATAGTGTTTGCTCTGTGGGTTGGGCGTTCCGTGGAACTCATCTGGCTGTTGGAACTAGTACCGGCAAAGTACAGGTTAGATCTCATTTTACTCTCTGTGTACTACTTACAGTTACAACATGATTAGAGACTTAACGTATGGACCGTAGGATTCTTGCCATATCTTGATTTTATTAGTGGTATGATTATTTTCTTTATCGAGAAGATATGCTCAAATAAAGTATTGTAGTTGAATATGGAAAGTATCTAAGCGTATATAACACCTTGTTGGATAGGATTATGTTTCATTTTGACTGTTTTTCTTAGGATTTTGAGGAATTTATTGAGCTTCTTTTTATGGAATATTCACTTTAATTTTTTTGATTGGTAGATATGGGATGCGTCGCGCTGCAAGAGAACAAGAACGATGGAAGGTCATCGTCTAAGAGTTGGAGCCTTGGCATGGGGCTCATCGGTTCTGTCATCTGGAAGCAGAGACAAGAGCATTCTTCAGAGAGACATACGTTGTCAAGAAGATCATGTCAGTAAACTGGCTGGTCACAAATCCGAGGTTTGCGGACTCAAGTGGTCTTACGACAACAGAGAGTTAGCATCTGGTGGAAACGACAATCGGGTATGTATAGCTCTTACACTAGTCTTCTTCTTATAAACCTCCGACATGGCTAAAAAATGGTTATACATTTTTTGTTTGCAGCTATTTGTATGGAACCAACATTCAACACAGCCGGTTTTGAAATATAGTGAACACACTGCAGCGGTTAAAGCCATTGCTTGGTCTCCTCATGTTCATGGTCTTCTTGCTTCTGGTGGTGGTACTGCTGATAGATGCATTCGTTTTTGGAATACAACAACAAACACTCACTTAAGTTCCATTGATACTTGCAGTCAGGTAAAATTTCCTTAAACTTGACATGACTTCACGAAACAGAACCAATATTTTCACGGTTAAATTAACCGTCTCTGTTCTTGCATATTACAGGTTTGCAATCTGGCTTGGTCTAAGAACGTAAACGAGCTGGTTAGCACTCACGGATACTCCCAAAACCAAATCATTGTCTGGAAATATCCAACCATGTCCAAAGTATGAGATCTCTTTCACCTTTTGTCTCTCTGTTTATTACTCTCCATTCATTATGGTTTAACCATCTCTTTCTTTGTTCAGATTGCAACACTGACTGGTCACACATACCGTGTTCTGTACCTTGCGGTGTCACCTGATGGACAGACGATTGTAACCGGAGCAGGAGATGAGACCTTAAGGTTCTGGAATGTCTTCCCTTCACCAAAATCTCAGGTAAGTAAAAGTGCAACTTATGTAGTTAAAAAATGCTATACTCAGAGGAAATTATTTGATATTTTTCGTCTCTATGCAGAACACGGATAGTGAAATTGGGTCGTCATTCTTTGGTAGAACAACAATTCGGTGAGAAAATCTTTCACAGCACAAAGACAAAGAAAGACAGACAGACAGATACATGTTTCTTTCATTTCTTCGACAGCAGCTTCTGAGTTGGTTTGGTCTTCTCAACCAACCCAACTTTTCACACGGAGGAGAGAGTCAATTAAATTGATTTTTCACACGGATGCAAAAAGATCTAACCCTTTGATATAATATAATCTGGGTTCGTATCAAGATGCTCTAAAATTTTCCAACTGTATATCTCTTTGTTTATTCAAATTTTTCTTTTTATACCATCATATATAATTTTGTTGTATTTACATACGAACAAGACACCATTTTATAGTGAGTCATAATAAAATTCAATGCAATAATTCGTTGCCCCATTCCTTACTCTATAGTATATTACTTCTTATTATCTTCTAAAATTTAGTCGTAATTTACAGGTAGATATTATACGAATGGGGTCAGAGAAGTTTTTAAAAAGAAAAGTCATCTTTATTAGGTGATCTTAAAATGAAGAAGATTGTGAGGGAAGAGTCCAAGTAAGTCCAAAAGAATGATTTGGAATCATTGGAGGCAAAGAGTGGCCAGTACGCTTCGTTAAACTATGGACAAAGTCTTTTGCCGTCGTCACTCACAACTCCTATCTCTTTAGTCTTTACCTTCACGTTTCTCCTTCGTTTCACGTGTTACCATCGTCCATTTCGGTACTAACATACGACTATACATACTATCTTACTTTACTCTCGTCATGATTATTGTGAATAGTATTTATCATTCCGTCCATATTTAGAAATATTTGGTATACATTTCGATCACTAAAGTAAACTTTTATCAGCTCAAACATTTTGGCTATTTTGTGATTACGTTATTAGTACCAGACACAGAATTTAATAAAATTTTTAACTTGTATTATGTAACCTACAAACAATCATTATTTTCCTAGACCAAGTTTATATACACCAAACCAAACCAAACCAATATTAGATCCACCAAAAGGAAAGATCATCATCTTCCATTTCCTTTTTCACTTTACAAACTATTAAAAATAGGAAAAGGAAAGAAAAAAAACTAAGACCAAGTGGTGTACTATATATATATCACTAGAGTTTCTCCGGAGTAGGAGTAGAAGTTCCATCAGCCTGAGCACCAGAGTAACCAGTAACATCTTCATTACTAAGACTATGAGACCACGGAATGGAGCTAACCGTTGGGAAACAACAACTGCACTCATCCACGCAGCGAGTCTCGGGAAGAGTCTGAGTCCTGTGACCATCAGGTGAAGTAGCTTCCCAAAGAGGACCCCAACACTCGACTCTGTTGAACTCTTTGACATTAGAATGGAAATAAACCCAAACAGGAGCGTCTTGTAACTCAGGAAAATTGTTTATCAAGTTCCCATCTCCATGCACAAACGCCTTCAACACCTAAAATATATCCACAAAACAACCATAGTACTCATTACTCAACATTTGTTTTACATGAAACCAATGTAAAGGAAATTTTATTTTACTTGGGAAACTTACCACTGGTAGTTCTTTGCAAAAGATGTAGTATCGAAACTTGGCGAATAGATCTAAAAGGAAATGGCCACCGCTTATGTGGCAATGAACGTGAAGCGACATTTTGCCTTTCACTTTCTTCCATTCTGCTACCACTTCATCTCGGTATAGCCTATTTGCCCATCCTTGCAACTAAATATAAAACATTCATATACATCAGCCTCTAACCTCTAAGATTCTAATTTCTTGTAATGTTTCAGAAGCACTCATGTTTCAAGATCAATCACATGAACCTTTCTATCAGACAGTATACACCTCAGAGATTTACACAAATCCCCACACGCATATACATACATAGTTGCTTCAAATGCACAATTACAGAAATCTGCTACTCCTATGTGTTATCTGTGTGTAGATATGTGAAGTTACCTGAGAATTGTTTATGGAGTGGGAAATGGCTAAAGTCAATTTAGCTGTAATGTCACTGTGAGTGAGAGTGTAAGTTCTTGGAAGCGTTGATGGATGCTTCTTCTCATCAACCCCTAAAAACAGAACTTTCAATTTTGATGATTCGAATATCGCCGGTCCAAACAACCTTGCCATCTGCACCAAATCCAAAAACCCCTCAGATCTAAAAATCATTTGTACTTATGTAGGTACTCAAATTTCTTGAACTTTGACTCAATAAAGCAAGAATCTTTAAGTTCCCTTTATGCAAACAAGAGGCCGATATATGAAATCCACAGATATAACATAAAGCTTTGGTTTGAAACTTCAATTTTGGTTAGGGATTATTCCAGAAACAGAGCTTCATATCCAACAAGAACCGTAATCATCACGAAATTATTGCGAGAAAAGGGAAAATCAGTGAAGAATTGAAATCGTAGCTGGAAATAGATACCATGTGAACAGAGGATCAGCTAAATCACACTGAATTTTTCTTAGGAATATATCAAATTAAAAATCTAGAACAAAATTACTTACGGGAACAATCGATTGGTTCTTCCTCTTGGATCTTCTATTGGCGACAAAGAGTGAGCCGCTACTATTACTCCGATTGTCCGAATAAGCTGGTTTAAGCCTTGTTGGTAGCAACAGACTCGCCGACAAACTACACATCTCTGCTCTCTTTAACCAAAATCAAAGCTTCGATTTTACAGAATCAGGACTGAAGATATAATAGCCCTAAATACAGAGAGGCCCTTTTCTGCGAGGCTTGAGAACCAAATCCCACGCGATTTCTTGCGTGTTCGTACACTGGAACAATAATCGAAAGCTTGTAACTTTATCAAAACCCAAATCGAGCTTCTCCTTTGCTTGAAGCTTTAGCTTTCAATTTTCCTTTTTTTGGGATCTTTCTCTTTTTCTTCCTGGAATTTAGGGTTCTTCTGATGCGTATTGGGTTGGTTCTTCTTGTTGTGTTTAAAAGGGGTTGCTTCACGTTTCACACTTCCGTGCCCAAATGTGGGCATTGTTTGGAATTTTTTCTGAGCGTGAGAGAGTGCCACGTGTCCTCTACGATCTTTGCAACTGCATGAGTTTCACATGTGTCGTCATGGTGGGGCTAACAAGTGGCTTTAACAGTTTTTTGGATAACTTTAGCCATCTCGTTGCGACAAACAGACACAGATTCGGCTCTAACCATGACCTTGTCCGAACACAGCCTGGCCGGGTTACTTCCGGTTTAATCTAATTACATGGGTTTATTTGGTTCGGTTTAGAAATTAGATCTCAAAATGTAGCTCAAGTGTTGTGATTTCTTGATATCTACAAGCTGAAACATAGATTGTAAATGAAATCAGATCTTATGAAAGCATAATCAACCAACAAAACATAATTTTTTACAATCAAGCACGTATAAGAAACCGGTTTGAACTATCTTTCACCATTGAAGAATCTTTGGTATCAAAGTTTGGACATTTAAAACCAAAAAAAAAAAAAAAAGTTTGGACATTTGAAGCATATCGAACATGAGAAATAGAGAACTGAAGTTCTTGAAATGGCCTTTTACTTCACCTCTCTAAGGCTCTTAGCCATTGGTGACAAGTTATGAAAAGCTCCGTAAAAAGGATAAATTTCCCACTGGAATAAGCTATATTGGCGCGTAACAAGACCTCCTTGTTTCCCACGGCTACAATTCTGGTAGTCTCCAACGTTATTTCTCAAACAAGTGTTGCAATCAGCAATAGATATATCAGAAGTACACTTAATCCTCGTATCTTTGGATTTCGTCGTTGTCAAGGGTCTAATCTCAGCTTCATTGTAATTGGATGAAGCTAAATCCACCATACGAAGCCAATAATTAATCTTGCCAAATTCCATCAAACTCTGTCAAATTAAATGTGATATCTGTAATTGAGTGTAACAATGTGAAGAATAATCTGATGCGTATCCATAGCGGCTGAGCTAAAGAAGGAACGATTCGAGTAACGTACGAAACAGAGATTTATTTTACCATCCGACCATTGAAAAGCTCTGGTGTTGTTTAGGCAGTTCTTGATAAGTCCATTTGAAGTGGTCTTTGACGCATTTTGAGCAATCCTCTGTTTCTGACTTCATAGTGATTAGATTACCTCTGAGTCTGAGACTTGATGATGAATTGATGATCTTTGGATGTAGCTGAAAACTAAGAACATTATTGGTCAAAGTAATTACGAATACTTACGAGAGAAGAGGATTAGGATTTTGACGAATCAATTGTTAGCTTGTTACCATTTATGGAGCGGCAATGTCTTACTAAACTAGACGTTGACAATTTTGCCCCTATTAATTTTAGAAAACTACACAAGTTTTTCTCTTATTGTCTGATCTTCGCCACCGGCGTTTTATCTGCACTCACCGTCATTTTCTCCATCACCGGCGTCCTTTTTTTTATTTTATTTCGAAGTGTATACGCTTTTAATCTGTAAGTTTCTGTAATTTTGGTTTGAAGAAAATGGTTTGGGTGGTTGATATAATTACAAAATTGTGGCAATTGGATTTCACAGAATGGTTTTATTTATTTATAAACACTATATAGGAAGTCGTAATAGTTTCATCAGGTTTCGATTGAGTAGATGAAGGTTAGTGTATTGCAGATCAGGTGTTCGACAGAATGTCTGAATGAACTTTAGAAATGTGGTCGTGTTTTCAGTCAGCTTTTAAGATTCAGTATCGATTACCTTAATAGTCTCTTATGGAATAGAGCTTTTGCGTTTCTGTATTCTTCTGCCTGGCAAGAAAAATCGAAACTTTTTTGTGATATTATTCAGATTTTGGTGATGGGATTATGAGTTCAATATGATTACGCTCGATGGACGCTCATTTGTTCACTTGTTGAGTGATATCTTATTGTCCTTTTGAACAGGTGAATCTTGCAAAGCCTTGTGATGATAAAGACTCTGGTTTCTCCTTGTAGTGTACGTACTGAGTCTCTCCCACTCTTGAGTCCTGTTTCTTTTACCCCAAATTATTCCGTCCAGTCCACGTAGCGCAATATAAAATTGATATAATCAAGAAGCCCATTGTTGTCCATATGCGTCTGTAAAGCTTTTGTGACAGCCTAATATTTATTATGTATATAGGGATTTGGATCTCAGAAACTAAAGTTTGACAGATCTGGTAAGAAAGTGAAGCCGAGAGCAGTAAGAATGGAACTCACTATCACCCAACCTGATGATTGGCATCTTCATCTCCGTGACGGCGACCTTCTTCAGGCTGTTGTGCCTCACAGGTCATATAACTTCCTGCACTTTTTTCTGTTGCTGGATTTGACTTTTCTTTTGCTGATAGTTCGATTGTGGGTTGTGTGTCTTTTCACATCACTGCTTTGGTGGTTATTAATGTTTGTTCCCTATGGAACCGTTGTTGTTTCTTCTGTATAAATTCCTCAATTACAAAATTTGCTTTGATGCCTTGTGTTGTCTGATGGAAAATGGTCTGTGTAAATGTGTGTAGTGCGAGTAATTTCAAGAGAGCGATTGTGATGCCGAATCTGAAGCCGCCTGTTACAACCACTGAAGCTGCCGTTACTTACCGGGACTCTATCATGAAAGCTTTGCCACATGGGAGCAGCTTTGATCCACTCATGACACTCTATTTGACAGACAAAACCCATCCTGATGAAATCAAGCTTGCCAGTAAGTACATGTGCTATTGTTTGGTCCATCATGTTGAGATTGTAGTCAGATATATTTTCATCTTTCAAATTGAGATTGTACAAGCTCGTTTTCGTTTTTAGGGGAAAGTGGTGTGGTTTATGCGGTGAAGCTGTACCCTGCCGGAGCCACAACCAACTCTCAAGATGGTGTCACAGACCTCTTTGGGAAATGCTTACCAGTTCTAGAAGAGATGGCCAAACAAAACATGCCTTTGTTGGTCAGTAAACCACACAGGACATTAGACTTATCTTTTAGTCTTTTAGACTGTCTTAACTAAAGAATGTTTTGGTTAGGTTCATGGGGAGGTCACAGATCCAAGTATTGATGTCTTTGACCGGGAGAAAATCTTCATTGAGACAGTTCTTCAGCCTCTAATCCAGCGCCTGCCGCAGCTCAAAGTAGTGATGGAACACATCACTACCATGGATGCTGTGAACTTTGTTGAGTCTTGCAAAGAAGGTTTTGTAACCATCTGGTTTTTCATTTCTTGTCTTCCGGTTTTTGCTAATCTGCTTGGCTCATTCCCTTTTGTTGGTTTTAGGATCTGTGGGTGCAACAGTCACACCACAGCATCTCCTTCTCAACAGGAACGCTCTTTTCCAAGGTGGATTACAACCTCACAACTACTGCCTTCCAGTTCTCAAAAGAGAGATACACCGTATGTTCTTCACTTTTCCTCTGGAAACATTAAGATTTCAGTTCTTAAAGCTGCTTTATGAAGATTGTTTGTTTTTACTTATACAGGACAAGCCATAGTCAAAGCTGTAACTAGTGGAAGCAAGAAATTCTTCCTCGGCACAGATAGTGCTCCACATGAACGGACTAGAAAGGAATCATCCTGTGGATGTGCTGGTATTTACAGCGCTCCTGTTGCCTTGTCCTTATACGCAAAAGTCTTTGATGAGGTAAACTTTGTAACTTCAAAACAGTGTACTTTCCCTTGTTTGGAATTTCCTTAAGTTTCATAGCTGTTACTTCTTTAATGCTCAGGCTGGTGCGCTTGACAAGTTGGAAGCTTTCACAAGCTTCAATGGACCTGATTTCTATGGCCTCCCGAGAAACTCGTCAAAGATCACACTGAAGAAAGCTCCTTGGAAGGTTCCAGAGAATTTCTCCTTCTCCTTTGGAGAGATCATTCCAATGTTTGCTGGAGAAACCCTTCAATGGCAACCATTCTCCAAATGATGTGGTGGTTTGGAGTACTTGTTGTATCTTTTGGATTGAATCTTCTGATGGCTGAGATATGCTCTGCATTTTTTGAGGAATAAAAGCAAGATACTGAACCAAAAATGTTTATTTTGCGTTTGAATCTATTTTTATTATTTCTCCATTGGATTTCATTGACAGTATAATCCTCAATCAGAGTGTGCTTGACGCCTACTCTCACCCGACGAAGATGTCCCTTTCTCGTAAACACGGGGCAGAATTGCTGCTGTGGTAACTGTAGATGGACTTAATGGCGAAGGTATGTGTTCCTCCATTTCCATCGATCCACCTTGATTCTGGTCTTCACTAGAGGTTTCCGTGTAAGAGACTTCCGCTCCAGTTTCGTCATCGGTTATCATGTCCTTAGCTGTTTGCATTTGTCTAGGAGAATGATCCGGTAAACTGGGAGTCTCGTCTTCCTCAGAAGACTTTGTATGTGAACTGTCACTGCTCTTGGAATCTGAACATGTTTTCTGCATATACATGATCTTTTATTTCGGATTTCTGCCAAAAACATTTAAAGAAACCTAAGATTAGAGATACCTGCAGCGGCTCTGCTAGAATTGGCTGAACAGCTTGAGCTTCGTCTGTTCTTGTAACTCTTGAAACTTGTTTTCTAGTTTCATGGCGCATTTTAATGTTGATTTCCTTACTGGGAGAGTATTTTGGTAGAGAGGATGGATCACAAGCCAATGGCTCAGTTTTAAAGTACTGTTTCACAGTGAAAGAAGTTAATCATAAGAACAACTTCACAGTGAAAGAAGTTACAAATCCAAGGTACCTCGCTCTTGAGAGCAGTAGCTGCAGTGCCTCGAAAATCTGGATCTATTGAGAGCAAAGTCTCTAGAATCGAAATCACAGGAGCTGGAAAGTCTTTGAATGTCTCTGCTACATGTGATCCATACGGAAACATTGGTCTCAACGGAGTCGAAAGCTGTAGCTTTAGCTTTGTCCATAAATCTTCTGAAGGCGATCCACACAACTCGAATATCTTGTGCAGTTGGTCTGTCTAACACATAAGAATATACAGAGGAAAAGTCTGAGATTTTGCTGTTCTCTGGCAAGAACAAGACTGATTGTAATGGTTTGATACCTCGTTTTTCCCTGGAAGAATTGGCTTCCCGGCGTATATTTCAGCTATGACGCAGCCTGTGCTCCACAAGTCAATCCCAGCACCGTAATGAGAAGCTCCAAGCAAAAGCTCAGGAGGTCGATACCATAGAGTTACAACATTGGTTGTCAGTGGAACACTGTTGTGAGGATCGAAGAACGTCGATAACCCAAAATCTGCAATCTTGAGGACTCCATGACTGTTGATCAGAAGGTTCGAGCTTTTTATATCTCGATGGAGTACATGATTAGTGTGACAATGATCAAGCCCTCTTAAGAGCTGCTTCATGTAGCATTTGACCTGACAGAAGAAGAAGAGAGATGTGATTGATTGATGGCTGTGAGGCTTTTGAGTGGAAGCGACAAAACAGTTAGTTACCTGAGATTCTGAGAATTTGTCACCGAGTAATGAAGAGAGTCCCAAGAGGTCATGTTCCATGTACTCAAAGATCAAGTAGAGGATAGAAGAATCATGTTCCACTAGCATTAACCCTTCTAATTTGATGACATTGGGATGATCTAACTTGCGTAGGATGATGATCTCTCTGGCGATACACTTGATGCTTTCTGAGTCGCTGAGATCAAGCCGGATTCTCTTCAAAGCTACGGTCTTGTTCCGGAGTAGATCTCTGGCTTTGAACACCTTACTGAATGTTCCTCCTCCGATCTGTTGCAGTTACAGAGAAGAAGAAGTTTGTTAATCAAATGAGAATCAACAAAGAGAGGCAGAGAAAGAGAGCTTGAGAGAGACTTGTTCTTGCTTCTCGAAGTTAGATTCACGGCCAGGGATCCAACCGACAAGGCTTTCACTAGCTACAGAGATAAGCCACTGTGGCCAACCGGAGGCAGCTAATTCCGATGAGTGAGGATGAGAATTAACAACAAGAACGCTTTCTTCTCTCTTCAGCTCCTTGGGACCTAATTTATCATTCATCTTCAACGATTCTGTGGCCTTTTGTGCTCGATCATCATCATCATCATCATCATCATCATCATCAGCTATTATTGTTTCTGATGGAGGAATGTGGAAGCGAGGAAGGTTTACCGGCGGCCCTTTTGTTGCCGTTTTCTTTTTCCGATAAGAAATGATGCAGCCCATTTTTGGCAAAAGCTTGAAACTCACGATACTGAATTTGCTAACAAAGATATACATTGTGAAAAGAAATTGCAATAAAGAAAACGTAAAACAAAACAAAAGTGGAAAGAGAGGAAATGTCTGAAGTCTGTACAGAACCAAATTCGTCGGAAAGGGACAGGACTCTAAATCCAACTTTTTCTTTAGAGAGAAAGAGAGAACACACTGCCGTGGACCCTACTCCAAAAGCCTAAGTGGCTAATCATTATTATTCTCTTTAGATTACGTAACGATTAGTTAACCGTTTCGGTTTGGTTCGGTTTATTCAATGTATTTCGGTATTTTGTATACTCGTGTGGGATTGAACTTTGAAGAGTCGTATACATCAGACTGTAATGATTTTACGATATTAGATTGCTGTTTAATTTATGTTTATGTTTAAGTTTGAAACGCAAACAAAAATTTCAAAAAATATTAACACTTAGAAACATAATATTTTGACTAGTAGGTTCTAAATTATACACGCAAGTGAAAGAAATGTATTTTACAGATTTTTTTGAAGTTTAACTTCTTGATTAAGAACAAAGTCAGAGTTTATTGACACCTCCGATTTTTGGACGAGATATATGTGAAAACAAAAAAAGTTCATACATTAATAAACGTTCTTTTTGAAGTTGTGAGATTAATTTTGAGGAGGAGGAGTTTTCTTGGATTGTCTTGTCTCAGGAGGTCCAATGAACAAACCAGTCTCCACTTCCATGTCATTGTCAACTTCTGCTGATGATAAGGTTGACGACGATGATGCTACTATTGCTCCCGTTCCCGTTCCCATTCCCATTCCAAGACACTTTTATTTACACGATTCACCAAAACTCTTAGTCAAAAACCACTAACATATTTCATAATAATAACAATAGCACTTATGACTAGCTAGAGACAAATACCTTCTCCTTCAGTTCTTTATTTTCCATGGTGAGCTTCCTCTCCTATAAGATTTTGACAAAGAACAGAGAAACTTTTTATTTGAAGCATAGAAATCGGGGTAGAAAACGATCCTTTATATAATCGTTTAAAATATTTGTACCATCTAAAGAAGAAACAAAATAGAGCATGAATTTTGTTTTACCTCTTCCTTCAGCTTCTCAATTTTTTCACGGAGTAACTGGTACTGAAAATAATCAAAAGTATACAAAATAGATGTAAGCGTATTTCCATTAAAAATAAAAAATCATCAAGTGACATTTGTAAATGTATACTGCAAAGAATCATTCAACAATTTTAAGGATGGTAATATGATAAGCGAGGCCATGCAAACCATGGTACATGGACATCAGCGATATATATTCATGCATGCATGGGACGCCACACAATGTTAGAACTTTTACAATGATTTTTTTAAAACTTAGGATGAGTAGATGACTAGATTTGTATAGTAAAATCACTCAAAAAGAAAAAACATCTGCATACGTTTATTATAACTTGCAAATATAAAATACAGTATGTCATCTACACTTAGTATACTAAAATCGCACAAAAGCGAGAATATATGACTAATCATAGTTTCATTTATCATTGAAAAAGTGTGTATGCATGAATGAACTAAATGATATTTTGAAGCTTCATACGATATGAACATTTAGCGTAGTATGCGGTTTATTTTATAAAGAATACCTTCTTGGCTCTAATCTTTGTCAAGCTTCGGTCCAACTGATTCTCTAAATGTTGCAGCTCCTCGATAGAACATACATCAATACCTTCTCCAAGCAATTTTCTGCAATTATATATTACGATCAAATTATAATACAGTTTCGAATTCATATCTACTAATACTATTCTCGCAAGGTATTATGAGTTCCAAACCTTTTAGAGATCTCTAGCTGTTCAATCTTTTTGGTCAAGCCATTTGTTTCGTTCCTCGCTTGCTGCAAATTAAGTACTATAGTCGGTGAAAACATTAAAACACACAAATGATCGTTATGAAAACGTATTCATTCAAAGTATGTAATTCCCAAAATATGAATGAGGATAAATTTTAAACATAATGAATCAAAGGCTGCGAAAGAGTTCTGGTTACCTGAGAATTATCATCTCTCTTATGGTTGAGACCAATTTCTTTGACTCGTTTCTGATATCGTTCTATTGTTTTTGCTATACTGAAAAGAATCAAATACGAACAAAAGAAACGAAAAATGTGGAGTCAAAACGTAACATTTTCACTTCAATTTCCAACAAGCAAAATCACAATGTTACACACTATTATATTAATTCTAAAAATAAAATCTATGTGAATGAAAGGAATAAAGTAACAAATTTATGCAATTTAGATATAACTGATCTCATTATTATCATTCAAAAATAAATCATCATGACCGTTTATTATAGTTATAGTTATGTACATGGAAATGGAGTGATGGAAATTGCCTATAGTAAATGGTTGCTATATATATTTTTTTAATTATTCTGATTAAACATGCTATTTTGTTGAATAGATTTAAAAAAAAAAATAGATTTATGTGGTATCTTCCTGAATGGTATCAATACATATTGCGTCAGGTAACAATATAGAACTTTAAGGGAATAATCACATGTATGATCTTGACTGAAAAAAAAAAGATCACACATATATGATGTAATTAAGATTTATGTATGATTCGACAACCAACATCAGACACCAATATACATATAGACAGAGACAGGCAGATGTATATATAGATGCACATGGACATGCTCAGATCGATAGTGAAATTAATATGCTTACCCTTTAAAATATCATTAAGCAGCACTGCGTTAACAACTATGATTCTGTGGTTAACAATGCCTAGTTAATTGTGATTAAGCTCTCTTGGCTTTGCTCAAAAGACACTCAAGTACACGTATATATTGTTTAAGTGCCTAATCAGTTAACTCTATGTTTAATCCGCATAAACTATTTACCAAAAAACAAATCAGTATACCTACAACTCGATAAATAAAAATAATTATGATCTACACATGCGCTGACTCCTTCACTGTCATTGCCTAAGTGAAGCGTTTTGTGGGTGAAAAGTTAAGCAAATGCCTCTTTTTCCTACATTATTTACATATTTATACTTGATACATCCATATACACACATACAAAAGATGCATATACGCTCACATATATACATATAAATAAATGTGTTATATCATGTTCTCGCCTAGATTAAACATGTATGTTCAGTGTTCACACATGAATGAGTACTCGTCCATAACTTCAAACATGTGTAAAAATATTTTTTTTTTTTGGTAAAATGTGAAAGGTGTAAAAATATTTACTAATGCATGTGTTCATAACTGTATGTACACAAATTCTATTAGCTATATAGAAAACCATGATAGATGTACCTAAAAAACATGATAAAACCAAAAACACACACACACACACACACACACACACACACATGCACACACACACACACACACACACACTATAAAGAGAGAGACACATGGTACACATTCATGTCTAAATAAGGAAACTAATCGTTAGTTCCAAGTATGGGCTATTTTGCTTAATCCATGAACATTTATGATAATATATATATAGGCCTAATTTGAGTGATTAAGGACGCTATGCTCAAAACTCAAAATTCATACATATATTGCTACACAGAACTGACTGTATATATGTTAAGATAGCAAGCATTGACTTTTCGTTGATATAAATGGATAACCATAAAATATCTGTAAGTTAAAGTTGTTTCCATATAAAAGATCTCATTTTAGAGGGAAAGTTGGAAATATCTTATTTTTGGAAATGAAAGTCGGAAATATCAACTCATCTACAGCGAGAAGTGGATGGCTCACAACTGGTACACATATATAGATACATACATACATATATAAATATACATCATAGGTTGCAGTGCCATGTAAATCTGCTTACTATTTACTACAATCCTCTAAAAAACTCCATTTTCTTTCTCTGATCTACTTTTGACCATTGAATCACTCTTTATTACTTTGATAATCATATAAACATATTTAATCCATCGAATCAACAAATTACGGTGGATATTTGACCGGATTAACCCCTAATCGAGTCGGATCAGTGAATCAATAAGGAGAAACAAGTAAAAGTTTATAAACAAAAAAGAGGATAATTAAAAAGACATGTACCTTGAACTAGAGAACTCATAGAGTTTGGATCTTGGAGAGAAGATGATCAAAGCAACTTCAGCATCACAAAGGACCGATAATTCAAAAGCTTTCTTCAAAAGTCCATTTCTTCTCTTGGAGAAGGTCACTTGCCTACTCGTTGCGTTTTCAATCCTCTTCATCTCCGTCTTCCCCCTCACCATCCTTAACTTTTATAATCTTAATCCAAATCTTCTGCTTTGATTAACACAAAAACATGTTATAATCTTTAAAACGAATAGGATATAGAAATTAAAATTAATTAAGATGGGGTTACGGTTCAGAAGAGAGTCAAGAGACATAGACTAAGGATTTCTCAAACTACAAAGTGACCTCCAAGAACAGCAACAGCAACAATAAGTAAGATTGGAAAAGAAGAAAATCTTTAATTTGACTTCTTTTATAGGAAATAAAAAGGAACAATTTTTTGCTATAAATGGAAAATGGATCGACGAAAAACAGAAGACGGATTTCGAGATTTACCCTCTTTTGTATGTGTATCTCTGTATACGTGTGTGTGGAGAGAGAGAGGGAGAGATATTGGGAAGAGGTTGTGATACAGATTGCTGAGAACTTCTTTAGAAACCCTAGATTTATGGTGAAGGAAGGGAGAGAGAAAAATGATATTTTCTTTATGCTTGATAATGATATACAATATGATAATAGCCTTATTTTGTTGCTTTTTGTTAAATTTGCCATTTTCTCTTATGCCTATTAGTGAGTGGTCTATAACCCTAGACCTGACTTACTAGTACACTGCACTTTATTTTTAGTAACAGCATTACGTAATTTCTTTCTTCTTTTGGTAAAAACTTTTAAATGCAAATTGAAGAACAATATTATAGTAGTAAATTAAGTGGAATAAGTTCCAATCGGATGACAGGTTCATGATCTTAACTTTTTTTCTTCTTTTGGATTTTAAATTCTCTATTCAGTGGTAATTAGATTTATATTATAAACAAGAATCCCTCGTAGGCTCGTACGACGCATATATATAAATATCTGTAGTAAAATCAGAACTGCTTTAAACTTAATATTAATTCATGAAAATCTTCTTGTTGACCCCGAAAAATAAATTAGACATACACCATTTCTGATTTTTACGAGAGATAAATGGGAAAAATTAAATAATACGTGTTAGTGTAATTGCAGGTTTACCATCTCTTGAGGACTTGAAGTTGAAGATAAGTAGGAAGCGAAGGTGATGATATACTAGAGGTTACTGGAGGAGATCTTGACACCTGTCCATGTAAACCGACAACCTATAGAACCGGTGTCCGTCAAAGTTGGTTTCACCGGTCCATCTGTGAACAGCCAGCATTTTTGTCGGTTGCCAGCTCCTCTCGGACAAGATGTGCTCAACTAATCACGCACGCATCGTCCAGTCTCCATAAACAAAGTAAACAAAAGTATCATTATATTAAAATCTTCGAACAAAATAAGCTACTAAAACAGTAAATGTTTTGTCACCATATTCAAGTACACGTGGATAGATATGATAAAGAGTTACAGTGTATATACTTTATATTTTGCATGTGTCATGTGTGATTGGTGTGTTTAACATACAGAATATCGTATTTTGTGGTAGCCCCAAAGGAAAAGAAATTCTCTATTTCTTGTATACCAATCACATTCGTAATTTATTCGTTTGAATTCACCGAGTAACTCTACATATACTCTACACATATTTACCGTATAATATTGGCAGCTCCACGCTCTTGTTTCGTGCGTTTCTTAATCACCTTCTGTCTCTCTCTCGCTTATTACTTTATTCGTTTCCGCTCGTTTTTATTGATTTAATTATTCTAACTAATCTGCATAATCAAGTGCATATCCACTATTGGATGCTTTTTAATACATTTAAATAGCATTTGTATGATTTCATCTTTTCATATCTCGGAACAGGTGTCGCACGCTAGGAGGACCACATCCATTTTCACTAATTGAGCTCAATGTTCTGTTTTTTTTTTTTTTTTCTTTCATATTTATATTTCTTGCCAGTAATGCTTGTTAAAAGTTAAAACTTCCCTTAAAACAAGAAACCCATGTCACCTTGTGAGAATCAACTTTTCCGAATAATTTATAATGATCACACCTCTGACCATAAACGAAAAACGAATCTGGCATAAGTAGTAATTAAATCACATTATCTGATTTCCAAATTCTACTAGAGCCACTTTATTGTATACATAATACGCTTGCCAAATTACATAATACAATTTGAAACTTACAAGATTTCCAACAGACATATATTTCTTAGTCGAGTTTCATATGCTGATTATTAGACTATTTACGAGGTTAGCAGTCAGTACTCAGTTAGTATAACGTTTGTACATTGCGCTGAATGATTTTTTTATGTTTCAAATTATGTATTAGTGGTTGGAGAAGTTAAAATAGTTAATGCACAATGCACAAACGTACGTTATGTTTTACGATAGCTACAACTCCGGTTTAGTACGATGGCAACGACTCTGGTTTAGTAAAATTATATCGATTACGGTTTGGTTAGTTCCGGTTTCGTCTATTGGCCAAACCCATTTCAAAATCAATTTTTCCTTTCTCTCGTCACTCGCACATTGCTAATAGTTCCCCATTTCCTCGCATTCTTGCTTCAGCTGGGAAAACAAAATTTTCAGAGTGATTCGAGCTATTTTCTTCTTCGGTTGAATCTGACTTGACTCAGAGACGATTGAATCAACAATCACTTCTCCGATTCCGACTGAGCTTCGCGGATCGTCAATGGCGGCCGATTCCTCTCCTCCGACTCCGGATTTTCCCGCCGAATCTACGCAGACGAATCAGAAACCGCAACCGCAGAATTCGGAGAAGGAAACTCGGAATGATGTGACTTACAAGACGAAGAAGATCAAGTTTCTTGGAAGAACGACGCACATCATTCTCCAGAACGAGAACGGACCATGTCCTCTCATCGCCATTTGTACGCTCTCTCTCGTCTAAGCTTCATTTTCCCCCAATTTCCTCTTTCTAGGGTTTCTAAACTTCGTTTAGGCTATCGGTTAGGGAAGGGAACTGGAATTTTCGGTTTAGCTATTGTGAATCTTCTACTTTTAGTTACTCTGTAAAATTGATGGATTCGCTTCTTGATTTTACACATTGAAGTCAGATTGTATGCTTCAGATGTTGATTTTTTTTTCAATTTCTTTGTTTATGCAAACAGCTAATGTTCTTCTGTTGAGTAATGCCATGAATTTGAGTCCTGACATTACTGAAGTATCTCAAGAGGAACTGATGATTCTTGTGGCCGGCACACTGATTGAGCACACTGATGTAATCATCTGACTTTTTTTACTTTCCCGGTTTAGTTCATTATCTTATTTCCTTATTCGAGGAAGATGATTACCTTCGATTTCCTTTCTCATGGCACAGAGAAATGATGAAGATTATCTCAAGAATCAGGAGGAATTAATGTCTGATGCGATGAATCTCATCCCGTGCCTTGCAAATGGACTTAACGTCGATATCAAATTCACAAGGTTTAATCCTTTATAACTCTGTTTTTTTTGTTCTCTTTTTAATACAAAGAATATGACGTATACTCGCTTGCAGGATTGATGATTTTGAGTCCACACCAGAGAAAGCTATCTTTGATGTACTGAAGATTCCCTTATACCATGGCTGGATTGTTGATCCCAAGGTATCATTTTGATCGTTTCTTGTTTGATATATTTGGAGTAAATTGGCAAAGTTTCAATATTGACTGATTTTTCCTCTTCATTGCTTATCTTCAGGATACTGAAACTGCTGCTGCGATTGGATGCAAATCTTATAACGCTTTGACGACTGAGCTTGTTACCTTGGAGGCACAGACTGCGAAGGCTCGAAGGGGAGACACTGAAGAACAGTTGCAGATTCTGCAAGCCTTGCGGTTATCTGAACTGGAAGCGCTTGGTTTTGATACTCGCAGAGACTCAAGCAGTGGAGGAGAGTCAATGTCCGGATTCACAGATGACTCATTCGTATATTCTGTGGACACTGAATCTAGCTGTGGTAGCACCCCTGACAGTAAAATCTCTCAGAAGTCCAGATGTGATTGTGATGTTGGGAATAAGATCAATAATGGGGAAGAGGTACCCGTTACAAAGATCAGTGGAGCTCTTGGCCATGATCAGCTATCTGAGATGACCTCTGGGGATTGTAGCAAAGTGACTTCCTCTGTGGAGAAGACTAATCTGGAGTCGACCAAAACTGACAGCAGTCCTGAGATTCCATGCGAGCCTGAAGCTGTAACTTTTGTTAACCCAGGTAAAATCATTGGTATCGCAGTAAGATTCTGGTTTAAAGTTGCATCTGGAGAATGTTAGATTTGATGTTTCTTACTCAAATATGCTCATTGCATTTCCAGATCTTAGTGTCAGATCCCAGGATGATGAGGATGGTATAAGCATAGGTTCTCCAGTTTCTGAAGGCGAGTCACATCTTGAACAAAGCTCTGCAGAAGTGAAGGATGCAAGTGGGCTCACGCCAAAACAGGGTAAGTTCATACATATGCATATATATAGACAACTCCAGAAATGAGTTTTCTCAAGAAAACTTCACTAATGCTTGAGTTTTCAGGTGAAGTGATAAAAAACTTCTTGGAAGAGAATGCCAGCCAGTTAACTTCTACCGGGTGCGTTTGATGAAGATTTTGTGTAATTGGCTATACACTCTGGGTTTTCTCTTTACAATTTTTGTTTACTATTATCATTTCCTTTCACAGGATCTCTTGCTTGAAAGAAGACCTTAAAGAACGTGAACTCTGTGTCTTCTTCCGCAACAATCACTTCTCTACCATGCTCAAGGTAAGTAATATATGAAAAGCTGTATCTTGGATTAATGAACTCATAAACGTAGAGGCGATATTTTTACGTATTTGTACAGGTTGATTCTAACTCGATCGTTTATTTGTTTCTCACATTATGCAGTATAAAGACGGACTCTATCTTTTGGTAACTGATCAAGGCTATCTTACAGAGAAAGATTTGGTTTGGGAGAAACTTATAGGGGTATTTTGACTAATTATGTTATAGTTGTAATCAAAGATTGATTTTGGTATATTCAAGAAGTCTCTTGATGGTTTTGTTTTTAATCTTTTCAGACTAAAGGCGAGTCTGTCTTCATGACCGGTAGCTTCAAGGTCTTCAAGAGTGACAGCGGCGAAAGTTCAAAATGGGATCAACTGAATGCAGTTAATGATACTGCGGTATGTACAACACTTTGTCTCCTGCTTCTGGATTTCTTTAACCATGTAGTAGAAGTTTCTTGGCATGAATAAACTGAATCTTTGTGTTTGTTCTTCTTTATCAGGATTTTATCTTCAGCGTCAACAGTTCATCAAAAGAAGGCATGGAGATTGAGTTAATATCTCTAACTCTCTGATTTTTCTGACCATTTTTTTCACTTTCTTCCTTAATATTATGATATACATCTTCTAAACTTCTTTTTTTTTTGGTTTTAATGGAAACATTGCAGTCCTGATCTTAAGATGGCGGTGGAGTTACAGCAACAAGAGTTGGCTAATGACATTGATTACGAGGTACTTTAGGTGATCTTAGTCATTACATATATCATCAGAATGTAGAAATCTCCTAAAAGTGTAGAGAGGATATAGAAACACACGTCTCACTTTCGTACATACTCTGTTAGTCCTTTATCCTTACCACAAAAAACATAAATTTCATAGTCTTTTCAAATACATAAGAAGACGGAAAGAAAAAATTTGCCATTGTAGCTTCTTCTGATTCCTATTTCTGCTTGTCCTTTGGTATGTTTGCAATGAACATGACCAAGGAGCTCTTCTGCAGTATTTACTTGTACCTAATAGTTATACCCTACAAATCCTTTACAAAAGTAAATAAGTAAAATACCAAAACTACAGAAGAGTAGAAGAACTTAGCTTAAAATCTGAACAAAAGAACCTCAAAAGTATCTAAGCACAAGAAGCCAAATAAAGTATAATGTAATAACATCGATAAAGAAATGATCCCCCCAAAAGGAATGGTAGCAGAATTATATGAATTCTTATACTGGGTAAATTTCAGGACCCATGATTCCACATAAACATCAGCCTAAGTGCCAAACCACACCACCCCATATGAGAACAGAACGATCATGGTTTATTTACCGTGATCTGAAAAATCATCAGTTTAAATCCAATATAAAACCACCAGATATGCTATAAATGATATAAGCCATTTTAATATTGGAACTGTGTCGATAGGACACTGTTTGAAGGATGGATGTTTTCATCATGAGATGTGTAAAAGTGTGTGTGATATTATCTCTTCAGGTACCAATAAGAAGCAATCATTTGTCTTCTTCAATACAAGAAGTGAAAGGTGTCCAAAGATGGCAAATGTGCAATCATGTATATAACTCTTCATGTCCCCTTACCACTTCTGTGTATTTTTATCTTCTTAAAGTAAGTGTTTTTTCCATTGAATATTGTTTGCAAATAAAGCATATAAGATTTAACCAGCAATCAGAGCTTTTTTGGATGCTTGCTTGGTTCAAGTGGAGTACGGAATTTGATATTCCTTGTATCACTGAGGAAGGGCCCCTTCGTTTATTGGGTCAAATATTCTGTAGGTAAATTGTTCAACTGAAATAGAATCAATGACTTCAGCAAAATTCGGACAGTGGGAGCTTTTTGATATCAAAATCAAACGGTGACTTTATTTTTTTAGATTCCGAGATAAGGTTCAGAGGTATAAAGATACAACTTTTTTGCTGACAAAGACCCACCAAATTCTAAACTCATATATCCACATGTTCTTTTGAGGAAACTGGAAAGACAAGGTGTAAGTACAAAACTGTGAATCAGCATGTAAATACACAAATTTATCTGTGAATTACTAAACATTCTTATTACATGAAACTCCCAAGAGGTTTATCAACCATGTGATATCAGTGATTATTTTTTTACAATTTGGTATATAACATTACTGGACAAAAGTAAAAGGATAAAGAATCTCCTACAAAATCTCTAGAGTCTCCTTTTTCTCTCGTGTTGTCTCAATATCTCATATCTCCCTCAAAACTGTCGAATCCAAACAATGAGGATCCCAAGTTGAGAATAGAATATTAAGCAACTAACTAAGATGAAGAAGAAGAAGGAAGAAGAGCATCAATTCCTTTTTTCCTTGTGATACCAGTTGGTACACCATAACATACCGGCGCAGCCCCAATCAAGTATGGCAAAGTACACACTTCTCTAGCCGCAGCGATAAACGAACCGATTTTGCGTCTATGCTTGTTGTGATTGCACTCATTTGACTGAGCCGACTTGTTACGCGTTGACGGTTTCCTTGACCTCTTGGTGGTGGTGTTGTTGCCTTTTAGATTCAACGCTGCAAGTTCATTAGCTAATGACTCACACTGGCTGCAACCACCCTCTGAGGAGGAAGAATCTGACCTCTCTCTCAACCAAGCTTCCAACAACGCTTTCCCAAACCGGTCAATGTCTCTGTCTGTGACGTCCCATAGATTCGCCACAATGGCTGGAGATCCAGCTAAGAGATAAGAGAGTGGTACGCCTTGTGGGATGTAGCAGCCTTTGAGCCATAGTGAACCACTACTGCATCCCATTAGGAAAGTTGCAGAACAGTTATCTAGTTTCTCTATTTCATTCTTAGACAGATATTGTGCTCCTGCAGTATCATTTACAGTTGAAGATCTCTCTTAGAAAATAATCTCAACTTAAATATAGATAGAACCAAAGACGGGTTAAGGAATCATACCACTTCCATGACCGAAATATAGAAACAGATCATGACTTTGTAATGCTTCAGTCAGCTCTTCACTACTTGGTACTGATCCAGCTTTGCCCTGAAAGTATTATGCAATGACGAAAGTTTACGAGATTAAGCATAAAAAAGGTTTACTACGAGTATGCTGGCTTTATATATTATTATATATGTTACCTTAAAGTTTTGATCTCTGAACCAACTTTCAAACTCGACTTGCGTGTTGCTGAGATCACCACCGGGATTCAACAAGTAAAATGAATCTAGCGGATCGATAAGAGGGAAGGAAGAAACATGAGATCTTGCTGGCTCTCCTTGGAGAGAGCGCTTCTTTAGCACAGCAGATATGCTGCCTACAGAAGGCATTCGGTACACCTCCTGTTTCCTTAGTATCGGAATATTCTCCCAAGGAAGCATCTAATCAAAATTAGAACACAGTTATATTGTAAGAAAACCTGTAAGCGACTGGAGAAAACAGAAGATAAACCACGCACAAATTCACGAGGAATGTCAAATGTTGTAATGCATGAGCAGGAAAATATAGTTGACGAACCTGAACCTCAGGATCTAACACAAGAATGATAGGTTCTCTATCTTCATCTCCGTCATGTTGCTCTAGTTTGCTTGCTGCATCATGTATCAGTTGTAAGGCCAACCCATGCCTACTTTCAGAAACATTAGATGCTGCAGTGGGAGTTTTACAGCTATCTTCTTCATAAAGATATCCCCCTCTACCTACATAGCAACCATTCCTTAAAGAAAGCTGAGCAATACATGCTTCTCCTTTGAAGTTTTCAATCCCACCGCCAAGAATAACCTTCAAAAGCATCTCATTTACTTCCATTTTGCACTTGGACTTGAGATCCTTTACCAGTTTTCTCTGTACAGAGTTGGGCAAATTGAAGTTTGACAAGTCTCCAAGTAACAGACATCTCCAGGGACCCAGCCAGGAAGCTTCTAGATTCCTAGAACAAAAGAGTGGTTACCCAATGGTGTTAACAAAAAACAAAATCAGACTCGTGCCTAGTTGGTGGATTCAGAAGATGGATCAAAACACAGTTTTGTATATGTCGTAGTTTATAATCTTAGCAAGAAGAGATACTAAAATGTAAAAGCTTTTGATAAGCATTAGACAGATATGTACACGTGTTATAGAAAGAGAGCCAACACACCTTAGGAATTTTCCAAGATGATGATCAAGTTTCTTTCTCTGTTTCCACCACAAGCATCTACTCTCTTTGGTGTCTTCTACAGATGATCCAGTAGATCTGTGGTTTTCCTCCAATATTGATTTAAATGCTGGAGCTACATCATCAACGACGGTGGAACCCCAAGGACAAAGCCAGTGCCTCTCCAAATTCTCGACCTGAGTCGCTTCCGTAGAACTAAGATTTCCACTGTCATCTGACATGTCTAGTGAATCAATGAGATTATGAGTACAAAGAGGAAACACCATTGATCAACCAATAGGCAGTTCATATTTACCTTCTAGAACTGAATCTACCGGCAGGAGTGTGGCAACGGGTTGACTTTTCGAGTTGAGGCGTGATACGAGCACCCAGGCACAAACAGGTGATCGAATTTCCATTAGTTCCTGTAACAATTGATTTAAAGCGCCTCCAAGCAAACTAATACAGATGATTGTTGAGCTTGGAAGATTGTTGAAGAATTCTTTAGCAAATTGTCCAAGATCTTGAGTCCGCTCAGGAGCAAGCCTACAGTGGCGAGTAAGAAAAAATAGGGTAAGGCATAGAACATTTCATAGCATGTCTGGTTGCTTAAGTTAACTCGTCTCATACCTGGGTAAGTCCAACTCCTCAGTAACCATGCAACTCGAACAACTAGCCTCTGTACACTGAAAAGAAAAGCTGTCAGATAAGAGAAGCAACACATACTTCTGATGTGTTCTTGACGTATCATTAATAACACTGAGGTCACACGAGTTAATCGCCAATTGACAAGCTGAAAATAGCTACAACCTCTTTCTCTTACCTCTTTATCTGAGAGGCACTGTGACTTGTGTCTTCGGCTCAAATTTGAAATAAACTGGTAACTAATATGGGTGCCAAGCGAGGCTTGATGGAAATATGAGACCCAATGACTAGCCGACAGCTCATTTCCATCAGATTCCAGTGAGAATTCAGCACTTGAGGCAGAAAGCAGGTATAAAGAAGCAAGCAATCTTGAAACCTGTGGGTAATAAAAAAAACAGATTTATACCAAACAATAATTAAGATCGAAACAGGACCATCGAAGACAGGTTACCATAGAATAAGATGAGCATTTACCTTCTGAAATACTATTGGAAACTCTCTGCTGAGTATAAATGCTAATATCAACCACGACACCAGTTTAGTGAAAGGAATATGAGATAACTCACAGCAACTAGACCTGTCAAAGGTAACAATCAAGGGATAAGGATGATAGGTACCCAATACTAGAGGGCATTTGATTTATAGAGCATATGACTTTTCTCATGGTTCAATTTCGCATCAAGGAGGACAAAGTTTAAGCATGGCAAAACTAACAAGGAGTTCAACCAATAGATGTCGAACATACCTGCTCTCCCTGCAGTTGTAATTCCGCAGACTTAACCAGCCCATGTTGTACAGTATTATTGCACGATCCATAGCAAATAAATCCCTTGTAACTTCTTTCCCAATAAACTCCATCAACTGACTGACAGAAGGTTGGCTGTGACTTGACCAGTTGCTTTTAAATAAAACAGAGATACTATGCAGTAGTGCCTCATGAGCTAGATGAACTCTACCAGAGTCTGCCAAACATTTTCCTGAAATGGAAAGCGAAGTTAGAAGCAGGTATACACATCTGCTAACGATGCTTAGTGACTGAGATGTGTATATACCATGTCCTTTTGTCAGAGAATGAACAAAAGAGTAGCAGACACATCTATCATGTATATGCAGGAGAATCGCCAAACGAAAAAAAAACATGGAAATGCAAAGTAAGATCAAACTAATTGTGGACTCGAGAATCATTCACGGTTTCCAAGACCCTTTAACAATGGATGAATTTACTGGTTACTAGATCTCAGTTCTCGTCTACCCTATTTAAGATAATAGTTGTTTCCAACAGGAAACTGTCAAAAGGCCAACTTCATATGCATGCATTCACGTGTTACCGAGCAGATGCATAAGGAATTAGAGCATACCGAGGTTCACAAGTATTGAGGACGCAAGCCTTCTGTGGCAGATTTCCCATTTCAAACTAACTAAACTGTTGAGAGACCCAGATTCCTTTACTTCCACAGAGAGGCACTCCATACATTTTTCTTTGTAGCAAATGCAAAAGCCATTGATTGCGTTTTTTGTGTCCAACAACAGCCTTTCACCCCCAGAACAATCAGATATATCATGCACATTAGAACAGTTTTGGGGTTGCTCTTTCCGTGACTGACGCATTGAGCGAGTCAACCTTGAAGTTGACTCAGGTATCAAATCATGGTCCTTCGACACGCAAGTTTGGGAAGTTTTAGGTTTCCGACCCCTCCTCGAGCCTTTACATCCAGTTGGCTCCTTATGTATACTGGGTTTTGTTTTGCTTGACTTATATCCTAATACTTCCCCTACATTATCATCTATCCTAATTGCCTCAGAAATTTCTTCTCCATGAGATCTTATGCAGCTTTTCCATGCTGAGCAACAGATTTTTCCCAAGGCAGCACTAAACAGACTGTCAGCTGGCAAAAATCCATTCTGGGAAATTCTACTAGCACTATCAACTTGTTTTCGAGATATGTCTCCAAGTTGCTTATCCAATGTAACCTCTAACTTCAGTTTGCACTTTATACAAGAAAATTCTCTCTGATTAGCAATTATTATCTCTTTCGCATTTTGGAGTTCCTTCTCTGCCAGATCCAGACTCTGCTTTTTGAGGTAAAAGTTTCCTTGCAAAGTTAAAAAATAAAGAAAAATAAGTCAATGACTTATACACAGAAGGAATAAGGAAACATAAAAAAAAAACAACATTGGGAGGGACTACAAAAACGTGGTTTCATACCTAAGGCAGAAGAAAATGCAACTACAAAAGGGAATAGACTTTGCGAACATGAAAAGGCTTGCCCCCATGATAAAAGGGTTTCTGCCTCCAGTCCATTTCCTATTAGCTCATTAACAATTCCAAACTGCACATTTAACACCAAAATAAGAAACAGAGAAGTGATGGACCTTGGCTAGACAAGAAGGTCTGAGCAGAAATAGAACCTGAAGGGTGCTTTCCAGATAACATTGGAGTACATTCCAAGGACTTAAGTAGCAGCGATTAATGTCCCAACGAAAATTTCCACAAGGCCAATAATCAGTTGCTGGCGATTTGACCACTTCGAAGTTTTTTATAATAAAAGTCCGTATCTGTGATATTATTCCTCCGTCAATGTGTTTTTCGAATTCTTTCTCAGCTGTATACTTAAATTTCTCTTGAAATATAAGAGTTCGTATCCTATGGGCTTCTTTTGCATATAAAAGAGCCTGTAAAAGAAAACAGCTAAACATCAAGAGATTGCAACAATGAACCTGGTAATAATTCACAGCAAAAAAAAATTGTAGAAAAGATGTAAAATGTCTGTATAACAATTTCACCTCAGAAAGTTTTCCAAACGATATGAGCCTTTCACAGAGATCATAATAGAGATATGCAGCTACAAAAGATGAATCACCAGAGAGTGAGGCCTGAAATGACAAAATCATTAGTAAAAATTGATATCACTATAGATAATATTTGGCAAGAAAACTTCTACAGATAAGTTTAATTTCTTACACTTGAAATGAGTTCCGAAGCTGCTTTTGTAATATCATCTGTTGTGATGTCTGATTGAAAGGGACCTTTATCCTTATTGGATTTACGTAAGAAATCGTTGTGTAAATCCTGGAAGTTCTGCTGAAACCCAAGTAACCTTGCTTTTGAATCTTTCAGGCAATCTATCCAGAAACCAATGCACGTAGATTTCTCACCACAATTCTCTGATAAGTTCCGGATAAAGGCATCACTTATCGGGGAAGGGCATAAGGCATGACTTAGCCTTCTATATTCCCACAGCATTGCAAGGCAGACCTCCAATTTGACATTCTTCCACTTGAATAATCTGAAAATCAGCTGGTATATCTGGTGATGGAGCTCTGTACATCCCTGGACATGACAAAAAGTATCAAGGGGCAGACAGAAATGATTAGCGCACTATAAAGTTTGATACTAAAAATATAGTCCAGCTAGATAATAGGAAACAGATACCTTCAGTGACATCAAATCGATTATATTATAAAGTAATGGAATTATGTTTTCTGTTGGTAGACTGTCCCCACTATCATCTGGACTAGAAATCCTCAGCCAGAGATTTAGCGAAGTGCTAATATCCTGAAAAACTTTCTGTGCAAAAGAGAAGAGGCAAAGTGTTCAAGAAAGATGAATTTAAAAACTGACCCACAAACAACCAATTGAAAGGTAAAGTGTCAACAATTAGAAGCTATGTGCTACGCATTTTCACCTTTGAGTTTGGTTCAGCTTCTTGGATACAAAAAGCTCTCAAGCAATACGCAATCGGTAACTGGTGAGAAGATGGAGCACCCTCTTTATTTGGCCCAGGATGCACCTCAGTCTGCTTTCATACATACAAAGAATTTGGTCACGAAATATTTCAAGTACTTAATGAGCTGTTAATTCTGAGTGTAATAAGAGATATACCAATATAGAGATTGCTTCGGACAGAAAACGAATGCAGTCAGTTAGATGTTCAGTTCCAGATGTCCTAGTCATTCTTGCTTTCCATATTAAGATTTTTGCTCTCTCTATGTGCATATCCTTTGTTATATAAACATCCTTCAAAAGGATATCTGCTATTTCGATTCGCATTCGTTGACCTAGATTTGAGCTTAAAGGGAACAATTCATCATAGGCAAGAAGCTCCTGCAAGCATCAATAGAAAAGAGAAATTGCAAATTAAATTCAATATCAAAGTATCATTTCCACCAATTTTACAAATAGGTAAAACAAAATCCACTGACAAAACAAATTAAAGGTAATTTCTAGTAGTATGCCACTTCAAGTTAGGACCTGCACAAACTTTATCCAAACAATAATAGAAGAGTTGTCAGGATCCCAACCTGCTGTAGGATTTTTCCGACAGCTCGCTTCGACTTTTTTTTAGAAGATGAGAGCAATGAGTACAGAGTTGTACAGGAATCAGCCGCATCCAGATTCGTGTGACAACCTCGTTCTATCTGTTGGCAGGACACATTCAGATACTTGTGTTCAAAATCTATAAGAAAAAAGGTACTTCATCAAAAATTTACCTTGACCCACTGTTTTACAATTGCTGCAGGGCATGGTAACCTTCTAATCAGATGTTCAGCTGACAACCAATTTTCTAGAATATGCACAATAGTCTGTCTAATCTCACATCTGCTACATTGCTGCAGCATATCCAGGTATAATGCACACATATTACATGCTTCACCCACATAATCCACAATGGCATCTTCTGATACGTCATTATCAGATGAACTAGATTGCTTTACAAACATCTGACAGTTTAGTTCAACGCGTCTCCATGATGCCTTGGAACACAGCTTGAGCGCCTCACAAGCCTGCAAAGTCGAAAACTTACACTATAAAATGCACAGACAAAGAAGAAGAAGAAGAATATGTTATATTGATGCAGGAGCAGATTTTTTCTCCAATCTTCATACTTGTTAGCATAGAAAATCTATAAGACGCTAAAAAGCATGTACTCCACCTTTTCTAGCTCCTTATTTTTGTACAAAACGACACCAATATTGTATAGCGACGCAGTTAGATACTTGAGTTCTTGAGATCGGATCCATGAACTGGAAATTACATCCTCAACTAGGTGGGCACTGATCTGGAGAGGAAAATGTTGGTCAACTAAGTTAGATTTATGTTGGTTCACTTGAACGAGACATTTTCTATTGATTTGTATGCATTGCACATATATATCGAACCTCCAATTTAAGTTGGGTTCTCAATGAGACAGTGAAAGCAGCCATAGCCACGTTTTGCAAAGCTTTGTTATTGTCAGTTTCTCTTCCTCCTTTGTCAGACGTGCATCTAAGAAGTGGGCAAAGGAAAGGTGAGAAATGAATTCAAGCAACGGAAATTTTTTTACAAATGAATTCATATAGTTATCACCATGATAAAACAAAAAGACGAATGAAAAAACAAGTAGCCAAATGAGGTATTTACAGTGGCATGAAATCAACAACTTAGAAGAACTATCTTCTAAAACTCACCCAAATGTACTTTAAGTTATTTTCACCATGTGACAAGCAAAGCTATCTTCTGATGAAGAGTACGACTCTGACTAAAAACTACAGAGTATAGCGTAACTGTAAGAGAGATAATGATCACCTTACCTATGAAGGAAGAGAAAGGCATCAAGAATAGCAGACAAATGAGCAGAAGCGCAGGAAATTTCTGTCTTCAACAGAATCTTTCTTTTCACTGAATTTATCAAGTCCGCAAGCGGTTGGCACAAGAAATTCAAGGCATCCACAACTTCTGGCCAACAAGTCTTCTTGTTTCCATCTGTACAGCTATCATTTGCTTTATTGTTGTAGTTCTTATGTCCAACAATCAATGATAAATTAGTCTGATTGCCAACAGTACCTGAGAAACTATCAACCATACCAAGCAAAGAAACTAAGCTTTGCCATCTAGCCTCATCATCAAGCAAAGCTTGAATCTTCCAACCATCTGCTGCATCTTTAACCTTACTTTCTCCGAGCTTGGAATCGTAAACCGTGATGGACAGCCCGGATGAGTAAAGTCTAAGAATCAGATTGAGTTGTGGTATCGCCTGCCAAGTAGTCGATTTATAAGTTACTCATACACCAGTTTCTTCCTGAATAGATTGAGGTAGGTTTACATGCCAAGGAGAGTAAAATTACCTTAGAGAAAATAGCTGCCATCTCATTTAACTTTTTTGAAACTTTTACGCAGTACATGTCTCCTAGTGCTTGAAACTTATGAGCGCAATAAGAGATTAGGTCGACAAAATCCATTACATCCTCATCAGATTCAACCTGAAAAAAAGGAGCAGTGTTATAAGACACTGAAAGTTTGTGGTAAAAGCTTCAACTGAGAAGCTAGCAGAAACCTAAAGTCACCCAATTCAGCAACAGATAACAGAGCAGGTGACACAGGACGATAGATAATTACGAAGCAAGGCTTTTGTTCAAACCTTCAATTGGCAAGTCAAGCTGCGCAACACAGACATCGAAATGTCAATAGTCACTGACATTCTTCTATCCTTAATTCCGAACAGAGCAGAAAGCACCTCGCGAGAAAACTGGAAAATGGGAATTGCATTTAATCACCTATTAGATGACAGCATTTACAAGAAAATAAGCATCACGAAGGGAAGGACACTAGAGGACAAGGGTCACCTTATAAAGTCGATCTTTTGACAATGCAGATTTATAGTGCTCCTTCACAGTTGCATCACAGAAAGAAATCACCAAACCCCCATCAAAACGCTCAGCTTCTCTAACCAGAGAAAGAACACATTTACACAGATTCGTCACGAGCACTCTGTGCAACTTCTCATACTCCTTGGCATCTAAGATCCTGCACACAGTAATCAAATTTTGGATCCGTTGGTGAAAAATGGAAGCAGCATTGATCTATAATCAAAGAAGAAAGTTAACCCCACACTCACTTGAACCAGGGCCTGACCTCCTCCAGCAAAAGAAGTGATTTCCTGTACAGCTTATCGTCTGCTTGCTGACCCATTCCCACAGACTTAAAGATAGCCGCCACAACTTCTACTAAGACCATTGCCAGCTCCGCCTCTCCGTCCTGTACCTCCGGCAACAACCGGCACTTCCGGGAGCTGATATCGGAGCCTCGTAGTTTCTCCAGAACCTTAAACGATTGGGAATTTACATTCTCGTAAAAACCCCAAGCATCGAGACAATAAATCATTCGTAGCCTCTGAAGCTGGATGGTATGAGGCTTGCAGGCTAATTGGGCGGAGACCGATTCTAAGCAATCCAAGCAGAGCTCATAAGCACGGAACAGATCTCTGGCGGATTCACGAGCTTCCTTGTCAGAATTCGCGACGGAGAGGCGTTTCGGTATGAGAGAAATCGATTTGTTGAGGAAAGGAAGGAATTGCTTGCCGAGAGAGCGAACGGTGACTGTTCGATCCTGTTTCCGGGAAGTTGATGATAGAGCAGAGAAAGGTCGGAGGTAATCGGAGAAGGAGGAGAAGACATCGCCGGCGTTGGAGGAATCGATGAGAGAGAGAAGACGGACCTCGTCAGTAGACGACATTGCTGTTTCGAATTTTGTGAAGTGAAATTGCAATTCCCGCTAATCGAAAATCCCCATTTTCTAGGTCTCCAGTCTCCACGATACTCTCTACTCTCGCTCTCTTCTAATTTCAAAATTCTATCAGCAATCTCATTAGTCGATTCAGAGAAGAATGATGTTGATTGATCTGAAACCAAAGTAAACCGTTTGGTGTTTTTCGTATATTTTTTTTAAAAATGTTGTTTCGCGTTTTGGAATTTTAAGAAGTTTATTAGAACCCTAAACAGCTAAACCCCTTCGAAAATCGAAACGAACCTCTTGTGTACAGTTTTTGGGCTCGTATATGATACTAGAAGCCTAGTTGGACTTTCTAAAGGCCCATTCTTTACAAGCCTAGTTGGAGTAATTAAACTTTGATTTATACGACTATAAAAATATAAAATACCAGAGCATCTCTCACTAATACAGTAATTAGTAATATAAAATATTCTTAGGGGTTATTGGTAGATAGAGGTGTTTCAATCATCGGTCAAACTATACATAACCCAAATTGTAAGTTTTTGACTTTTTTTGCTCTCGATTCTCTATCAAGTAATAAAAAAATCAAGCTTTTTGACGTTTATATGACTGTTTTTTGAAGGAGCTTATAGCCTTATACGAATGTCAAATGCAGAATCTGTTTCGAAATTTTGAAATGCGCATGTGTTCTTCTTCTTCATTGTTAGTCTTTACTTTTTTTTTTTTTTTGGTAAAATTTGTTAGTCTTTACTTGTTCACTCTATGTTGTAATCTTCTTCCTTATATTTACATCTTTTCATATTCATAATAACATAACCCTAATACTAATCGACTGAATTTAGTTTAAGAGATTATACGTAGAAAAAACGGACACGTTGAATTCGTCATCAAATATATGTAGTTGAGTAGTTCTTTGATCAATCAATGTAATAAAGTTTAAGATATATTATTAGATTTTAATATAGGTTATTTGATTCAAGTAGGCAACAAAAAAAAAGTAATAGAATGCCAACATCACAAATTGTGATAACTAATCATCAATTCAAAGGTAATCTATATTTATCACAAGTTTTCCAAAATGTTTTAGGTAAAATCATTGTAAGTTTTGGGTTCTTTTTTCACAAGGTGTTTACACCACATGTTTTCAAACACACCAAAACAGAGTAGCTCATAAACAGAAGTTGAGATAATCTCTAATCTAGTATGCTCGCCGATCAAATGCTATCTTCACGGCGTCCATGGTGTCGGTGGCCGGTGGCGAGGTCGGGAACATGGGAGGAACAGCTGAGAAGATTGTGTTTGCATTAACTCTTCATGGTTAACCGGTAAGGGAAGCATGGACCAGAACGATCACCGCTGCTGGACTCACAATTAAGAAAATTTGTTTCTCATAGGCGACCTAAGTCAATTTTGTGTAGAAAAAATTAACAACCCACATAAAAATTGTTAACATAGAATTGGTAGAAAATTATTGATAAAAAGTTGGTAAGAACCAAAAATCTAACACTTATTGGCATTAAATAATGTAAGAGCCTTGGGTAGCTGTTGTATAATTTTCTTATATTTGTAATATTTCTTATGTTTTGCTTATAATTTGCATATATTTTGCTTATAATTTGCTTATATTCTATTTGTTTTTATAAAACAAAATTTTGATATCACTGAGTTGGTTTAGGAATAGAGGCTGGTGACAAAAAAAAAACAAATTTTTTATATCATTTTCTTTTTTTAGTACAAATTAATTTTTTACTTCACACCATAGTCAGGGCTATCTCCAAAGGCACCAGCATGTGTGGCCAACTCGTGACTTGTAACTAGCTCAAGATAAGTTACATCTCCAGTAGCATAATACATCCAAGCGCCACCCCAAAGAATCTCATCCCAGAAGCTGGTTGACTTATCGTACTGTATACTCTCAATCGGCCCTTGACGGCTTTGATCTGCCTCCTTCGAGGAAGCTAAGCTGAATACAAGGTTGGCGCCAGCGCATGAGTGCCTCTGTGTAGGCCTCGTCTCTAAAGACGATGGATGCAGACGCGAGAGCTGCTGCTACCTCTGGTGGTCACTCGACAAATAACTTAAGAAACAATCTTCACCTCTCCGATGCTATTCTTCATGCTCCAGCCTTGCTGCCGAGATGGCTGTTGCGCAAAATTATTAATGAAAAATTGGTAATAACCAAAAATCTAATACTTATTGGCATTTAATAACATAATATCCTAGTTGTTGTATAATTTTCTTATATTTGTAATATTTTTTATGTTTTGCTTATAATTCGCATATATTTTGCTTATAATTTGTTTATGTTCTATTTTTTTTTATAAAACAAATTTTTGATATCATTTTCCTTTTTTAGTACAAATTAATTCTTTATTTCTAAATAACACTAATTTATCTATTAATAATTATTTAGCCAATTGTTTTATTTATAATTATTAGGCACTTAAATCATTGTTGTATTCACATGAATTCATATAATCCTTATTTTCTTATTATTCAAAACTGTAAGCACGGATCTCCATTTTCACATAAACCGCTTATAATTACTTCACTTACTCGGCAATCTTTTTTTTCTACAGCAATTCGAAGCATTTTCATCATTCACTATCTAGATTAATACTTAGAATTCATTTTTCAAATTTCTATCATCGTCATTATCAATATCATCATTGACACATTAGATACTCTGTTCTCTTCCCTTCCTCATCGACGTTTTTAAGTAAAAAAAGGTTTCATAATGACGTTTCTTAAACTTTTGAAAATGGAGAAGTCGAATATGGCGGTGATAAGTCAAACGTTGAAGAATAGGTATCTTTTCATCTCATCTTTTTACAATGTTGTTACATTTTTATTCTTTTTCTTTGTTCTTACTGTTAAATCATTAATAACAGTCATTAATTATCAAAACCTTTTCCTTTTGGATTTGATCATTACTAACTGTCTCGTAATATGTGACCAGGTTGATCCGACACAGCTCTGTTGCCGTAGTCCCCATTATGTCCAATATAGAAGACCTCAAGCATAACCAAATCAAACACGCTTCCGATTTCTCCAAGTGGAAGGTCATTTCGATTTATCCATTAGGTCATCCTGTCTAATTGCTTGCATCATAGTCATTGTTTGTATACTTCACTGTGACTGATTATCAGATGAGAACAAAAGAGGAAGCTGAGGCATTAGAAGCGAAGCTGTTGTGCACATATGACTATGCTTGGAACATAAGCAGCAACGGGGAGCGACGTCGTCCTGACTTACTCAAGAAGATCGACGGTTTAACTTTAAACTCTAAACAATCAGCATCATTATTGCTTTGACGTTTAAATAAATACAGTATATACAACGTGCGTTTGATTTCGGTTTTATTCAAACCAAACCGAATATCTACCTAATCGAACCACAATTCAAGCTAACCAAACCAAACCAAATCTAAATCCAAAATTTTCAACCATTATTGCTTTGACGTTAAATCCAGATCGCCCCTTTTGTTCAAGTTTGTTGCATTGCAATAAGTAAACTTTGAAGTTCTGCTTCCAAATCCGAATATTATACTATACACTAAACAATAAATACGGTATATACGTCTGATTTCGGTTTTACTCAAACCAAACCGAAACCAAGCTGAATATCTACCATATATACGTCTAATTTCGGTTTTACTCAAATACGTCTGATTTCGGTTTTAACCAAACCAAACCCAAATCCGAAATGTTCAACCATGGTTAAAACTGAACCATTCGGATTTAGATTACAAGGTCCAAAAATAAACGCAGTCATTTGTTTTTCTCCATAGCTTTCATTCGCCACTTCTCCTTCTCCACAAAATCAGCATCCAAAAACCTCGACACAAATCCCCAAACCCTAAACACATCATCGAAATTCGTCATAAACCCTATCCTAACACTCACCACCGACACTCTCAAACTCAAATTTCCTTTCTCATCGCCTCCTCTCTTCCCTTTCCCGATCCTAATCTTCTGCAGATACGCGCATCGCAGATCGATCCTCTCCCTCGCCGCGAGCCTCTCCACCATCAAAGGATCGACTTTCTCTCCCTGCCAGTCGAAAACGTTGAACGAAATCGACGGTCCACGATTCGATCTCGTCTTCGGTCCGCAGATTTTCACCAGAGGCATCTCCGTTTGATAAAATCCCGGATGTTGCAAGCTCGTCAACGCTCGAACCAGCCACAAAGTCAACGCCTTTGATCTTCGACTGATTAGTATAATCCCCAGAGAGTCTGCGTGATCTAAACCTCGAAACTCGATTATTGCTTTATCGTCTTCTTCGATTTCAATTGCATCAGTGGCTGAAGTAGACGCCTTGTTGTGGTCCTCCACGTGGTCCAACAAAACTTTCTGGAGGGTATTTTCGTCATTCTCTGTTATCATTTCAGCTTTCACGGCGATGAGATTCGCCGGATTCGTGATGAGTTCTGGTGATTCTGATAAAGCTTGAGAGCTGGATTTCTTGACAAACAAGCAACCGAAACCTGAAGAAGGATCGTCTTGACCTAAAACCTCTGTAAATGAACAAATGAGGAAATCTGGTTGGAACAGAGAAAGACCTAAAGTCTCCATATCTTTAGAACCTAAAGCAGAGGTGTCGAGCAACACGTGCCATTCGTTTTCGCGAGCTAAGCTCATCCATGTGTAAGAATACGAAGCTCCTGTGACGAGAGATTGAAGAGGAAACACAAAGAGTCCTCTTTTTTTGTTATCATCTTCTTTCACTCTTCTTCTCTTACCTCTCGTGAGTTTCCTCTTCAATTTCTCGGAGACAATCTCTGTGCTCGGCCATGAAAACTCTGCTGATTCGGGTTTTACACCCTTTTTCTCTGAGATTCTGATCATTTCTTCGACTGCTTCGTCTTCGTAGTTGTAGACTGTGAGAAGGTTAGGGTTTGTTTTGAAAGAGTAGAGTTCCGTTAGAAGCTTGAAAGCAGAGGAACGGTCTTGAGTTAGAATCATGTGATATTCGGATTCTTCAAGATTCATAAATCTCGTGATTCTTTTCCTCATCGTCGACTGAAACCGAGATTCTTCGCTCGCGAGTGAGAGCAACTCTTTACCGGAGCTCACTTGCTTGCAAGACAAGTTAAAGAGAGAGGAGTTCAAGTCGGGTTTTGATTCCGAGATTTGTCTGAATTGTGAGTAAGAGAACAGAGGTTGCTGTTGAGCGGTGTGAGAGGAGGATGAAGAGAGGTTTTGGTAGTCTGTGGATCGGAAATGATCGGCTTGAGTCGTCTGCAAGTAATCTGGGAAAGCTGTGATGAGATCGTAGAAAGAAGTACGGAGAGGAGGGAGAGATTCTTGGCTCGTGAATTTGATTTCTCTGGTGAGAAACGAAGCTCCTGATGTGATTACTGAGAACTCGAGCTCTTCTTCTGGTTTCTGAGTCACGGATTGGGATGAGAATGGTGATGAGCAGCAGCCATTGAAGCAAGCTTCTGAAGCTTCTTGTATGAAGTGTGAATTCATCTGCTTTTCTCTCTCTCTCTCTCTCTCCAATATTATCACTCTGTTTTTTTGTCTGGAGAAAAGAGGGTGTGTGACTTGTTGTGAGATTGTTTAAGTCAATGCGATTTAACAAAAGTGCAAGTTGGGTCTTTGCAGTCCTAATCAAATGCATAGTCAATAAATAAGAAAAGTTAATGTTATTTTGAGGAAAGGGAACCCATACCTAAATTTTGTTTCTCTTCAATCTCTGAATTAATTTGAAACTTCAATTTTCTTTGATGAATAGTAGTCAATTATTTTTAAAAAAGAATAATAATAATGTATGGAAAGAATAGTAGTATTTAGGCTATTAGCTACACATTATGCCCACGTTTATGGTTGAACAGAGTTGACTTCTCTTAGTCTATATGGCTTTGTTTGGTTATAGTAGTATACTATTTCGATTTGATTTAGAAGCTACAACTGGTAAGGAGAATTGTAAAACATATATAGATGTTGGTATCATCCAAAAAGAAAGGAAAAGACATACACTCAAGAGATTTATTAGTTTATTGACTACAAAAAAAAGATAAATAGATATGTGTTGACCAATGACCACTGAAAAAAAACATTTACCTAACTTTTGTGCTCTTTCTTGCTCCAATTGTTTATGATATTTGAGTGATACGAATTTAGTTGCAAACTTACAACACGCAGCCAGGTCTTAATTACGTTTCCTTAAAAAAACATAGTTAATGTGTGTAAATGGCTAAACTTAAAGCAGTAAAGCCTAAATGTACATATGTATTAGTAGAGTACCCGCACGTTTGTGCGGTGTGACGTTGTTGTTTTGTGTAGAAAATTTAAACCCTAAATCCGAACCCGACAAAAAACCCTAATCAAAAAATTTAAAAACCCAAACTTTTTTAATAGGTCTAAACATGAAAATCCGAAATCAAAAAAATCCCGAAAACCCTGACTGAACAAAAAAAATCTGGAAACTTTTTCACCCGGAACCCGACCCCAATACCTAATCAAAATTTTAAAATACTCAATTTTTTTAATATATCTAAACCCGAAAACCAGAAATCTAAAAAATCCGGAAAACCCTAAACTGAAAAAAAAATTGAACCTAACCCGAACAGAAATTTTCAAAGAAACCCGAACAATTTCTATATCTCTATAAAATTATGTCTCAGATTTTCACCCAAACCCGAACTTGTCTATAAAAACCCGAAAATCCAAAAAGCATATTCTATTGATTTGGAATTATCGTTAGATTATGTTAAGTTTTTTTTTTGCAGATTTTTAAGAGATGGAAAACGGAAGTTTTCTAAACCATCGGTTTATTTTAAGTTATTATTCTTGTATCCAAACAATTTTTTCCATTTATTCTTCTATCCAAATAGATTTTTCTCTTATTCTTATATCCAAACAACTTTTGTTTCCATTTATTCTTCTATCCAAATAGATGTTTCTCTAATTCTTGTATCCAAACATTAGAATGTACTTCTCAATTAATAATATAAAGATATAGGAAACAATGATTGAGAAACAACTTAAGAACACTTTTAAGGCAGAAAATTCTATAACTGAGATTTAGTTGGACTGTCCTTTTTAAGTAAATACTATGTCACTTATATTGACCGAACAAAATATAGTAGTTTTTTTTTTTGTGGGAAACTGGTAATGGCATGATAATATTATGATATAGATCAACCGGTTCAAACCCGCATATCATGTAAAAATCATATACAACTATACTTATTTGGTAAGAGAATGTTTGAAATTTTTACTTTATTTATTAAATAAATTTCTACTTCCATGCTTAAAGTTTAAATTTATATTTTTTTAAACCCTTTAGAGAAGGTGAGAAAGAAAGTGGATGGCATTTTCATGCACGTAAAAAGTAGATACTCGAAGGCGACGCGGTTTGGACTTGGTCAAGCTAGCTCTCGTGTTTACATTACACTTTATTTACACTTATCACAATCAAAACATCTAACGTACATTAATTATGTATGTGCGTTTACTCATATTATACGTGTCCATAGATTTATGATCCACTCCTGACTCCACTATCATGGGTGTGTCGATCGATGTTGGGTGGTACAGTGCATTGTGTAATTGTTTTTATTATACATTTTTGTTTTACATAGCATTTGATTAATTATTTCTTCTTGAGCTATTATCAAATCAGAAATCGGAATCGAATCAGATTGAACGTAAACTAATTGATGTATCCTCAATTTCTCAAAGAACATTTTATACTTCGAGGTTTATATAGAGAAGCATAGAAAAACATGATTCCAATTAATAAAATAAAAAAACAATCATACCATCTTCATAGATAAAAAAGTGTATTATTAGGGCTTCTTTCACTTCTAGTACAAGATTTGTGGTCAAATACAAAAGTAGTCTCCATTATAAAATGTGTTTTTTTCTTCCTTCTCTATCCTCATTATAATCAAATAATAACGGAAATGTCATTACTTTTCCACACAAAGTCTAACTGTGAAGTCTAATTGAAATTTTTTTTATTCAAAGTAACCTCATCTTCTTCATGTATTCACGAAAATGCCATCACCATCAATTCGTCCAACAACCATTCTCAACCGAAATGAAGCTTTGAATGCAAGATTTATTCTTGAAATATATCTACCAACTCATTCTATCATCTCATAAACTTAGTTCATCATCTTTCTACTCCATTTTCACCCAAAGAACTTAGTTTTTCATCTTTTCAAAATTAAGGTTCTTAGATCTTGCCATTTTCGGTGTCTGAGCTCATTCTAACCGTTGTGGAAGTTTGTTGAAGCTCTAAAACGAAGTTCTAGGCCATCATAGAAACTTAAGATCACGGCAAGGTAAAATTCTGATAGATCTGAGTGAATTTCATATTTTTGCAGGTCCTTAGACTTCATAGCGAAGTCTAACAAACTAGTTTTGCAATTGAGTTTTCAAAAATTTTAGAGAGTAGACTTCACAATGAAGTCTACTCCAAATTCGTTTGATAACAAAAAAAGACGAGTTAAACTTGCCGAACTTTATTATGAAGTCTAACTCGAAATAGACTAGTTTTGTATCTGTTCGCGTAAAATCTTTTTACGAGAAGTCTAACCGTGAAGTTTGCTTAAAATAAAAGACTAGTTTTGCAACTGACCACGCAAGACTTTTCTGTAAAGTCTATTAATGAAGTCTATTTAGCCTGTATTAGACCTCACAATGAAGTCTACTCACGAGTAGACTTCATTGCGAAGTCTAATATATGATAGACTTCTTCATGAAGTCTAATAGTCAACGTTTTTTTAGATAGACTTCCTCGTGAAGTCTACATACCGAAGTTTAAAATTTGGACTATTGCAAAACTAACCCATATGAAGTCTAACTCTCTCCGTAGACTTCACCGCTAGACTTTATTATGATGTTAGACTTCAAATTGAAGTCTAAGTACATTGATGAAGTCTATTCGGAGAGGTCAACGTTAAGTCAATTGCAGAACTAATCATTTTAAAAAAAGTAGACTTCACGGCTAGACTTAGCCAAAAACAATTTGTTTCGTTAATTGCAGAACTAGTCTATTAGACTTCACCGAGAAGTCTAATTTGTAGACTTCATTGTGAAGTCTAATATTTTACGTTTTTTTTTAAAACGAATTTTTTGAAAATGTATATCGAAATTTATAATTTTGTTTAAACAGTTAGTTGTATTAGTCTATGTAGTTGCTTTTGTGTGGGTTTTATATACTTATTCGTTATATACTAAGTTTAAACGATTTTCTTATTTAATTAGCACTTTAGACATTACTAAGTAGACTTCATACCGAAGTCTACCTTTGAAGTCTACGGACAAAGTCTTTTTTCCTTTGCATTTCTAATGTTGTTTTGTGGTTGTTAACTTGTAGAAAATGGTCAACATCACTTCTGATCATGGAGAATGGTGAGAAATGACAATATGTTGTGGCATTTTGAGGTTGAGTATCGCAAAGGAGGGAGAATGTTCTGTTTGAGGGATGATTGTACACATGATGAGCTTGTTCAAATGGCCTTAGATGATTATTCGGTGAACAACAACGGATTTGAGTTATCATATCTATAACCAGAACCATTCACTCAGCAATTGCCTATTGATTATCCGCCTATGTATGTCACAAAGACAGACGTTTAGCTGTGAAGTCTACTCGTGAAGGTTAACTACTTGTTTAGAACTTAGTATGTTTTACCTAAGGTAAAATGCATCAAAATGGTTGTATCTGTGTTTTTTTTTTAAACCTATAAAATCTATTTGTGAAATCTACTCCTAAAATCTAATATTTGTTTGAACTTGGTTTATTTTGTGTTCACAAGTTGGTGCAAAAGAGAGTTTTACATTCTGTGTTTGTGTCATTTGATACTCTCTGCTTTCTTTCTTTTTTTTTGTGAAATTTGGTCATATAGCTACAAGTTGTTGTTATTTCAAAAAGGAAAGTCTTAGGTCTTGATGTTCAGCTCTCTGTCTTGAATAGTTTATTTTAAATTGTAAAATAGATCCAAACACAAAAAAAATGTAAATGAAACATGAGACTGTGTCAAACGGTCTTGACTCAGACCCCTAAATCATTCATATATATCCATCCACACAAAAAGGAGGCTGATCATAAAACTTGCAAGCCAAAGCAGAGCATAACGCCAAGAATGAATGGGACAATCCGGTTTAGTCGAAGTCAAGAAACTCCATTCTCTTCCTCACTGTTCCACTCAACTCACTCGCTTCCCTCTCCACCTTTGGAGCCTACAGGATTACACACCCAGAAACTGAATCCAATCTGCAAAGACACATTAAAAAAAACGTGAGATATCTATGAACAAAGAAGAGCAACGAAGTAAATGGCGCCAAGAGAGGCTCAACATAGACGTTCTCATATTCAAAGCTAAGACATCCTTTCTATTAGTGCACTAATACAGTTCCAGAAACTTTGATAACAAAACAAATATAACTATAACATAACTATATATAAGCAAGAAAGACAAAATTACTGACTTAAAACATCAAACGAAGTAAGCTCTTACACCACACATACACACTTACAAGAATATGATCTACTTAGCTGCAATCATATAAAAAGATGACACCAAGAATATGATCTAGTGAGCTGCAATAAGATATTACAGAGGAAAATAAGAACAGCTACAATAAGCATTGAAAATTCTATAATCTCCAGCAAGAAAATTGAAAGAGCAAAGAGAAGAGGAGAGAGATCGAGCACCTGAGATAATCAAAACTGCTTCGTTAGATAAAGGAAGAAGAAGACCCATTCAGCTCCATACAAATACACCCTGCAACACAATTAAGAAGCTTTCAGCCTAATTTTTTTGTCTTTAATAACTCTATAGAAACAATCATGAATCAAAAAGCTAACCTATTTCTTGAATAAAACAAACAAGACAACTCAAGGAAGCAATTAGAGACAAATAGATCATAAAGAGAGTTGAAATTGGCACAAGACCACACCACAAATACAATTTCGTTACAGGCATAAGCACAAAGATACAGTCCAACATGAACACGCAAGCAAAAAAAAACTAAAGGAAAGAGAAGAATAACTAGAGAGCTGAAGACGGAGAAAGAAGAAGAATAAGGGCTTACAATTATGAAAACAGGCGAGAGATTTTGCGGAGGTTCACGGCAGGATCTGGAAGATTCTCGCCGAAGATTCAAAGGCTTCTCTATCTCAAACATTCCATCACGAAAAGGTACATAAAACAAAACCAAAGAGAAAAACCCGTCAAACAACAAAAACAAGCATGGAGCTGCAGTAATAAAGCGTAGAATTTGACTCATCCACTCAAAGAAGAGGTTCAACATAGCTTACTTGAGACGTTGAGCAACAGCAACCTTGGTTCCGATCTCACGGTTGATGCAGCATTGGCTCCAGCGATTTTTGAACTATCTTCGTTTAATCTCCAATCTCTGTTAATCAATCAAACACCAGAGATTAAAAAAAATACAAAAATTTGATCACTAAAAGACCTAAAATTAAAGAGAACATGATTTCTGATTTCATAGGGAGCTGTAGTTAGCATCGAATCTATACCTCTCTAAAGCTTTCTTCGACTTCTCTAACTCTCTCTGTTTCCTCGCCCTAGCCTTTGCTTTATCGACGGGACCAACGATCTCCTCCGCGGTTTTCCAGAATCCGATACCAGATGAGATGAGGTAGATGGAAACAAAAGAGAAAAAACCACATTCAATAGATATAAGAACACATTCGCAGCAGGAAAATTGAAAACAGGAATTAAAGTGAAAGAGAAGCGAGCTAACGGCTGTGAAAGGATGAAGCGAGAGAGATTCACCTTGCAGGGAGAGAGATCCAATAGTGAGAGGGAAGATGCGAGGATAAATGAGCAGCATAGAGAGGGAAAGGAGAAGACGAGAGAGAGAGAGAGAGAGAGAGAGAGAGAACCGAGATAACGGGGTGAAAGGATGAAGCTAGGGAGAGAAGGGAGAGGAGGCGGTGGTTAATGGCGAGGAGAGGCGGCGGTGGTTAACGGCGACTGACAGAGAGATGAAATTAGAGAGAGAAGGAAGAGGAGGCGGTGGTACATATTTTTTTCTACAAAATTAGGGTTATTCCTTTATATATCAAGATAAAATTCCGGTTAGGTGATAAAATTTCCGGTTAGATGAAACAAATTTTTGGTTAAATTCGGTTCTAATAGACTTTATGATGAAGTCTACGCACGAAATCTATGCATGAAGTTTAAGATTTTGTGATTTAGTAGACTTCTTCAGTAGACTTCACACAAAATATTTCTGATTGCCGCCCAAAATATTTCGTTTCCCGCCCAAATTATTTCATTTCCCGCTCACTTTTTTTAGTGACAGACTTCTCCACGAAGTCTAACCCTGAAGTCTACATGTGAAGTCCGACTTACCCTAAACCCTAAAACGAATTTTTAAGATCAACACTATAGGAAACATTAATTATGTATACATAATCACAATTTACATTATAAACTACGAATTGGTAAGTTTTAAATCGTTAAACGAACCGCAAACATTTTTTTGGTCAAAACTATCTAAACCCTAACAATGCTCTTGATAAACCCTATACAATATACCTCAAACACTTAGATGTTGATTGGTTTACTCATGAAACTTATAAATTGATTCATTTTCATGAAATTTTATTTTCCATAGGTAGGACTTGTTTTATTAAAATTATGTATAACTTTTTTTATCAAAATTGTTTTTTATAGATTTTAAACTTTAAATTTTAGATTTTGTTATAAAGCACACTTCATGAGTAGACTTCACACAATTTTTTGGGAATTATACCATAGTTTGTCTTACTTGATTTAAACTGATCGGTTTATATGCAAATTTATTCTTCATGGATAGTACTTATCTGTGTTAAAGTTATGTGTAAATTTCTTTACCAAAATATTTTTTATAAATTTTTAAATTTAAATTTACGATTTTATCATATAGTAGACTTCTCCAATAGACTTCACACAATTTAGAGGTTACAAACATAATTAATCTTAGTTGACTCAAATGGATTCATTTATATGCAATTTTGTTTTTAATGGATGCAAAAATTGTTAATCTTATTTATGTATAATTGTTTTTAATCAAATTAATTTTACTTAAATTTATAATTTAAATCTAAGTTGTAATTATGAAGTAGACTTCATGTCGAAGTCTAATTTGGAGTAGATTTCATCAGTAGACTTTATACAGGGTAAAACAGACATTATGGCTCCCGTTTTTTTGTTTGTTAATAAGGGTGTGGTTTTGTAATTTGGCATGCCCAAAAGACTAGTTTTGACATAAGTATAATAAGAGATCTAGTTTTGCATTTCAAATCAAATTATGTATTATATTGTGCAATTCCCCCTATTATCAATATAACATGGGATTATAAGGTAGAAGTCTTTGGTAGACGAAGTTAGACGTTTATAAATACAACATTGTTAAGTTTAGTTCAAAAAATATTTTTCATTTATATGCATATGCATATATGGCGACTTTGAATTATGAATCACGAGACAGTAAGAAAATAGCAACAAGTGAAAAAGAAAACAAGGAACATTTGCTAGTGGCGACTTTCATTTTCAACGAACCAAATCACAAGTTTATAATGATTTATATTCTCTTGGCGTTATTATAATCCGTGTGGCATCCACTATAGTCACAACAACCTAAAGAGAAAACAACAACAAGAAAACGTAAAAATCGGATCTAACATTTGGCAATGAAATTTCTTGTAAGAAAAACGTCCAAAACTGAAACAGCCGATGTTACATTAACCGAAAAAAAAAAAAAAAAAAAGAAGAAGATAGCTGATGTTACGAAATATCATAGAGTGAAATAATACATAGAGCTTATAAAAGTGAGGTCCATAATGTTCCGTCACGTGACCGACCGATGATTTGTATACACTTTGCCTAAACCGCAGGCAAATAGTCCTTTTTGACGTCTCTAAGTCAAAGCACCTTATTTATTTTTAGAATTGACATGCTTTATTGCCTGAATAAATGAGTTTATGCTAGCTTAATGTATATTAGGGGGTTACCCACGCCTAATGCGTGGGATTGATTAAACTTTAAAAAAATTCATATAAAATAAATTATTATTAAATGAATATTACATTTTCTATATTATTTTTAGATTAATATCTATTTTGTTTCTTTATCAATCCATATAAATATTTTAAATATAATAATATGTATATTGTCTCGATTACAAATATTATAGCTTTTTATGTTCTAGAATAATGGATAGATATCTTAGACAAATACTAATAATAGTTTCATACAATTAATATTTTGATTTTTGTTGTGAACATATGTTTCGAAGAATATGCGAATTATAAATACTTGTATATCTTAACAACAATGATTCATTATTACTGACCAAATCTGTTTATGAATAAATCGGAATATTTATTACAGTAATATTTAGTAACCATATCAAATAACAGATCTTTCGAAAAAGGAAAGAGGTGTTCTTGCATGGGAATATTATTAAATTTTGTTATCTTCCGAAATAAACGTTATCTTAAATAAAATGGACGGTGTGATTAACAAAATCATATAAACAATCTGATAAATCTTCTCATCCTTTATGGTAAATTATATGGCGCTCGAATTGAAGTAAATGTTTTGTAGCCCAATAAGCAAACTCATCAATTAATTCGGCCTAATGAAAATAAAAAAAGATCCGACCCGGTTTAGGATCCGCGTCCCAACCCGAAAAGTGAAAAAGAATTGCTTTAAAAAAAATAAAAAAGCCCAAAAAACTGAGAGCTTGCCACATCAGCAAAAATGCATGGTCTTTAATATATTGTAGGATATAACGACAAAAAATTGTTTTATCTAAAGATTCAGCTTTAAATTGCCATTTCTTTCCAATTCGGTTTGTATGTGTTGGAGTACGGTAGTGGAGGGGGAGTGTAATCTCACTAAATTGTACTTCATAAGCGGTCCTTGTGTCACACCATTGACGATTGCAAGAAGAGTTGCATGGAGCTCGAGTTTTATGATGTCGACGTGCCTTGGGGAAGTAGGGTTTTTACAGTTTTGTTATTGCTGCTCTTATGATGGTGGTAATGATGCCGAAAATCATGAAAGCAAGTGATCCTTCCAAAAGATAGAAATGGCGTCAAGGATTTTGTGTATGCGTTGCAACTTAACGTAAGAGCTAGGTAACTCGAATCTGAAAGAGTTTGATACTTTAACCAACTCGGGCTCATTTATAATACCACCTGATGATAAGATCGAATCTAAAAAAAAGGAAGAGATAATATATGGAGTATATAACACCAAAGCTCCTAATTCATTACTTTTGCTTTTAAGATTCTTGATTATTGATGAACAGTTGTAAAAATAATAAAAACTAATATTAAAACCCCTTGTAATTCCTTTGTAAATAGAAATATTTTAAAAACTAATATTCTGTATCTCTTACCACTTTTTCTAGATACAGAGAAGGTGGTGCAATAAAGACGTTGGTTCAATATACTTCTACCTATATACATTTCTAAACAGAGAATAAGATTATAATGTAAAGATGTCAAAACACGAAAACTGTAAACTTGTCTGTAATAGATATAAAATCTCCCAAAAGAAAATAGAACGAATACAACACATGGATGCATAAAACAGTAGCTTTAATTTGGAAATTATTAGTAACGATAATATGTAAAACAGTACAAAGCTTATTTACAATTTTAGCTGGTATTCTCCAAGGATTTATATTTAATTAATTTATAAATAGATTTTAAAACACATAATGGGTTGAAAGCTGTGGATTAACCTGGGTTGATGATCAAATGGGTTGTGGCAATCCACTTCGAATCCCATCCATCGATAATTTAAAACAAAAATCTAATCACATCTTTATCGTAAGTAGAGAGTAGCATTCAAGACTATATTACAAAAAAAAAAGCGTTTAAATTCGCAAATTGAATATATGTACATTAAATTAAAAAAGTAAAGGAAATCCAAAGAATCAAGAAAATTGTGAAACTAACACTCACACAAAATTATGTTGCAAAACTAACACTTAAAGAAGGGGAATTTCATAATACAAAAAAGTTGTTTAAATTGTTTTTTTCTAATAATAATATCATGATCATGATGATATAACAAACAAACAAAAAATTAACCTGTAATGTGCTGACCACGATAAAAAAGTTGATGACAACGAAAACTTAACCTTAGGGCTTAGGCTGCATCTTAAACCGATCGAACCATCCAGTCAATTTTACAGACACCAGCGGAAGAGTAGCGAGAGGAAAGACGAGGAAGAGCAACAAAATGGTGTGGCTGGCAATACACATAGAAATTGGATTTGGTGGCGGAGTAATCGAACCAAACCGTCTCGGACCAAGTCAGATTTTGTCCTAACGCTACGGACGCGTCTTGGACGGTAGGGCAAGGAATCATTGTTGTGTCTTGGTTTAGAGCTAGACTAATTAGGCGTTCGGGTTTCGGGTCGAAAGAATAAGATCACTAGCTATTACTAGACATAAAAGTTTCTACAACAACATTTGCAAGCTGGAAGAATAAGATCACTGGCTATTACTCCGACTAAACCAGAATCTTTCTTGTACTTTGTTTTTAATATTTTGTTAGGATTGCCACCAAATTTGCTTCAGTAAAATGAAACTGAATACAATTTAGTATGATTTTGGTTTTACACTCACAACTATAGAAAATTTATATTATTATTATTATTATAAGATCATAATTTTTTTATATAAAATTATAATAATTTCTACAACAACATCTGTGATGTAACAAGTTCACCGGTTACCGATCCTTCTAAATTTTTTAGGCAGAACGCCTTGCAAGTCATCCCTTGCCACTGATTTTTGTTGTAGCATATTTGCCAATAGTCGCTCCATTTTCATTTTCCAGACCCTATTCCACAAGAATTAATAAACTATTATGAACATCACATAAAAAAAAATTATGTTCAAAATAACAAAATAAAATAGAGATTATAATAATAAGCTAGTACCAATACTCTCAGCAGAGCATTTGACATAAGATATAGCCAAGAAAAAGCTCAGAAAAATTGCGATCAACATTTTCTTTGTGATAGCCATTTTTGTGATATTTTCTTAGATTTTTAGATGTTTTCATTTTGGCTGGATGAATAGTTATATATATAATAACACGGTATATGTAGAAAATATTTTCTAGTCAAAAGTTTTTAGAAAAGGAAGCAAATTTTTGAAAAAAATCTTATATTATAGGTAAAGAATGATTTTCTTGCCTAGTTATGTTTAGCATTTGTGAAATAATATCTTATTGTTTTTAACATAACTTTATTTGAAGATTATTTTCCATAATTTAGTTTTTATAAAAGTTGTATTTTCAAGTAAAAATATTCAGTTTATGTCCTTGTATTCTCGTCAGAAATGTCAGGGGGTCAACAGTCAAGTTTTATAATAGTATATAGTTAGATGTTTTTTTTAATAATTAATACAATATTAGTGTTTTTTCGTTAACTTTTATCCATTAAATCTATCTATAATGTATTCATTAGAACATCTGTAAATAAAGTTGTTTGATTAAAGGGTGAGAAATTTTATGAAATACATCTCTTGAGTTGCAAATTTTCAAAACTACACCTATAATGTGGAAATTTAAAAATATACTTTTTCCTAATTTTAATATATATATTTGGTTCACTAGTCCTAGATTAGAGTTTAGATTTTGGGGTTTAGGGTTTAGATTTAAAGGTTTAATGTTAGATTTTAGGGTTTTGGATTTATATTTTAGGGTTTAGAGAGTTCTTTTACTCAATGAAAAAAGTGTAGTTTTAGATTTATGTTTTAGGGTTTAGATCCGTTGCTATTTTCAACTACTATTCATAGACTGTAATTAGTAATTACCCTAATTGCAACACTTTCGTTTCTAAGAGGTAAAATGTATAAAAAGAGTACTAATACAAGGAGTTGTAAGTAAAACAAGTAGCTACGATGGAGAGAACACAAATGACTAGAGACGGAAGCAGAGTAGCATTCAAAAGCATACTCCGTCCAAAGTAACCGACCACGGTAATCGTCACGTCAGCAATCACACGTGCGATCGTCCCTGCCTCCGTCGAAAGCAGACCTCCGTTATACGTCCCTCTCGACAGCCTCGACGACATGACCCTCGAGAGCAACGACAAATTAACACCTGCAAAATCAAGAAAGTCAAAGATCTTGGGGTTAAAAACGAGAAAAAACAGAAGTTTTTGGCCTATTTTGGTGATTATTTTCAAATCTTTCTGACCTTCAAGAACTTCTGCGGAAACAAACATGATGAGTCCTGAGCAAACATATTGTGGCACAGTGTAGGGAACAACGACATGGAAGCTGAGAAGTATTCCGACACAAACCATAACCTCCGACACCAACAGAATTTGCCTGTGATCAACAACTTTAAGTATGACTTTTTAAGGAAACTTGAAGAACAAGTAATCAACAAAGGAAGGAAAAAAAAACATACCGGTCTTCAAACATGTTGCTGATATAGCTTCCAATGACGATGTTCACAGGAAGAACAGTGAGACCAAGACAAGCCAAGAAGATCGCAACAGAGCTCGTTGACCAACCAAAATAGTAAGTAGTGACGACACTAGATTCAGAGAGAAGAATCTCCATTGCATACTTAAGCATGAAGTATATCAACAGCTGAACCTTAACGGAAGGTGTGAGCAATCTATAAGCAGCCACAATGGAGTTCACAGGTTTACGAGACTCTTCAGAAGCTTCCTCGCTTCCATCTTCATCTTCAACCTCTTCTTCTTCCTCAATCTCTTCCGATGTAATCAGCAACGGCTCTTTCACACCTTTCTCAAGATTCACTTCTTGAACAGAGTTACTAACCTCCTCTGAAGAAGCATTGTGTGTCTCCTCCTCACGCTCACGTGCAGGCTCACGAAACGAAACAGCTAACCAAACCAAGTACAAAAGCCAAGCCACAGCCATAACCCAACCAGGCAATGTATCTTGGTTAAACGTAACGTTGTAAATCTGGAATCTTGTTTGCAATAGACCAGCAAGCGCAGGACCACACGCCATTCCTAAAGCACTCGCACTAACAAAACCAGCTGAAGCTTGCATCCTTATCTTTAACGGTACACAGTCACTTATATATCTCCTGTTCACTGCTCTCGCCGATCCCAATCTTGCAAAAAAACACACAACACAGTAAGAACAATTGTCAAACACTCAAAGTAATCATTATATCTACAGTTCTTGAAAAGACTTACCCGCAGAAAAGTCGACCGATCAAGAGAACAGCTATGGAGTTAAAGTCGAAAGCTAGGGCATACAACAAGTTCCCAATGAAGAGGAAAATGCTACTAAATACAAGCGGTTTGAAGTAAGATTTGTTAGACCAGGCGCTGAAGTAAACAGAAGAGAAGAGCTGAGCAACAGCCATAGCACCAATCACAACACCACAGACAGTAGCAGCTGCTCCAAGGCTCATTGAGTAGTCATCAGCTGTGGGAACAATGATGTAAGTGTTGACCATGTAGAGAAACGTGTTGACAAGATTCAACAAGAGAGACATGAAGTGGTATCTCCCGTCTTGATCGACACTCTCTTCCTCGTCTTGCGGACTTGGCAGCTCTTCTTGCATGATGAAAGCGTGCTGTGCCATGAAGTTTAGGAAGTTTGTTGAATGTGTTAGCCTGTCCACTGCTGCTCTGATTGAGTCCACTACAGGATCTTGAAGAGGAAGCACGGGCTGGTCGTAGATCGATAAGTAGCTTCCTTGATTGTTTTGAAGCTCGTGGAGGTTGCGAGACACAGCTCCAACAACAGCTCCAAGACCCTACAACAAATCAAGATTTATGATCAACATCAAGCTTGGATAAACAGAGAGATGATTAAAGAGTTACTTTAAGCTTACCACATGTCTAAAGACTTGTTGAAGCTCAGAGTAAGGATGGTTAGCTCGAGTCTTGACGTAATAGTTTGTGAATCTGTAGCCAAACCGTTTATCGAATTTCTTGAGGATCTTGCGGATACCAATAGCATTCATCTCTACGAAATAGAGAAGCTTGAGAAGATCTAGACCAACAGCTCTGTAATCTTCCTTTAGATTAGAGATTTGAGATATTTGAGGCTCTTCTTGGAGAGCGTCATGAGTCTGCCTTAGCTTCTGTAGCCTGCTTGCAAGCAATCCTTGTTGCTCCAACATGAAGAGAGCTATTTTCTCGATCTGAATTTGCAATCATGTTCGAGTTTAGCTTATAAGAACATTTCTTGAGAAGATTTGTTGATGAAGGAAATGATGAAAACCTGATTGTCCAGCATTCTTGAGAAATCTTTAAGAACATGGCGGCGTTCTAGATTGCCTCCTTCTAGCTGGCGACCATATTGATTCACTTTCTTCTTCATCAGTTTGTAATTGATGTAATATCTTTGCCATTCTTGAATGCTCCGTTCCTTGAGCTTTTTCCCAAAGGCAACCATCTTCTACAATGAAACAAAGTCACAGAAAAGAATCAGATATAAATCCAGCTTGAAAAGAATGAGCACATATACACAAAACATGTTGTAAAAAGTATTATAAGAATAAGTCTTCCTCTAATCTATATCAATGAAGTTACAGAAACAATGAGGTGACACTAATTTTGTCATCAATATATGTTATGGTGTTGATTTGATCAACCAGCTTCTCTGTTTTTATTACATAAGAGTCCTTTTTTTAAACTTAATGAAAAAAATCAACATTAATACATTATGCAAAATGTGTATACCTCTTGTCGGCGTTGTTCCCTGTTCTTGTCCTAGTTCTTGATGAGTTTGGATTCTGAGAAACCCAGCGAACTTTAATAGCAAAAGCAAAGGCAAAAGAAATCAAAACTTGTGAATGAAAATAAAGCTTCACAAATTCGGAGTTTTCTTGGCACTTTTCGGCGTTTTCTCGGCAGCCAAACATATATCAGAAAATGAAAGCAACTGATAACAAAAGCAATAAAAGAACGCCGGATCTAGAAGTCGGCGTTAAGTTTTAACTAATTTTCTCGGCGAAAAGCATAGAAGCTCAAGCTATGGTATGAGACTTTTGAAATTGCAGAAGCTATGCTCTACTAGAAAACACCAAAAGTTCATCTTTTTTGCTCCAACCGATATGAAATGAGCTAGATAGGCCTCGGAATCATCAACGAGAACAGTGAAAACAGTAGGGGATTTGAGAAAAACATTAATGAAATTAAAGATTAAAACCAATTACCAACCTCTCTGTAAACGAGAAACGAGAAAGAAAACGGAGAAGGATACAGTAATGTTACCTTGAAAGTTGAAACACGAGAAATCCCAGAGAGAGAGAGAGAGCAGGAATTTTGTGTCGCAAAATCGTAACTTTTCTCTTAATTTTATTAAATTTGCTGAGGAGAGAATTGGGATTCGGTGTGAAAAGAAACAAAAAAGATTGGAGAAGAAACCAAAGAGGAAAATACAGAGAGCGGCTCTGAGGTTCAGTGGAGTCACGTTTAACATTTTATACGGTTTAGAAGAAGAGGGAAGAAAATATCAGAGTTTGCATCACTGTGTGCATTTTGGGTCTTATCTTCATTTGTCGGATCCTTTAAAATTGATTTTATTTTCTTTTGCAATTTGTTTTCGTTAGTGAGATAATGAAATTATCTTGGTAACAGTGATTTTCTGTTGAAAATCATTTTCTTATGACGGCCAAAAAAATAATATCTAAAGGGTCTTATTCTTTTGTAATTTGTTAGTCAGATAAGATTATCTTTTTCTTTTTGGCCAACAAATAATGGAGATCACTGAACCACATAATGAATTTTATGGCATAAAAAAGGAAAATATAAGATTCCTGAATATAGTGAATACAATAATTTTGTTTCCTTTTTTCTCATGAGTTTTTTTTTTTGTTTTTTTTCTCTAATTCTTTTCTGAAACCCGAACCAAAATGGTCTTTTTGGCATTGACTTTCAGCATGAGATTCATAAGAAACATATTTTTAGTAGATAACCAGATCATTTTCAAAATGTATGGATGTGTTACCCTGAAAAAGTTTTGGGATGTTTAAGTGAAATTTAGATCAGACGACTGCTGGTTGAAGACCAATAGGTTGTTCATAAACTCTTAACGAAGCAAATACTGGTTTATGTTTACAGATCATCAAACGAAGTTTAAAGAAATTTCATTCTCTATATTCAGTGGTAAATATAGATCATCAAACGAAATTAAGTCACCAACCAAACACATAAATTAATTAATTACTCATGTTTCTGAAGAACGAGAATGGTTTCATAATTGATAGATTTAGTGGGTCCTCACTCCTCAGTCATAAAGTTTAGTTGCGGGTCTCCTCTTATCAAATTATGAGACGACAAATAAATAATTATACAGGTTTAACAAAATCGTAATTACTAGCTCACGTGGACAATTACTAGTATCAACATTATGATTGATGAAAGAAACAGTCAAGAAATACGAATATCCGCTTAAGGTCTTTCGCTGTAAAATTATTTAATCGGATTATTAGTGATCATTTTGGTCACCTTGATAACCTCATCTATCTCCGAAAAAGTTGGTTATTTTCAGCAAATCACACTCCAACAAATAAAAAATCACAAACCTCGTGAATTTCTCATCCGCTTTGACTCACCAGATCAATGATTCTTATGCAATTCTAGGGTTACGGTGAATGTGGGGATGATCATTAAGCATTTGTTTGATTCCGAGGGTGTGAGTTTACGAAGTTGAAGCCTTGAAGGTATATATATATGGTGTTATATCCTCAACGTAATTGTTTGACATTATAGTATGTTTAATCTTTATACAGGTTTTGATTGTTCCCATTGATCACAAATGTTACTTTTGAGGGGTAAGTGCTTAATCTCTTAAAAGTTTTTCTTTTAAAGTGCTTAATCTCATGTGCCATTAAATTCAAGATAATCTACTATTGTGGTGCTTGATACCATAGGGAAAAAAAATTGATTATTAATTTTGAAAAAAAAATTGATTATTAATTTTGAAAAAAAAAATTGATTATTAATTTTGAAAAAAAAATTGATTTGTTGAGTAACTCACAAATAACAAGAGAGATTACTGTATTGCAACAACATCTTCCTGAAAACTTGTTCTCTTCCACTATTTGCAATTCAATGTCATAAAAACTTTGTTCATGAATATTGTTCCATAATGTGTTGAAATGTCTTCCTTTTTCTGTTTATTTGTTTTTTTCCCTTAGGCACAAGGTTCTATCTGCAGAATTTGAAACCAAGATGCTGAAGTTATTCTGCTAACCATTCTTGCTTCTGTCAAGATTTGGACCAAACTATGGGATCTGATAAGCATTCTGCTCGTTTGCTACATAACCTCAAAATGGAGAGAGTCAGGACGATTCTAACACATACTTACCCTTACCCGCACGAGCATTCACGTCACGCTATGATTGCTATTGTTTTGGGTTGCCTATTCTTCATCTCTTCTGAGAACATGCACACCCTCATAGAAAAGTTGGACAACAACTTCAAATGGTGGTCCATGTATGCTTGCTTGCTTGGATTCTTCTATTTCTTTTCGTCTCCATTCATCGGAAAGACTATTCGACCAAGCTACTCAACCTTCAGTCGATGGTAAGTGAATCCTTTATATCAAGAATATGTACCACTTTGAATATTTTTTATTTTTTCTAACTCTTTCGTTTTTGTTATTTGTGTAAGGTACATTGCTTGGATTTTAGTTGCGGCTTTGTACCATCTCCCAAGTTTTCAGTCAATGGGTTTGGATTTGAGGATGAATCTGTCCTTGTTTCTAACGATATACATATCATCCATAGTCTTCCTTCTTGTCTTCCACGTCATTTTTCTTGGCCTTTGGTATATTGGTCTTGTTTCTCGTGTGGCTGGAAGACGCCCAGAGATCTTAACCATTCTTCAAAATTGTGCTGTAAGTGTACACCATCCTTAATCATCTTGCACATCAAGGTCACACTACTAATAACTTCAATGACCTTGATCTTGTTGGCAGGTTCTTAGCATAGCTTGCTGTATCTTCTACAGCCATTGTGGTAACCGTGCTATTCTTAAGCAAACACCCCTTGAAAGACAGCATACTAGCTGGTTAACTAAAGGAGATGGTGGAAACAGTACTTGGCTTGCCAAATTCATTCACATTGATGAGCTGAAAGAACAAGTGTGTTCATCATGGTTTGCTCCTGTTGGATCTGCAAGTGATTATCCATTATTGTCCAAATGGGTCATTTATGGAGAGGTCTTTCTTCTCTTTATATCAGTTTAACTTGTTGTGTACGCATTTGTTTGTATTCTCACTTTTTTTTTTCTGTTTGCAGTTGGCATGCAATGGTTCTTGTCCTGATTCATCTGATGAAATATCTCCTATATATTCTTTGTGGGCAACTTTCATTGGTCTTTACATTGCCAATTATGTAGTGGAGAGATCAACAGGGTAAATGTTGATCTTATGTCAACAAAAAAGTAAACAACACTTGCAGAATAATTATTGTTCTTATTTTAAGTTTTGTTGTTGCTGTTGTACGCTTAGGTGGGCTTTGGCACATCCTGTGTCTGTAGACAATTATGAGAAGTTGAAGAAGCAGCAAATGAAACCTCATTTCTTAGATATGGTGCCTTGGTACTCAGGGTTCCCCTGTTTGTATATATTATTTATCGACAAATGTTTTCTTTGAAGTAGTATACTTTTAGCACTGTCTGATATATCTTAATTTTTTATTTTCAGAACTTCGGCTGATTTGTTTAAAACTGTGTTTGACCTCCTAGTATCAGTGACTGTGTTTCTTGGCCGCTTTGACATGCGGATGATGCAGGTATACTTTTGTTTCCATGGTTTGAGTTTCTTATTTAAATTGCATTTTTGTAACCTTCCCTATTCTTAAATATGTAGGCTGCAATGAGCAAAACTAGTGATGAAGACAAGAGAAAAGAGCTATTATATGATCATTTTACTGACAAGGATGATTTTTGGTTTGACTTCATGGCTGATACTGGTGATGGTGGAAATTCATCATATTCTATTGCAAAACTTCTTGCTCAGCCTTTTATCAGAGTTCCCTTGGATGATGATCTTGTATCTCTACAAAGGGGTAATGTCCTGCTTATTGGTGGAGATCTTGCGTAAGAATTTTTTTTTTACATTCTCTGTTTTTTTCTTTCTTTTTTCAGGTCTGAATGTAACCGAATATATGTGTTTTCTTTGATATATGGCAGATACCCTAATCCATCAGCATTTACATATGAAAAACGTTTGTTTAGTCCTTTTGAGTATGCGCTTCAACCTCCACATTGGTACAAAAAGGACTCGATTTCTGTTAACAAGCCTGAATTGCCTGAAGGAGTGTCTGATATAAAGGATTATGATGGTCCTCAATGTTTTCTTATCCCTGGAAACCATGGTATGTAATGTATCATTCATCTCTCAACTTCATTTGTTTCTCTGAATATATTTCACATACTTGGTTTTTGTTGGTATTGCTGTTAAACTGTAATGTTATTGTTTTACATTTCTTAGACTGGTTTGATGGACTCAATACTTTCATGAGGTATATATGCCATAAAAGTTGGCTTGGTGGCTGGTTTATGCCCCAAAAGAAAAGCTATTTTGCCCTTCAGCTACCTAAAGGATGGTGGGTGTTTGGTTTGGATCTCGCTCTTCATGGTGATATTGATGTCTATCAGTTCAATTTCTTCTCTGAGTTAGTCAAGGAGAAGGTAGATTCTTGCATCAATCTTTCTCCTGCTAAGTAGATTGTGCAACACTTCTTTTGTTCTTTTTTCTCACATCTTATGCTGTTTTGAGACACTGGTTCAGTTTGTTGTTTTGATGAAAGTTTTTTTTATTTTGTTCATTTAGGTTGGGGAGAATGATGCAGTGATCATAATCACACATGAGCCGAACTGGCTTCTTGATTGGTATTGGAAAGACGAAACTGGAAAGAACATGAGACACTTGATATGCAATTTTCTGAAAGACAGGTGTAAACTTCGAATGGCAGGAGATTTACATCATTATATGCGTCATTCATGTACTACTCAACCATCAGATGGAGCACCTCCTCATGTCCAACATCTCATTGTTAATGGTTGTGGAGGAGCTTTTTTGCATCCCACACATGTCTTCAGCGACTTTTCAAAGTTTTATGGTGCTTCTTATGAAAGTAAATCTGCATATCCTTCTTTCAGTGATTCAAGCAAGGTAAAGAAAAATTGTTTTCTTGTTTCTTGGGGTCTCTTATATATAGTCCTATAATTGATTTGCATTCAAATATTTTGTGTTGTTTTCAGATTGCTTTGGGGAATATTTTGAAGTTTAGGAAAAAGAATTGGCAATTTGATTTCATTGGTGGCATCATATACTTTCTCTTGGTCTTTTCCTTGTTCCCTCAAGTATTGTTTTTACTTTTTATACAGCTTTTGACTCTCTCGAATTATTTTGTCTTTGCATATATGTAGTAGCTAGTGTCTTTATCTTCATTTCCTCTTTGGTTTCAGTGTAAGCTAGGCCACATTTTACGAGGTGATTCATTTTCTGGCCACCTGGGGAGTTTCTTTGGCACAGTTTGGGTCGCATTTGTGTACGTAACAGAGCAGTCATATGTGTCTTTCACCGGTGTTCTTATGTTGCTAATAGTTGCAATTATGTTTGTTCCCTCAAAAATATCTCGCAAGAAACGACTACTAATTGGAGTTCTTCATGTTGCTGCACACTTGACTGCTGCTTTGATCCTTATGCTGTTGTTGGAACTCGGCATAGAAATCTGTATTCAGCATAAGCTTCTTGCAACCTCCGGTCAGTTTCTTGCCATATAATGTCAATTGATCCTTATTAGCATAATTCTAAGAATATGGAACTCTTGTTTTATACAGGTTATCATACATTGTATCAATGGTACAAATCAGTAGAAAATGAACACTTTCCGGACCCCACTGGCCTTCGAGCTCGCATTGAACAATGGACATTTGGATTTTATCCTGCTTGCATCAAGTACCTTATGTCAGCATTTGATATTCCTGAGGTAATATCATTATACAACTTAGGTCAAAATATTTTGCAAACCAAACGTTAAATTTCTTTTAATGTTTAGGTTATGGCGGTTACAAGGACTAACATTTGCAAAGAAGGAATGGAGTCGCTTTCTCGAAGTGGAGCAGCTATATATTATGCTTCAGTCTTCCTCTACTTTTGGGTCTTCTCAACTCCTGTTGTGTCTTTGGTCTTTGGAAGTTACTTATATATCAGCATCAACTGGCTTCACATACATTTTGATGAAGCTTTCTCTTCACTTCGGATCGCTAATTACAAATCATTCACCCGTTTACACATCAAACCTAATGGAGACCTTGAAGTCTTCACTCTTGGAGTAGATAAAGTGAGAAAAAAACAACTCTTCTCACAAGTTTATGGTCATTGTTTAAGATTGGTCTTTTAAGCAGAGAATTGTTGTTGTTTAATGAGTTTAGGTGCCAAAGGAATGGAAGCTAGACAAAGACTGGGATTCAGAGCCAAGACCGACTGTGAAGATGAGTCATCATAGAAGGTTTCCAAGCAAATGGTGTGCAACAACATTGCACCAAGATCCTATCAACACTGTAAAGATTGTTGACCGATTTGTTATCCATAGATCAGAGCAAGAAAATGGAGGATCGTAGATAGTCATTTCTACACTGATCCTTTTTTTTTTACTTTTCTTTCTCAATGATAACAAACATTTCAGTCTATGATTCAACAGTTTAGTTCTGTGTAACAAGTCTCTGAAATATATAGTTGGGAAAAAGAAAACAATTTTTTTTTTAACTCTATTTGCCTTGCCCTTTTTGTGGGTCTTCCTTCATTCAACATTATTATTCTATTAACCCTTTCAACTTTTGATATAAAAATATATATATATATATATATATATATATATATATATATATATATCAGTCACATACTCAAACCAATGACTTCCTCTCTTCATCCTCTTCTCTATCACCATCTCCTCCGGCGATCCTAACCATTGGTTTGGCCGGAATCTTGCTCGGAGGTTTAGCATCCATGGGAACCATCTTCAATACAATCCCCATTGCTATCAACAGCAATCCTGATCCGTGCTGTCCCGTTAACGGTTTTGTGAATATCAAATACGACAGCAGCAACGTAACTCCTTTCCTTGCCGTTGTTATCTACACAAAACGTTTTCAAAACGTTATGTCAATTAAGAACGTATATTCAATTAAAATAAAACGTAAGTGGAGCTTTTTGCATATAGGAATAGAGATTTACCAATGCGGTTGTAGCGGCTCCAAAGAGTGCAATGAGGGAGAGAACAGATACTTGACCAATGAATGTGGCCATGGCTTCGAATACAAGCACTCCATACACGTATGGATGCTGCAAAACAATAAACAAAACAAGAGTTGGTTTAACATTATTATTATCAACTAACGAGTCGTTAGACCGTTTGATTAAAATATTCCACGTTGGTACTTTACTTAAGGAATCAATGAATCTAACTCCATTATTATAAAAGACAAATTGAGTTGACTATTATAAAGTTGGCAGATTTAGGCACGTCGGTCAATGATTTCATATCGCCGCCGGTCACCAAGAACCCGACAAAGTTTGACTTTTTCAGAAAGAGTCTAAAACCAAATCCGAACCCGGTTTAAACCCTAAACCGAGTCAAACCTAAACCAAGAACGTTCAAATGGCTATACAAATACAAAGTCCACTCTGTGTCACTTTCCTTCAAGTGGACTATATCAAAGATTCATAAATGGTGTATAACTCGAAAACCAAACCCGGTTAATTTGGTTTTGTCACCCAAACACACAAACCGGAAATAGAAAACAGAGGTTGTTCCGTTTACTTACTTGTGCGCACGCAGTCCACGCTCTGAAAACCTCTCCGGTTAAGACCATGGGAACGAACAAGAACGGTAATCCAACAACCGTTGAGCAGAAAAGCATCTCCATCTGCACAAAATACATTTACAAGAATCTTAGACAAGAACGGTTAACAAAACAATGAGAAGACCCGGTTCTGTTTTATGTGTGTTTTCTTGTTACTTGCCTGAGTTGTCTCGGGATTCATTGTGAATATCGCTTCTTGCAGATTACCCAAGAAAGCGTCCATAACCAATGCACCAGTAATCATCATAATCCCAATCATGCTGAAATTCGGAGACATTTGTGCGTCTGCTAACGTGAACAAGATCAAACCAAGAACCAGCAAGAACGCTGAAATGTATTCATGAACCGGATATTTTCTTCTAAGACCAGGTATAAACGCTCCCATTATCATCACCGGTAACACCTAAAACCCCCCCCAAAAGATCAGTCATTTTGATCATTCTCTTTCAACTCATTGAGAAATGTGGATTTTTTACCTTGGTGGATTTGAACATGATTTGAGCAGGATAATTGAGATAAGCCAAAGATCCTTTGGTTAGTCCATGAGATCCCATGAGAACAGCAGAGAGTTTGACATAAGTTCTCATCGGATTCACAATTTGCTTTGTGGTGAAGCCTTGAAGGTAGATTAGGAACAAGTAGACAAATCCTTGAATGAACGTGAAATACCAACCAAAGCTACAAGACAAGAAACAGAACAGAGAACAATTCCAATTGTTATTATTCATTGTTTTGTTCAAAAAGACTAAAATTTAGGAGGAATCAAAGTTGACTTTTACCTAAACTGTAGGCGATTATAAACATATTCCTGTAAAATCAAAAGAGATTCAAGAAAAATAATCAATATGAGTAATTTTAGATCCAATACATTCTCTCATTTTTATTTTTTTACAAGATCACAACTTTTTCGTGACATCACGAGTCTATTAACTTTAAATCTACAATTGAATAAATTCAAAATCTGAAAAATAGAGATCAAATGTTTGTGTATGTGTTTGGAGAGAGTTTAGTTCGTCATGCAGTTTTCTTGGTCCTCTGTTTTTTTTTTTTTCTCAGAAACCAAACATCAAAGCTTTAGGCATGCAAATAAATTTGAAAGCACCAAAATCAGAAATTTCAAGCGAGAATTAGGAGCAGGGTATGTCGAATTATCTCAAGAACAAACAGAAATATTTACGTTATCAAAATGACAAAAAAAAAAATGAAAGAGAGAGAATTATATAGACGAACCTCGCAAACTCCGTTAACGAGATAACCAAAGAAGAAACCAGAAGTGCAGATGAGAAACTGTTGCCAAGTTGGTCGATCAGACAGAGAGATTCCAAACAGAGATCTTGATTGTTCCTCGCTCTTCATATTTTTACTTTGCAGAGAAAAATCAAAGTTTCTGGGAGAGAAAGGTCAAAAGAAAAAAAAAAACAGAGGAATTGATCAAACGCATGGAAAGTCTCTCATAACAGTAAACCACACCTCGAAACAACCAAAAACGCCAAATTGGGTAATCCCAGATTAATTGCAAAAATACAAACCAAATTCCTCTCTAATTCACTCCTCGAAGTCTCTGCTCAAAACTTCAATAAGAGAGAGAGAGAGAGAGAGAAAGAGAGAGAGTAAAATGGATGTATTGGGAAGAAGGAGAAGAAGAAGAGAGAGCTTATAATAAAAACGGAAGGAGAAAACACATGAAGGAGAAGAGGCGGGTCAAGACTCGAGACTCGTCTCGCGTGATTCGCCACTCTGTGACACGTTTTTCTTTTCCCCAATAAAACGTTCGTCTTCTTCTTCTTTTTACGTTTTCTGACTCACTTTTTCTTTCCGGTAACACTCAACTTTTCAAATTAACCCCCAAACTTATCTTTTTTCATATTTGAACACCATGACAAATTTCATAATTTTTGGCACCTCTTATTTTTATTGCAATGATCTTGTAGTATACAACTAGTAGAGTACCCGCACGTTTGTGCGGTGTGACGTTGTTGTTTTGTGTAGAAAATTTAAACCCTAAATCCGAACCCGACAAAAAACCCTAATCAAAAAATTTAAAAACCCAAACTTTTTTAATAGGTCTAAACATGAAAATCCGAAATCAAAAAAATCCCGAAAACCCTGACTGAACAAAAAAAATCTGGAAACTTTTTCACCCGGAACCCGACCCCAATACCTAATCAAAATTTTAAAATACTCAATTTTTTTAATATATCTAAACCCGAAAACCAGAAATCTAAAAAATCCGGAAAACCCTAAACTGAAAAAAAAATTGAACCTAACCCGAACAGAAATTTTCAAAGAAACCCGAACAATTTCTATATCTCTATATATATCTCTATAAAATTATGTCTCAGATTTTCACCCAAACCCGAACTTGTCTATAAAAACCCGAAAATCCAAAAAGCATATTCTATTGATTTGGAATTATCGTTAGATTATGTTAAGTTTTTTTTTTGCAGATTTTTAAGAGATGGAAAACGGAAGTTTTCTAAACCATCGGTTTATTTTAAGTTATTATTCTTGTATCCAAACAATTTTTTCCATTTATTCTTCTATCCAAATAGATTTTTCTCTTATTCTTATATCCAAACAACTTTTGTTTCCATTTATTCTTCTATCCAAATAGATGTTTCTCTAATTCTTGTATCCAAACATTAGAATGTACTTCTCAATTAATAATATAAAGATAACCTTAATTGGGATCATGCAATATTTCGCCAATTCTTCTTATAAAAAGAAATTAATGATAGTGTAGCACATTGGAAAAATATAGGTACAGTTCGAATATAACATAAACTTGAGGGCACGTTATCATATTTCCTTTATTTGAGCAGAGGAAGTTATTACACCGAGATTAGAGAAAGGAATGCTTACTTAGTCAACTTGCCGGTTTAAGACAAGTGAGTCATTGTCTAAATAGACGCCATTACAGCCTGTCTCTTGTATAATTCTACAATTTTTTCGTGATTTTACTCGGTTTACTTTGAAATAATAATTTGTTGAATACGTTAAATCTGTAGTAGCTAGCTCTAATAGTCCGATTATGACAGAAATTTAGTCTAACATTAGATTAGGACATGTTTTGGTAAGGAAACTGTTGATTTCGTCACCTTTCTATATATTCATATTAAGCAATAAATCTCACTAATATTCGTTGACTAGCAGAAAAATCTTAGTCAGGAAAGTTATAGAGTTACTTGTTTTAAAATTTTGAATACTAGTTCTAAAATCAAACTTTGTATATTGGCTTCCAAGTTCCATCACTCTAAATCAAATACTGAAAATTGACAAAACTGGAGGAACAAGAACAAATTGTGTCAGCAAAAAGTATATGGCATAAAATAATAATGGCAGTATCTGGTCAGTGAAGTGAATGTTTGGGAATAATTAGGTGGTGGTGTAGACTGTAGAGTTACCAGTCAAGATGTAAAACTGAAATGTTTTTTTTATATAGATATTAAATTTAACATGTACATATGTACTTTTAAGATAACTTTATTCGAGTTAATAACTTATATTCAAAAAAAATTATATAAATGGTAGTGGTCTCAACACATAACAAAAATTATCTCACTTTGAGATATTTCTCGTGCGTAAATTATTTATGTGGTTTATAATGGTCAGCAAAACTTCGCTCGAGACTTTTGATTTTTTAAGCAACCGATCATAATTCACAAATGAACCCAAAAAGAAAAAATATGGCGAGCAACTTTAGATATTTATATACAAACCATGTCGTTAGAGAAACAATCCGTTGGCGTACGTTAAAACAGTGTGGTCCCTCTCGGCCATTTTGTACCCACGCAGCGGAATCTTACCAAACTGATGAGAGAGTTAATTTACGCAGCTGTCTCTTACATACGTATCCTTCTTTCCAAAAATGAATTAGTTTTTTTTGTTTTAAACTAAAAGTATTTACGTCAAATACAAATTTCTATGAGGTTTTGGTTTAACATTGATTATGGCACTGTTATCGGCTTATTGCCGTCTCACCATGCGGAAAATAGGGTTGGCAAAGTTAGAATAGGAGACACAAGTAAAATTTATATGCTGATATCAAATTCGGATGGTAGTGGGACATTAATGTTGATTTTAAATTATAAAATACAATGATAGGATGCAGATGATTAAAGTTAGTATTAAAATCTTACTAGTAAACAAAGTTTTCAAATATCGTATTCTTTCCATCTGTTCAAGTGTCTCTCTCTACAACAAGTATTTAGTACTCCCTCCATTTCAGTTTATATGTCGTTCTAGAGCAATGCACACAAATTAAGAAACTTTGTTAATTAACTGTTTTAACCTCACACATAATAACAATTTACAATTTTATGTATATCTAATATTTTCCTTTTTATTTTCTAAATATGAAATTATCATATTTTAGTCATCTTCTTCGGATCAAGTTTTCTTCTTCGAACAGAATCTAAGATAAACAAAGGCCAAGTTTTTTTTAGCCAAATTAGTTCCAAATACATTGATTTCACCATGGATAAACTGAGAAGAAGTGAAATTAAAGAGAAAGAATGAAGCTTGATTTTGATTAAAAGTTGTACTTCAGATTTATGCACAGATCTGTAATTCCCAGATCAAAGACTAGTTATAAGCGTGTAAAATAGACTAATTCCCAGATCAAAGACTAATTCACAGATCTGTAAGAGAATTCCTAGATCACTAGATCTGTAGTTCAGATTTCTTCTGTAACAAGGTGGATCCGACCATAAGCATATTCAATCCAGCCAGAATAAAACCCATGCCAAAACCTGCATACTTAATGTACTGAATTTCTTTTCCTTTTTATCTCTTTTAACTACTACAGTCGTAATATCTTCGTCTTCCACAGGTGGAAAGAGAAAGGAAGGTGGAGAGAGAAAGGATTATACCAATGAGATATTCCAAAATTAATTATTCAGTTTTTAATTGTATAAAATGATGTTATATTAATTGAAACTATATTTGGAAATCTTAAATAAAAGTTACATTGAAAACCGAAAATAACAAGTAATAAGAATAAATAAAAAAAAACCTAAAACGACATATAAACTGAAACGGAGGGAGTATATACTTTGTTATATAGTGATATTTGGTTTTATCTAAAAATGATGGAATGATGATTACTTGTTTTCTGGTGAGAACAATAATTTCGATACACTTTGCAAGGATAAACTAGATTTTTATTTTCACTTTACTGAATAATGGTTAGGAAGATGATGATTTATATTTTCTCGAAATATTAGAACGATACTATTTATATCGGGCGACATACCCATATCGATCGATATAATTGGGCTTTGTAATTGTAGCCATTCGTGCATCTTTGACATAATCCATTATATTTAGAGTTATATGATCAAAATTTTAATGCTACTCCTTACTGGTGACCAATAGCAAACTTGTGACATTAAAAATAATAATTAGTTTCACAACAATAAATCAAGAATGAGTTCATCGATGAGGAGAGTGACGAAACCATTCCCTAATTCTTCAACAACATACCCTCTCTCATCGCCATTGATGGAACCCCATTTCATTTCCTTCACATAAATCTCTCTCTTCTCTCTTACTTCCCAACTCATAAACATATGTTCTTCTTCTTGTCTCCCCATCACCCATTCTTCCACTATCTCCACTAACTTATCCTCGTCTCTTGTTTCGTTACTCTTGTCTTCTTTAAAAAAATCTAGCAAGAGATTGTCTACAATGTGCGATGCTAGCAAGTGATTCGGTTCCTTGATTATTCTAGATATTACTAGAGCAAACAAACGGTTTGCTCGGTTTTCGGACTCATCTTCTTCGATTTCTGTCACGTGAGAGCCGTGATCTTGTATTTCCTCATACTTCTCTATGCGCTTCTTTAAGTCCACGGGCTCTAGTTGTACTAAACTCTCAAATTTTCTTCTCCTTCTCAATAACTTCTTCTCATCGATTTCTGTCAGTATCGAATTATAAAAAGATTAGCTCATCACATTCTGTGAAAATAATTCTTTAAAATGCAAGCTTATATGTTTACTTAAAAATTGCTTAATATAGTTAAACGTGCAAAATAATTGATTACAACGTCAAAATAATGTGTTTTTTTTTACGTAGAAACACACGAACAACGAATACAATTTGTTAACGTAAAAAAAACATACGGAATCAAGCAATGACCCTACATCCGATAATTGAATAATGAAGATTATAAAGATATAATCGTTAAATTTACCTTTTTGATGCGAATGAGGAGAAGTGATTGCATCATCTTGGAATGGACATTCTAATATCGATATTGGACTGAGTTGTTCTTTTTCTTCGTTCACGCAATCCTACAAATTTATAGTGATTGGATCAATTCAACTAGTAAATCGTGCACGAGTTTAAGTGTACCATTTTAAAGTGGTTCAGAAAATAAAATAAAGGAAATGAGGAATAGAGTGAGTTGGCAAAGTCAACCCACTTCCGGACAACAAACAATCTACATATCTCTCCAGTCTCCACACCTTCCCCATATTGTATTATTACAATAATTTCAAAAAAAAAAAGGGTCTTTTTAGCTACTAGTCCTTAGAACAAACCTTGTTCTTTCCATCTTCTGTACTTCTTTTTCTAATCAAATCATGTTAGTTATGTTTACGAACTAGAAATGGACTAAATATAGTCCATCAAATTCGAAGCCACCAAGAAGAATCGCAGCTATCGATTTCATAGATTATATTTATTGATTTACCTTCCAACCCTACACACTCGCACGCACGAACCGACAACTTTCACACAAAAAAAACTCTTAACTCCACTCGACTTCAAACCAACATCATACTGCTATTTACATGCTAATTCAAATTAATTACTTCACTTAATGGTTTCTCTGTTATTAGTTGGTGAAAGTAATGGTTGGTGCATTGAGACATTAACTTAGATGACGTGGCGGATGATATTTGGACAAGCAAGAAGAGAGAAATAAAAACTTTGAAAGTTTGTTAACTAACTAACCTCTCTGTTGTCGTTGACAGACGAGCCGTAACTGACATGTGTCCCTACGCAATCCCCACTCATCATAACTGCTCCGTCTGTTGTCCCCGTCACATCTTCCACGGCGTCGTTTTTGGTCGACGTCTCAGATGATTGAGTCACCTCCGAGTTCGTGTAGAACTCGTTACCACCGGCGGCGTTTGACAATGCCGCTTCAACGGGAAACAAACCCGTCGGGGAAATGTAAGAGATTTGATCGGACGGTTGATCTTGACTCTCTTTCAGAAAATCCCCGAACGTTCTCCACCGTTTGATCTCTTGTTCACGACCTTCCGTTTTCCGTTCGATCTCTCCGTCGACGTTAAGTTCACGGCGGGAAGGTTTTTTCCAGAAGCTTCTGCTTAAAAGTCTTGTAGAGAAGCTTCTCGAGAAAACAGCTTTCTTATTGTTATTAACTCTCTCTCGAGAAGAGTTAACGGAGGTAGGGAGCGGCAAGAGTTTAACGGCGGTGAGTAACGCCGTCGAAGCTTTCTGAACGGCGTGACTAAACGCCAATCCGCAGGTAAGACGCTGTTTGTGGTGAAATATTCCACCTGACCGTTTCATATCGGCGTCGAGGAGAAGACGGACGGTGGACGATTGACGGCGAGGGAAGGATTTGAAGCCGTTGGATGAGCAGGAGCTGAGATCATCGAGAAGGTAATCTCTCAAAATCAACGGTTTAAATTGTCTCTTTGTCATCGGAAGGCGATGATCGGAGGAACTGATCGACGACATTGGAGAATGGAGATTCAGTCGGAGGAGACTCAAGCTGGAGAGCATGTGAATCTGAAGTTAAGAGTGATATGTGAGTAATGAGTGAGATAGATAGAGAGGGTTGCATTAGCATTGAATCCGTTGATATTTAAGAAAGCTTTTTTTGTGGTTGTCATAATAAGTACTGATCAAGTTTGATTTTATTTATTTGTTTAATCTTTGGAATTTGAATCACGTTTGTTTACTGGTTTTGATGGAGTAATTGTTATACAAACTAATTTTGTTATTAAGTTTCGTAAATGAAAAAAGTTTCATTACAAACTAATAATGAAAAAGTTAGTATAGTTATATAATTAGACATACAAGGTATGGATTTAAAGTTACAAACTTATGTCAATGTTTATAAACAAAAATAAATAAAACACAAAATCGATACCAATAAAACAAGTTGTGGTCGCGACGTGACATGAGGACCAGTTATTGTGATGTTCAAATGAGACACATATCGTTTTGGTGTGAGGTGTTCCGTATGGGGAAAATGTTTTAGATGTTAAATAATTACAAAATTATTTGAAAAACATCATTACAGTACAATACCATACATATATAATGTTCTAAAATTTAAATGAACTGCAACAAATGAAACATTAAAATTTTATGAATAGGAAAAATAATTCACAAGGTTATATTTTCAAATGGGCAAGAAAAATATACAAAATGACTAGCTACCTTTTAGGGGGAAAAAAGAAAAGCAAAGAAAGATGAATATCCAACGAATTTTGACTTTCTGGTAATGGGTTTAATTAGACGAGAGTAAAGACCTCAAGTTGACCTGTCCGGCCGAAATATTCTTGCGGCTTCCATGCAGATATTGCCCAAATCAGCACTACAGCTACCACCACGTGTGCACTTCTTACAATTTTGATTGTAGTATAAAAAGGAAACAAATTGCGGTTTATATCGATTAATCGAATAGTGTCATTTTTATAATACTAGTTTCAGTTTCAGTACTAGATATCTACTAACGGTGCAACCGACTTCCTTTTATATTACATTTGTTATCGTATCTTTTACCCAAAGTTTATTAGAACTGCCATGGTTAAAGCGAGACCATTACCATTACCATTACCATTACCATTACTATTAGAGTTTGAATCTCAGAGCATATAGACGAAGTAGATCTTACCTTTGTAATATATTCCGGTCTGAGTATTCAAAAACTATAGTAAAATAACAAGATAATATGATTCAAGTAAAAATAATATCAACAACTATTTACTTTGCTTTGGCTGTCAAAAGAAACAAAAATATTTTTAAGAAATAAATAATAATAACTACATAATAAAAACATATAGAGACATACGTCGCACAAATTGGAGATAAGAAGATATCTATTATTATAGAAAAATATCGTATTAGTATACTGGAGGTTTCAAATATTTATTGGATGAGAGCAATGTGCAAATTTGGACGTAATGAAAAGAAACTGTTAGTGATTTGCATACCCAAAAAAAAAAAGGAAATAGCACCCAATAACCATAAAAAAAAGCCAAAATTAAGGATATGACCATAATAAATAAATGGTTAGAGTATTTTGTGTGTAATATATATTATTACCGAAAATACCCTTTTGATAAAAAATCAAACAACTCACGTTTGTTTGTTTTTTTTTTTTTTTTTTTCTCTTTCCATGTATTTTCTCCTCCTCTCTCGCGAATCTCTGTGACTTTTTTCCTTTTTGGGTTTAGGATCTCTATGATTTCTTCTTCCATGGTCACTATCTCTTTATTTCTTCTTCCCTCACCAAATTATGTGGCTTGCCGAATCCTAACTTGCGAATTTATACTCATCTGGATCCCACGCAGCAGCGACGAAGAGGAAGAAGATGACAATTGGCAGATCATAGATGTTACCCGGATCTCCTCAATTCCTCTCAGTCGATGAAGAATCGAGTCATTGCAATCGAATTCGACACCAAAGCGGATCTGTGATTGAAGAGATTGGGTCTTTCTTCTTATCATTTTGTTTAATCTAGTTTAAATTTGTTGCATCTTAACTTTTATTGGTTTTGTAAAGGGTTTGCAATCAGTTAGTTATGGTCCTTTAATCTTGATAGTAAATTCAATTTGTGTTGTTCTCTACTATGCTTTGATCTATGGAACACATCCTTTCATGGTTGTTTACTCTTTAGGAGATTGCAAAAATTATACGGTGGTCTATTCTGTTTTCCTGTATAGAACAAAACAGAAGTTAGCTAGCTAGAAGGGCAGTTCTGTCCACAATAGTTTCTCTTTGTTAGTTTCTTATTATCAAACTCACAATGGCTATATTCTTAATATTGTTCTCCAATATGAATATTGAGCAAATTCTCCCAAAAAAAAATGTTAGTGATTTTATTGATACATTCAAATAGGAAGATAAAGAGAGCCTTTTATTAAAAAAAAAAAAAAAAAAAAAAAAAAAAAAAAAAAAAGATAAAAGAAAGATAAAGAGTTCAAAGTGGCAAGGCAAATACTTGAGAGCTATATATGGATCTTTTCTTGAATACGAAGCTTCTCTAAGTCGTGTGGAAGAAAACTGATGGGCTTTGTCTGGCGATATTGGGCTTAAGTCTCGGGAGATGAACGTTTCAATCCTATGACTTGCTTTATTTTTTTATTTTTTTACATCATAATGAATGGTTTGGAGGGAAAGCACAATGAAATTTCAGTTATAACGATAGCATTTGATATTCGAATTTTGCTTCTTATTTTTTTCATTGAAGATAAGAGAAGTGCATATAAATTTGTTATCTATTTTGATCAGTATGAGTAAGAGTAATGAAATATATAATTATATTATGAGCACGTATCTAACGTACTGTCTACAACATGTACTCCGACATAGTCATTCCCCCTTCGCGTTGGCGGTAGTATTATATTGGTAGGGACGTATTATATTATATGCTTATCGGATAATGCTATAATGGTTTATCTCATAGACCGAAGTCACCAAGCGACATGACACAAAGGTTTGTTTAGCTAAAGCTATACATGCATGACATGAGAATGCATATAAATTAGGCTATTAAGGTTCCTCCTCCTCGTCTCCTACTAATTAAGATCTTTATGGTCTTGAACATTTTATGGTAAAGGATGTTGTTGTTTTTGTTAGCTTGACCATAAGAAGATATTGTTCTAGAATATATATGGATAACCATTAACCACCCATTCTTAATATATGCGGTATACATTTCAAAGTGGAACATTGACAAGGTGATGAGAATTAGGAGCGCGGTTGTTAATCGTGCTAAGAGTTAACTTATGCTATTAAACTAGTAAATATTTTAGTAGACTCCTAGACTGCGCCTTAACCTCCTTCTTTTCTTGTCAATATTATCTTCACGGTGTAGGCTTAAAGATAAATTTAAGTATACGCACGAAAAGAAGAGAGTAGAATAACAGATTCACATGAGCGTTTTTAACGATATTTGATACCTAAAATACTTCTACAAATGATATTATCTCGCAAATTTCTTATCAGTAAACATAGAGTAATCAATTATTTCATGAATTAAACTTAATTTACTATTCATTTCTAAACTATAGTCTATATGTGCTCATATATTTGACAACAATTAGATTATAAGAAAATAAGTTATATTTCATATATATACTAGGTCACTCTTAAAGATTTACAAAGTGACAAAATCAGAAATTTGACTTCGGGAAACCTGATTATCACAGACAATATAAATATATAAAATCTGTTAAGAAACACGCATGTTCTATCTTATCATATAGTTCTCTTTTCCGTCGTATAATTTCTACTTACAGTTGTGAGTTCTTTTAATATAATATAAGCGTCGACATAACTCGTGATAAGATAATATTATTTTTTGTTTCCCATCATCTTTAACTTAGGCTATATTAATGGTCCAGGTTCTATAGAGGTGAAGCATGTGACAATATATTATATCTATGAACAAACAAGAAATTCTTATTCCAAATCATACATATGAACACTCACGAAAAGACCATTTAAAACTAATTTTGAAAGCATGTTCTTTCTTTTTTGCCAAGCTATAAGTTTCCACTCGACTATATGAATAGGGTGGTCCAATAAATCATTTTGTAAAAACTTAAAATATGTAATGAAGAGGTATATTCCATATAATTCTTTTCAGTTTATTGCAAGCATCAACATCTTCCGAAGTTTTATATGAAATTGTACAGAAATCTCAAATTTTATCTCTTAACAACTTGACATCAACCTTTACAGCAACTTGATTTAAGATTTGAGTTCACACAAAAAGGGGACGAAAATGTATGAGTTCACACAAAAAGGGGACGAAAATGTATGCGTATATAAAAAGAAGGAGCGTTTATCTTACATTGTGGTCAAAGACTCGAACAAATGAAATATATATGTATATGTTTATACAAAGAAAAACAAAAAATGAAAAATGTATATTAGTTATCATCACACATGTTACATCAAAACGTCCAACCGATTTAGTTCTGACGAAGACGTGGTCATCTTTTAACGATTTCTGACGAACTTATTAATACATTGAAATGAAATCGTGATCCTCTAATGTATTTTATTACGAGCCCTTAATTAATTGTTTTTCACGATTTTTAAAAATCAAAAGAATCCCTTTAATATTCAAATTCAAAGTTAATAAGCTTGGACATTTGTTGAACATTATTACAAGTGAGGAAGAAACGACACGAGTCAATTTGTTACTCTATATTTTATGCAAAATCGAGTCTAACTCGAGCTCTGAGAAACAGAAGCAAAGACAAAAGTTTACAAATACAGAGGAAAGAGAAAACAGATAAGGAGCTTTGCTTAGTTGTGTATCTAAAAACAAAATCAAATGTGAACATATACAAAAATTCAAATATACATCCAGAAATCATATTTCTAGGAAACTTATATGTGTATTGGCAGACTGGCAGTATTGCCCCAAAATCCCAAATAAAAACAAAAATGAATGCCTTTTCCAAGGAAACTTAAATATAATTTAAATTTTTTCCAAAACTGCCAAGACTCATATATTTCTTGGATTTGTGTGTGTGTGTGTGTGTGTGTGTGTAATTAATTCCACAAATGAGAAAAATAACAGAATAAATAAAAAATCCCAAAAATGAGTAAAGTGAAAAAATTCCAAATAGAAACCCAAAATTTCATATTTTCTCGGAAGCTTATTTTTACTTTGCATTTCCACAAAGGAAAACAAATCTTAAATAAAAATACTGTAGTAGGAAGACGGAGTCGTAACAATGACATAATGGTTGGTCAATAAAACCGCCAAAATTGTTCTGTTATAGTTACAGGAAAAAAAAATTAAAACTTAAATTTCTCAGTCAAAAAACTTCTCTTGCCGTAATCACTTTGCTAAGCGTAATTACTGACTTATTTTGAAACTTTTTATAACACGCCTTTTACACATCAACAACACCTTCTTCATCGTCCTCTTTCTTCCTCTCTCTCTCTCCTCTCTCTCAAACCTGTAATCATGGCTGCTCCCTTGATTCTCAAGAACCACACAGATCACCGACAAGATCCGAATCCAAACCCGACCAATCTCTCCTCTTCAATCCAAGAAGCCAAATCAATAGCCAAAATATCTCTCCCAATGATCTTAACCGGTTTACTCCTCTACTCTCGCTCAATGGTCTCAATGCTCTTCCTCGGCCGACTCAACGACCTCTCTGCTCTCTCCGGCGGCTCACTCGCCCTCGGCTTCGCCAACATCACCGGATACTCTCTCCTCTCCGGCCTCTCCATCGGCATGGAACCCATCTGCGTTCAAGCCTTTGGCGCCAAAAGATTCAAACTTTTAGGCCTCGCTTTGCAAAGAACCACACTTTTGCTCCTCCTCTGTTCTCTCCCCATCTCTATCCTCTGGCTCAACATCAAGAACATCCTTTTACTCTGCGGACAAGACGAAGAAATCTCCAGCCAAGCGGAGATCTTCATCCTCTTCTCTCTTCCCGATCTGATTCTCCAATCTCTACTGCATCCTCTCCGTATTTACCTCCGATCTCAATCAATCACTCTTCCTCTGACATACTCTGCTTTCTTCGCCGTGATCCTCCACATTCCGATCAATTACCTTCTCGTTTCTTCCCTCGGTCTCGGCCTTAAAGGCGTTGCTTTGGGAGCAATCTGGACTAATGTCAACCTCCTAGGGTTTCTGATCATCTACGTCGTGTTTTCGGGTGTTTACGAGAAGACCTGGGGAGGATTCTCGATGGATTCCTTCAGAGGATGGAGCTCTCTGATGAAGTTAGCAATCCCTAGCTGTGTTTCAGTTTGTCTAGAATGGTGGTGGTACGAAATCATGATTCTTCTATGTGGACTGTTACTTAACCCGCAAGCAACCGTCGCATCTATGGGAATCTTGATCCAAACCACCGCGTTGATCTACATTTTCCCTTCCTCTCTGAGTATCAGCGTTTCGACGCGTGTCGGGAACGAGCTAGGCGCGAACCAGCCCGGTAAAGCGAGGATAGCCGCGAGAACAGGACTCGGTTTGAGCCTAGGGTTAGGTTTGTTCGCTATGTTTTTCGCTTTCATGGTGAGGAATTGTTGGGCTAGATTGTTCACGGACGAGGGAGAGATTTTGAAGTTGACTTCAATGGTTTTGCCGATCATCGGGCTTTGCGAGCTAGGGAACTGCCCTCAGACTACAATGTGTGGGGTTTTGAGAGGAAGTGCAAGACCTAAACTAGGAGCAAACATAAACTTGTGTTGTTTCTACTTTGTGGGAATGCCTGTGGCTGTATGGTTAAGTTTCTTTTATGGGTTTGACTTCAAGGGACTGTGGCTCGGTCTGTTTGCAGCGCAAGGCTCGTGCCTGGTTTCGATGTTGGTCGTGTTGGCTAAGACTGATTGGGAAGTTGAGGTTCATAGAGCAAAAGAGCTCATGACAAGATCATGTGATGGTGATGATGATTGTGAAGATGATGGTAATACGATGCCGTTTTTGTTGGATTCTTTGGACATGGAAGAAAGTGGGAACTACAGGCATTTGAATGTGTACTAAAGTCTTGTCTCCTAGTTTGATTCATTGGCACTAACGAAATTGGTTTTGGTGTACACTTTCTAATTGATTATTTTAGGAGGAAAACGTTTCAAACATTAAATATTGTTGGATTCTGAAGTTAATGATTTGTGAAATATATTGTATTTTTTTAGTTAGTTTTTTTTTTCCTTTGTTGATAATGAAAAAGAATGTAGTGTTTACAAATGTTGGTGATTTGATTACATTTCAGTTTCGTTCAGAACACACTTTTTCTTGCAAGAATAATTAAATTTCCTGACTCCTGTCATTATGCGATAAGCATGGGAGTGACTTGTTAACATGAGGATGATTTTTAAAATTTTAATGTGAATAGAAATTCTCTTTTGAAAGTGGTTTGAGTGTATATATTTAAGTGTTTATGTATATATGAATCTGGTTAAGCAATTAAAGGACAAGATTTAAGTTGGTTTCGTTGCCGGGAAATTCTTGTGCAAGAGGGGGAATAAAAAGGAGCTTTAATAATTAAAAGAAAAACAAAAATTAAACACCGTGTTTAGTGGTCCTTCATAAGACGCGTGGGTTTACGCGCTACGGCGCGTGTAACAGAAGGAGGTGTGGAACTTTGACGACGGCGAGGAAATATAACGTAACGTCTCCGTCAAGGTCGTCGTTTGCGACAGCCGACGCCGTGAACGACCCGCTTTTGTTTTGTCCGCTTATTCGTTTACTCTCTTTTCTTCCACTAACATCACCGACTATCACCGACTTGACCCGATAACCGACCCGTTTAAGTCCACGTTTATTTAGTTTTTTTTTATAAGTAAAATATAATAACGCAAAATTTTAGAATTCAAATCTGAATTAGAAATGTACGACCACTTGCCACTTGGTTACAAATTGGAAGAATATAATATTTTCATTACGGACTAGAAATGTAACGAACTCATGGTGTGGTGCAAATGAACAAAAATGGCCCATAAGGTGAAACAAGAAGAAAGGCAATTAGTTATGAGTTTGGCACTAAAATAAAATGTCTTTGCCTCAAGTGTCCCAACTTGCTTTTATATAACCATAGTTTTTCATGTTCTTCATCCTCCATCACCTCTCTTCTTCTATTATTTTTTATATTTCTTTCCATTATTGTGTCCATAGATATTTTATTTGACGGAGAACATTCAGAAAAAGATTTTTAATGATACTCGCCAAATTTGTGTTTTAGATAAGAGAGCAAAAACCCACCCAATTCGTCATGGTGATCTGGTAAGTTTGACATCCACAGTCACAATACAATTACATAAGAGGGTACAAAGAGAGAATATCACATCCAACGAATAGAAACTGCCCTTGTGATTCGAAGATGATTAATATTTACACTCTCTACATATTGGGGAAAACAAAAACTTTCCTTTTATAGAAAAAGAAAACAATAAGGGCATACTTTTAGGAGTTCCTTCTATAGAGGGAGAAAAAGGAGAAGACACTTAAGTTATGGAGCCGAATAGATTTACTCATTTTAGGTTCAGCTCCAAGAACGATGTTTCTTGTTTGCTCGTTAAGCCTACCTTCAGTGGCGAATGCACTAAGAGCTATAGGGTGTCAATTGACACCGTAAGATTTTATATATAACTGTTTTGTAGCTAAAATGTCATTGATTTTATTAGATTAATAGCAAAATTCTTCCTTTGACCCCCTATAATTATGAGTTAAGTCTCTATATGACACCAGTAAAAATATTTTATAGATTCGCCACTGCCTACCTTAGTGACACTGAACTTTCCCCATCGCCAAAAGCATGCTGATAATATAGCATATATTACTTGTTTTTGGTCACACAAACAAACCAATTAAAAACCCATGTCCATTAATGAAAACTTGTAAATAGCATTTTATGGCAGAAGCCACAAACCACTTACCAGCTACAAAGTTGAAAAGTGACTGCAAATGAGAAAATAAGTAATGATTTGTGGTTATTAATGTTTATATAATTGAAGATAAGTGAAGGTTAACTTTCAACAATTTGAGAGAAAACTCATCCAAGTCCCGGGCGCATACAAGTTAACTGATTTTGGACCTAGTAGCAATGCTAGTTCTGAGCCTTTTGACTATTGTTTTGAGTCTTTTGACCGACTTGCAAAACATATTATTTACCTTCTACTACTAATTCTTCTTCTTTCTGAAATGCCCTTTTAGCTTTCATTCTGTAACCCATTTAGATGTGTATTTTATATTTCCAGAAAAAAACAAAACGTAACTGAAACTATTTGGAGACTAAAACATAATGCGTGTTCAAAATTACTAGTCAATTCTAACAAAAATTTCCACCAATTCAGTCAAACAATAGTTACCATTTACAATATTCAAAACCAACTGAAATTTTTTTTACACATTACGATTAAAATCATGAAAGATCCTTAACAAACATTTTATACATACTCTTACGAATCAATCTTTTAGTTTCCTTTTTCTACCATTTCGATCAGTCTAAGAATTAGTAGTCTCAAATATCAAAAGGGTATAATATACGAAATTACGACGTCAGCGATATTTGGGAGATATTATTAAATTTGTAAATGCCGTTGGAGGCCTTCAACACATTCAGGTCCCTTTGACATTTTTCCGAGGAGCGGCGGCAACAAGAAGGGCTATAGCGTGATTTTGAGTTCTTAGTAAGGTTAGTTTCGTCAGCCACCGCATTAATCCTGACAAAATCCTCTGTTTTCTGAAATCTGAATCTTTCACTTACATCGGCGTTTCTACAAGTGGCAGAAGCCTAATAGCGTAGGGACACGTGGCGCAAGCTTAATGCGTCACAGTGTTTATTTTAAAGCTGGGTTTGTTAATTATGGCGTCACGAGTAATTAAGAAGCAGCTGAAGAAATTAATAAACAATAGAGAAATGTCTCATTTTCCTCGTCTGTTTCGATTTTAAATAAATTTTGCGAAATTTTCAACCAGAGGCGGATCTTAATGCGTCTGTTCCAACAGATTCTCTCCGGCGACGGCGAGCACGATGGCCGGAAACAATTCCGACTCGAGTCTCTACCAGGTTCTGGTGGAATGGTGCCAGAGAATGGAGACGAGTCAAGCGAGACTAAGGGAGGATGTGGATGACTTATTGCTCCAGGAGGAGAGACGAATCGACAAAGAAGCGGCGCCGGAGGCCGAAGCGGAGGCGGCGGATTCGTGGGATAGTCCGTCGGAGACCTGGGAGAGAGCGATTTCTGGATTCTACTTCGCCGATAGTGCGTATCGGACTTTGATGGATTCAATGGGTCACGCGATTCATGTCACATCCGCTGCTTCCGGAGAAATCACTTTCTGGTGAGTTCTGATTACAGATTCTATCTTCTTCGTGTTCATCTATGGTGCTTGTAGTCATAGAATTCGATAGATTCCGTTGATTTTATACAATTTTCTGATTTGTGATTTCTCTGTATATGCAAATGGGAATATCCGATTAGTCTCTGAGTGAAGAGCTTCGTTTTCTTATTCAGGAGTCGTTCTGCTGAGAATCTCTACCATTGGTATGCAGAGGAAGTTGTTGGCTACAGAACGATTGATGTGCTTGTGACTGAAGAATACCGTAATTGCCTCACTAGTATCCGTAATAGAGTTTGCCGTGGAGAGACCTGGACTGGTCAGTTTCCGTTTCAGAAGAAAACAGGCGAGCTGTTCATGGCGCTGGTGACTAAGAGCCCTGTGTATGAAGATGGCCTGCTCGTTGGTGTTGTCACTGTCTCAAGCGACGCAACGCTTTTCAATAGGATGCATCCGCTAAGCAGTGAGCATCATCACCAGCAGCAAGCACATGGTAATAGACATGAATCGAACTTGAGAAAGCACCAGTGGCACCTCCCGAGGCCTCAGATCGGTGCAGCTCCACAGGTTCCAGTCGTCCCACAGATTTCATCAACTGTTTCAAACCTGGTAAATCTCAGATTTTGAATCCCTTCTTATTGGTTGATTCCTGTGAAAGATGAATGATTGTTTGTTTTGCTGAACCAAGAAGGCGTCGAAGCTTCTACCACAGAGAAATGGAGATGACTCCTTCAATGGAAATCAGAATTCTAATTCCAGGAGCAGGGATGAAAATGTTCCTGTTGTTGCCTCCACAACTTTTGAGAAGTATGGCTCACTGGTAAGTCTTTGTTGTATACTTTCTAGAACAATTGATGTCTCATGTTATAAGCTGAATCTGTACATATACTAGTGTAGGCGGATAAGTTCTTGGGGAAGCTGCAGAGGAAGTTTATTGGTAGCCAAGGAACTGATGATAATGAGACTATATTAGGAAATGGAATAGATAAGACGTCCGGTGGTAGTGGAGCTATTTCCACGGCTTCTAATGCGATTAGCTGCGCGACTTTCAGAGACAATGGCAATGGGAAGCCGAAACCGGCTGAGACTAGATTCGCAGATGTTTATGGGAGTGGAGCTCGAGGTTTGAGTGAAGAGAAACAGATAGTATCACCTACTGGAGACCGGTTTCAGTTTATTGGGAATATGAGTCAGAGAAAGCCACCTAAAAGGCCAGAGAGTGGTTTGGTTTCTGGCAGGGGAACGAGAATGTCGGACTTGAATGGCGAGATAGAAGATGCTTGGACGAATCGGCCTAGTGGTGATCCTTTTCCAAGTCTTGAAGTCAACGTCAGTAGGCAAAAAAGTCCATCGAGGCAAGTGAATAATGGATTAGTTACTGATTCGTCATGTGAGATACGATGGGAAGATCTACAACTTGGGGAGGAAGTTGGACGAGGTGCATTTCTCGTTTCACTTTTAAGATATCTGTCTAGGATGTTTAAATCAGATTCTGAGAATTTCTGACTCGTTACATTTGCGCACAGGTTCATTTGCTGCGGTTCATCGAGGAGTCTGGAATGGATCAGTAAGTCTTCTGTGGTTAAAAATGGTTCTTGTATCAGTGCGCATGAATAACTAACTAACTAGTCCTATTTATCTGGACCAGGATGTTGCTATTAAGGTCTACTTTGAGGGTGATTACAATGAGGTGACTTGGATGGAGTGCAAAAAGGAGGTACGCATATTTCGTTCTCTCTGTTATGTTAGTGTTTTGAAAAACCATTGCCAGACAAAGTGACTCAGTTGAGATCAATATTTTCAGATCGACATAATGAGGAAACTGAGACATCCGAATGTGCTTTTATTTATGGGAGCAGTATGTTCTGAGAAAAAATCTGCCATAGTCATGGAGTATCTGCCAAGGTGAGATTTTTTTACCTTTAGATATTGAAGTAGTGTTGGTCCTTATTGAGTGTGTTAAATTGCAGATCAGTTTCTGTTGTTGATTTATTTCATTTCCGGTTTTGGTGATTAGAGGGAGTCTCTTCAAAATACTTCATAGTTCGAATCAGCCATTGGACAAGAAACGTCGTTTAAGGATGGCCCTTGATGTTGTAAGGCTCTCATCTTTCATAGCCCTTCCTCGCAATGAAAAAAGATTTGTGAAAAGGATGAGCAAAACCGGGTGTTTCCATTGTTGTTGCAGGCTAGGGGAATGAATTACTTACACCGTAGAACCCCGCCGATTGTACATAGAGACTTGAAATCATCCAATCTCCTGGTCGACCGAAACTGGAATGTCAAGGTACAACAACAACTGCTTCATTTCTGAAGTTAACCTTCTTCTTTATTTTACAATTACAACTCTTTTCTTGCCTAGGTTGGAGACTTTGGGTTGTCAAAGTGGAAGAACGCAACCTTCTTAAGCACTAGGTCCGGGAAAGGAACAGTAAGCTATTTCTGTATCTCTTAGTTCCACAAACCGTTGTTTGCATTTCTGTAACTAAGCCATGATTTATTTTTCTATGTAAAGCCGCAATGGATGGCACCTGAAGTTCTCAGGAGTGAACCTTCGAATGAGAAGTGCGATTACTTGCTTCACTCTGTTTCTTGTGACACATTATTCAATAGCTTGGACGTATATTTGGGCTAAAGATTTAATACTTTCGTCGAAACAGGTGTGACGTGTTCAGCTTTGGAGTCATCTTATGGGAGCTAATGACTACTTTAATACCATGGGACCGTCTAAACTCTATTCAGGTACATCTCTCAAGTTCTGTCATTATGAAAAGTAGAGCTTAACTATAAGATACTAGGAATCTAATCAAAGTCTGAATAGGTGGTTGGAGTTGTTGGATTCATGGACCGACGTTTAGACTTACCTGAAGGATTAAACTCCCGAATCGCATCAATAATACAAGATTGCTGGCAAACGTAAATATACTGTTTCATCAACTTTCCTCTCAGGAATTTATAGTGCTGTTTTTGTTAACCTTTTGTTGTAAATTATTGGAACAGTGATCCAGCAAAACGACCGTCGTTTGAGGAGATAATTAGTCGGATGATTAGCCTGTTCCGCAAAGCGGGGTCGGCTGCACAAGAAGACGAGGACTGAGAAGTTAAACTGGTTCATGGTTAGAGGATGGTTTATATTAATACAAAAGCAAGGACGTGAAGAAAAGAAAGTATCGCTTTCTGATTACTTAATATACAAAATGTCTCATAGTGTTATGCCACAGTAATTATATATATTTAAAAGAAATGAAAAAAAAATGAAGAAGCAGAATTGCTGAATCAAAGTGAAATATAAATATAATTTTGGTTGTTCACTTGAATCATTGTGAAGTAGGCTTGCTCGGTTCTGTTTTGAGTAATGTATACATGAACAGAACCAAGTTCTCTACTCTGGTCCGTTCAACTCTTTTTGCGATTCTCTTGTGAATTGGAGGACCCAAATGTAAAACTGGATAAATAAGAGAGTGAAAAAGAGAAATTAGGAGAAAACTGGGGGATTGGTGGCTTTTTGTGATTTGGAGTGTAGTAGGTTTCTGGGGGAGAGAGAAGAACTGAAAAAGGCAAGGTGAAGAGTGAGCAGTGACAATTCGTAGCTTTGCTTCTTTTGCTTTTTTATTCTCTTACAGCTTCCCATCACTGCGTCCTCTGTAGTTTCTCAGCACCCTATTGTATAAGAGCCAGAAGCCTAAAACACTACTGTTTTTTTTTTTCTTTTTCTTAAGTTATTTTTATTTGTAATTCCTTAAATCAGCATCTTCCATTTACATTAATAATAATGTTAAGCATGTATATAATAAGATGGGTGTACCAGGGTCTGTGCATGCATGTGCGTGAATAGAAAGAAAAAAAGTATTGAAAAGGAAGAAAATTTGGGAGATAGAGATATATTTGTCTGCCTGTCTGGTTAATTCAGAACAAATCACATCGAACTGCATATTAGTATTTAGTTTTAAAAACACATGCATATGCATCATGCTTGTGACCTATAGACAACAAACTTTTTGACTTTTTTGCTCTTTGCCTCGTATATATTTTGTAGCATCAATTCTGTAACATTTCAACTCAAGCATCTTATACCTTTTTATATGTATGTGTGATTGATTGAGTCGATTTATACTAGCCGTAGCTTATGTACTTAGTTAGTATTAATTTCTTTTTGGGATTTACTCAGTAATGTACTTTGTTCTCAAATTGTTTTTTGTCGGTCAATAAGAAGTAGATTTTTATAGGTTTTCCGTTTCCATAAAAGGCTTACAATAAATAACTGAAAACGACAGTAAATTGATATGATTGTTCTTCTTTTCTTGCTCAATCATACCATAATTAATTTTACACATTGAGAACATACATCTAGTTTTTTCTTTTAAACAATTGGTGATAGTCTTTGATCGGAAATTCGGAATAGTACAATCTATAATATCTTAGTAAATAGCGAAGGAATAAATATTCTTTGCGACAAGAACAACATAATGTCTTTTTTTTGTGATCCATTGAACGTAAAGTCTTGTTATTCCTTCCTCTTCTTGACTACCTGATTAAGGTCTTCGAATCACTCTAGAGAATGACTTCTTCAAATCCAGACATTGCCCATAGAAGCATTGTTTCTTCCGCCTCAAGACATGACTGGAGGGAGGGATAAGCCTTAACTCCGAACCATCTAACATTAGAATCTTGATGCATCAACATCGGATTTCGGTTAACCTGAAGATGAAGGACTGCCAATCTGATCACATGTTGAGCTTGAAACAAGCATTCCTTCGTTATGTTCAAACCATTTCCTTGAACCCAAGAATGCTCTCTCCATAATCCGTTGAGCTTCTTTTTGATGATTCGAGAAGCAAATATCAGATTCTTGTTGAGTTTTTGTTGTTGTTGTTCATGACTAGAAAATCCAATACCAAAACTAAGCAACAAAAGGAAGAAAAACCGATTTGAAACATTTTGTTGAAAAAGTTGAGTGGAATTTATATATGAATAATGTTAGTTCATTCCGATCTATAAATTTTTTTTTTTTGATCAACGGGCTAATTCATTAAAAAAAGAAACCTCAAAGGGCGTTCAAAACAAAGTGCGACAAAGCAAATTTCGCGAGAGAATCGGCTACAAGGTTGCTCGATCTCGGCGTAAAGGAGAACAAAATCGATTCGAAGGTGGAAGCTAATTGATGGATGTCCTGAAGGATTCCATAGATCTCAGCTACCTGATCTCGATTTAGGATTGCTCTAATGAGCGTTTGGGAGTCTGATTTGAAGCATAGGTTGTTCAAATCGTGTACTTTGGCGTAAAGAAGGGCTTCTCGGAGCGCTAGAGCTTCCGCCGCGAGTGGTGATCGGACAAAAGGTTCGGCCTTGTGTCCCCTCGAGATCTCCGTCTCGTTGGCGTTTATGATGACCCATCCGAAGCCCGCCGTTTGGTTGTCCTGGCGCCACACCGCATCCACGAAGGCCGTGATTTGATGATTGTGTTGTCGTGGTGGTCCGTGCGTTGCTCTCCGGTTTTGCCGCTCCTTTCCTTGTGGTTGTGCCGCCTGCCATTCCCGGGCATCGGCTAAAGCCTTTGTTGCTGTATCAAGAGGAGAGAACGATCGATTTTCAAAGATCTTATGATTCCGTGCCAGCCAAAGGCCCCAACAAACCCATGCAAAGATGGTTCCCTTTGCTAAGCCTATTGGAGGGAGACAGATCCAGTCTCGAGCCTCTTTTAACGATAAGGCGAAGCTTTGTGTTTCAAGATGGTCCACCGTAGTCGTCACCGGTATCATCTTCCACGTTTGTTTCGCAAAATCACAGTGAAAGAGCAGATGCTCCTTTGTCTCCAGCTCGCCACACCGGATACATGTCACATTTGCTTGGATGCCTCGTCCTAGAAGGTTTACGCCGATAGCTAAGGCCCCATTTGTAAGTTTCCAGAGAAACATTTTCAGTTTTGGCGAAGCCTTGCTGTTCCAAACATCTACATTCCAGTTTATTGATGTATTGACGAGGATGTTTTCCTGTTGGTGTTGCAGGGAGATGGCTTGGTGGTATCCCGATTTTGTTGTATACTCACCAGAGGGGTTCTGAAGCCAGATGAGTTTGTCCTGTGTTCGCATGCAGCTTGGTTTGAGGAGAAGAATCTCAGATTCCCATTGGGGTAAGAGAGCACGAATCCTTTCCTTATTCCAGCTTCTTGATTGCTTGTTCCATAGCTCGGACACTGTGAGATTTTCCGTGTTTTGATGCGCAGGTCCTATAGGAGCCAGGGGTTTCTCGAGGGACATCCATGGTTCTCTCCAGATGTTTATGTCCTCGCCGTTTCCAATAGCTCTTCCCAAGTTTGTCTTTAGCAAGTCTCTGCCTATAAGGATACTTTGCCATCCATGTGATGCCGTTTGTTTGCCCTTCACCTCTAAAAAGGTATTGTGTTTGCAGTATTTCCTCAGCAGGATTCTTGCTAATAAACATTGGGGGTTCATCAGGATTCTCCAGCTGAGCTTTGCCAAGAGAGCGTCATTAAAAGCTTGGATGTCCCTGAATCCCAAGCCTCCATCCCTTTTAGATTTTGTGAGTTTATAAGCAACCCAACAAATCTTTTTATTACCCTTGTTATCATCCCACCAGAACCGTGTCATCGCAGATTGGATTCTTTTGCAGAGACTTTGTGGGAGTTTAAAACATGACATCGTGTACGTAGGCATAGCGGATAGGACTGACTTCAGCATCGTCATTTTTCCGGCTCCGGAGAGAAACTTTGTAGACCAGCTGACGGATTTATTCCTGATTCTATCCACTATAATGGAGAAAAGGTCTTTCTTCCGTCTCCCGAAGTGTTCTGGAAGTCCCAGGTATTTCCCTTGTCCTCCCGTTTTTGAGATTCCCAGGATCTCTGCTGCCATTGCCTTTATTTCTCCATTGGTCTTGTTTGCGAAAGTGATTGAAGATTTCTCCACATTGATCTTTTGTCCTGATGCTATTTCATAGTTTTTCAGAATGCTCACCAGGGTTTTACAATTTTTCTTGCTTGCTTTGCAGAAAAACATCGTATCGTCTGCAAAAAGGAGGTGGTTCACGGGAGGGCTTCTTCTTGCAACCTTGATCCCTGGTAAGCTCCCATTTAACTGAGCTTTTCTGCATAGTCCTGAAAGGACCTCTCCGCATAGGATGAAAAGATATGGTGAGAGGGGGTCTCCCTGTCGGATTCCTCTTCCTGGGCTTATTGCTCCGTGGGCGTTATCATTCACAAGGTAGGAATAGTTCACTGTAGAGACGCATTGGTGAATCCAGTTTATCCATCTCGGGTGGAAACCCATTCTTTGTTGGACTGTGTAGAGGAAATCCCATTCCACCCTATCGTATGCTTTGCTCATGTCGGTTTTTACCGCCATTGAGCAGTGCTTTTTTGCTCCTGAGATCTTTAGGAAGTGTAGGACTTCATGTGTTATCATGACATTATCCGAGATAGCTCGACCTGGAACAAACGCTGACTGGTTCTCTGCTATAATGCCATCCAGTAGTGGTTGGAGTCTCCTAGTAAGTACCTTAGAGATTATCTTGTAATACACATTACACAGGGCTATAGGTTTGTAGTCCGACACTCCTTTGGGGCTCGTTATCTTGGGGATCAGCCTCACATGTGTGTTATTTATTGATGCAGGGAGGATTCCAGAAGAGAAAAAGGATCCCACCTCTTTCACTATTGCCTCTTCTACCACGTCCCAGTGCGTTTGGAAGAAGTAAGCGGAGAAACCATCCGGTCCCGGAGCCTTGTCCGGGTGAATAGAGAAAAGAGCCTCTTTAATTTCAACCGTTGATGGTGAAAGTGTCTGTTCTACTATGCTCCTTCTTCTTGGTTCCTGTACCGCAGTAAAGAGGTCCTCGTAGTAGTCCGCTATAATTGTCGCTTCCGATCTATAAATATATTTAAAACTAATAACTGGAAAAAAAAAATCAAACTGACTTTTGAGTGAACATCTCAATTTTAATCTTATTTTCACATATGTGACTTGTATACATGGAACGAACTAAACACCACGACAAACGCATTTTGTGACGATATCAACCAAAACCATTCCGTAATCGCTTGTATCACAATATAAACCAGTTTATCTATTTGCATGGCGTAAGGTTTGAATGTAAACGCTAGCGAGAATTTCAATTTTATAAACGAGTTTCTCCTTTTCTTTTAATCTCATTCCAAAAAGAAAAGACAAGTTTGAATGCTTCTTATTAGTCATAAGATTTGTTGTTAGGTGCACCTATTCTTGTTAATAAATCATAGTCTTCATTATAGCCATTGTTCAAAAAATAAATCATAATCTTCACTGATTAGTTCCTATCCAGATTTACAGCTTCCGACTATGTGACTGATCAACTTGGATTACTACTCTAGTTATCAACCAACATTCATAACTTTGACCTTGTAAGTCCGTTAAAAACTTAACAAAAGACCACAATTACATGCCAAGAAATGTTTACTTTGGGGGAAACAATAATTCCGCTGATAACTTTGACCAAAGTTATATTAAGAGACAGAATGCGAGGAGACACGTACGATCGAATTCATACACGAGAAGCGTTGACCAAAGTCAACAAGAACCGTCCACTCGCGGTCTACTATTTACGACTAACTAAGATTTCATGTGGACTCCACCTGTTGTACTTACATGACAAGTGGCAAAATCGCAACGGCCTTAATCTGATGCCCTCTCTCATCTCTCTGAGTCTCTCAGTCATGTCCTTTTCTCACTTGCATGAGACATACCGAAGATTCCAGTGGATTAATTGTCGGTCCATTTTCTTTTTCCCTTTTACGACTACGAGTTAGATTCTCTAAAGTAGTACACGTGAACCAATGGATTCATTACGATTACTTTTGACGTATCTTTCTTAACAGCGTTTGTTCATTTTCTTAACTATGGTTAAGTTCGTAACTAAGTTCATTCTGGTTAATTAGCTTGTATTTTTAGTCCGACTGTCACGAAATTTCTTCTTTAAAATGGATGTAAATTTATGTCACAACCTTATAGTATACAATAACTAGTAGTTTATGTCACAACCTTTGTAGTAAACTTTGCAATATAATGATTTCTCTTCGTAGATGTTTCTACTATTTCACTAATGTTTGGTTGAAGTGGAAAAAGATCATGGTGGATTGGATTTTAATTAGAGAACTACGTATCTTTCAGTCGCACCTCTTTTAACGTAGAAAACAAACCAGTCACAAAACAAGATATTTGTTACAATATTCGCTATATACAGTCCGAAAATCTAACCTCCATATAAGTCCAAAGCCAAACCTTTTAAATGCTCAAAAGACAGAGAAGGAAGAAAACATAAAGAATTGAAATCGGACTTGGATTGCCATATAGCAAAACGACGGTGCAGCGGACGGCGCGATCCCGTTAGGAGACGAAAAACGGAGTAGGGACCACAAAAACGTGATGACTGACGGGAAAAAAACGATTATATTAACAGCCATTGGATTACGGCCAGAGGCCCCACATAAAATATGACGTCATCCGTTATGGAGTCGTAGCGTGGTCCATATCTGAAAAAAGCATTGACGCTTTTTGTCATCTCTCTGTTCTTCGTAGTCATCATATTATTTCCCAGATTCACATGAGAAAATTCAATTTAACAATTATAGATTTGGTTACAGAATACAGATTATAGAGGTTTTGGATTAGATTTTGGTCATAATGGCCGTGACTGATTTTAAAGAGAGAGAGAGTAGTAACAACAAGGAGAAAATAAACAAATCAATAAATACGGAGACTAACGAAATTTCCCGGGAAGAGAGAGAATGAGGTACACGCGCGAGTGAGGAGCGTGGTGCTAACACAAACACTGTTTTTCGACTTCTGCTGCTACATAACTACAAGCTCTCACTTTCTTCTCTCTTTCTCTCTTGTGCTCGCTCTCTCTCTTTCTGTCTCTCACTCTCTCCAAATGAGCAACACGGTGGAAACCAGAAGAAACGCCGTCGTTTAACTCCTCAAGTAAAGTTCTACGATGGGCAAAGCTTCACGGTGGTTTAGGAATCTATTCGGACTTACAAAACCCGACCCGGGTTGTCTGGATCCATCCTTCGAGACGCCTTCTCGCTCTCATAAACGCCGATGGAGCTTCGTCAAATCCAAACGCGAAAAAGAATTCGCACCGCAAAACCTCCAGGCTCCTCCGTATTCGACTCCTCCGCCGCCGTCTCACCACCAATCGTCTCCGTCGTCTCACGGTCGCCGCCGGAAACAGAAGCCGACGTGGGAGGACGAAGGAGGGGAAGAGTCGGACAAGCACGCGATTGCGGTGGCCGCCGCAACTGCGGTTGCAGCTGAGGCCGCCGTCGCCGCCGCTCAAGCAGCCGCTGCGGTCGTCAGACTCACGAGCACTAGCGGAAGGTCGACGCGTAGTCCCGTCACGGCGCATTTTAGCAAAGGGTTCGACGACGTGGTGGCGCATGTTAGCAGGTTCGACGGACGTGGACACGGCCGCGACAGTCGTGAAGATCTTGCGGCGATTAAGATTCAGTCCATGTTTCGCGGTTATTTGGTAATTTTCTTTCTCTTTTATTAATTGTTTTGCTAATAGTACTAATTTAATTCTATCAACCTGAACATATAAAATACATAATTCATTTTCGAGAGAATGTAACTTATTTCTTCTTTTGCCGCCGGCCAACGATATTGTTTTTTGTGTGCATCAAAGATGAATTTATTATTTTTACACATTTTTGAATAATTATATTTTTACTTAACATAGAAAAATAAATAAAGTGGTTTAGATTTCTTAAAAAAAGTCACGGGGATTATCGTCGAGATAACATTTTTCGATGTCGTAAACCTTCTGCTGTTTCCTCTTCCCTAGACGAGTTATAAGACGTAAACCTTCTATATTCTCATTTATTTTTATATTACAGATAGAGCACTTGAATATTCTTTGTGTAGAGTAGTTTGCTATGCGAATACCCAAAAATATTTTACCTTTTTTCCTCATACTATTATATTCACCGGTTAGTGACTGTTATCAGTTTTATAAATACTTAAGATTGGTTCTAGTTCGAACTATGTAGAGGTCATTAGTTTTTATTTGTCAGAAACTTATCCGGTTTTCCACCCTCAACAATGTTAATGCTTCCATTTTAATTTGAGTAAAGAAAAGATTTGATTTAAACTACATAGTCGAGATCGAGAATCATTACTGATCTATCAGATTTGAAATAAATGTAATCTACTTATAGAAATAAGCCAATCGAAGATAGGTTAACATCAACCAATACGAAGTAGTTGTTGTGTTGTTCTATTGGTGTTAGTGAATTGTTTTTACTGGACCACTAATAATTACATGGTGATGGTGGCGCTATAGTTAGTCTATATTTCAGTTCATTCTAGCCTAGACCGTAGTAGTTAATGACTTTATACTTTTATAGGTTACGACGAATCTTTTTATTGGAGGGTTTTAGATTACATTGTATAGTGTGTAAGACAAATTCACACCCAAAATGTGTACGCATTGACAGAAAAGTCGCATTGTTCATTAATAGTCGATTCATCTTTCCTCTTGTAGAGAAGGTGACTTTACATATAAATGTCTTCATCATATTTATTTATATCCCTGTATTTAATTCTGTTTGAATATTTCAAAAGTTCAATTTCTTTAGACGTCATTTTTCTCCACCTCCTTTTGGCGCCAACTTCTATCAAAAGTTATGCTTATTTAAATTTCAATATGCTTTTGTGGTCCTATCCATAATGAGAGCTTGTGCTCAAGATTCGTATCTTTTGTTCAAGAATTAATATTTTTAGATTCTGCTTTTGGTGATGTTGGTTGTTTATCTTCAATTTTAAATTGTTTGATTAAATATTCTCATTGTAGGCAAGGAGAGCGTTAAGGGCACTTAAGGGATTGGTCAAGCTTCAAGCGATAGTGAGAGGTCATATTGAAAGAAAGAGAATGACGGTCCATCTACGCAGGATGCACGCTTTGGTTCGAGCTCAGGCTCGTGTCCGTGCCACTCGGGTCATTGTGTCCACGCCTGAGTCCTCTTCTTCTCAATCCAACAACACCAAATCTTCTCACTTCCAAAACCCCGTAAGCCTCAGTTTTTAACCTAAAACATGCCTTTTTGTTCAAGATTCCTTTTTAACAACTCTATTTATCCTCAAGGGTCCACCAACGCCGGAAAAACTCGAGCATTCGATCTCTTCTCGCAGCTCTAAGCTCAGCCATTCTCATCTCTTCAAGGTTATTACATTTTCAGTTTCTTTTTTGCTTTCGGTTCCATTTTATAAATGTCGGATTATTGGACTAAGAGATTGTGGATTGAATTTTTCAGAGGAACGGTTCTAAGGCAAGCGACAACAACAGACCCTACACTGCTCATAGAGACACATTCTCAGCCATGGACGAAGAAGAGAAAATCCTTCAAATCGACAGGAAACACAACAACTCTTACGCAAGGCGCAGCAGACCGGACATGTTCTACTCATCCCACCTCGTCCTTGACAACAGAGTCCGGTCTGAACCAGTTTACGCCATGCCTTATAGCCCGTCTTCGTCGCATGAAGAGACCGTGAGCCAGTTTTGCACTGCAGAGAACAGTCCTCAGTTATACTCAGCTACTTCTAGAAGCAAACGAAGTGCTTTCACGGCTAGTTCTATTGCACCGAGTGACTGCACCAAAAGCTGCTGCTACGCTGACCACCCAAGCTACATGGCTTGTACACAGTCCTCTAGAGCTAAGTCCCGGTCCGCTAGTGCCCCGAAGTGCCGTCCACAGTTATACATAGAGCGGTCTGCGTCCAAACGGTTTGGTTTTGTCGATGTGCCTGCGCCGTACTGTGGTGATACCAAGTCCGGTCCTCAGAATGGTTCTGCTCTGCACTCTAGTTTTATGAACAAGGCTTATCCCGGTTCAGGTCGATTGGACCGGCTTGGGATGCCAATTGGGTATGGGTACTGAGAAAGGCTGTTAGACCGGTTTGTTCTATTTCGTTCGGGTTGTCAGAGTAATCAAATGTAGAAGCGGAGAGCCGGTTAAACCCGGTTTTGTTGTAGATCAGTGGATTGAACTTTGCAGTTAATTTTCCTAGTTTGTAGTTCGGAGTAAGTGGATTAAATCTAAAATGCAAATAGTTCTTGCTTAATAATTTGATGCTTTCTATCAAAAATTTCATAAATTTTGAAGTGAAAACCACATCTACAATAGATAGAATTGGTGTAATTACACAAAAGAAACAAAAACCTAACACTAAAGACAAACCGAAAATGTCATGTCCATTGGGATTTAACAGAGTAGCTAAGTTTATGGCACCACTTACAATATCTGTTCAAGTTATCTCCTCTGAATAGTAACACCAACCCAGTAACAAACCTGCACATTGGTACAAAACACCCATCCAAACCAGAATCCGGTTTAGTAACTCAATCAAACACCAAATCCTGTTAGACAGAAAACAAACGTGTCATACTAGTGATCACAAATATGATTGACTTACCCGGCGACATAGACGATGGCTGCAGCAAAGCAAAGCACAAGCTGACAAGTGTTGTACTTCGGTTTAACAACGGAACCGGGCGTGAGTGAAACTCGGTTTGCCTCCCACTCGAACTGCGGATGAATCAGAAGAACAAAACCGAGAAGGAAACCTCCCAAGAAACCACCAATGTGAGCAAAATTATCAACAGGAGGAAGTGTCCCTAACGCCAAGTTAACACCAACAATCACCAACAGCATTATCAAAGCCACACCCTACAAATGATCATACAAGAGTAATAAAAAAAAACAGAGTCAGAATCTTCAAAGCTAAAATATTCTAAAAAGATATGGTTTCTGCGTATACCTTATTGTCGTAAGTAGTCCAATTGATCAACAATTCAGATAACATTGCTCCTAAGAGGCCAAACAAAGCGCTTGAGGCACCAACTGATATAGCATTCTGAACAAACAGACAAGACAGTATGCTCCCACAGAAGCCAGACACAAGATAGATTGTTCCCACTCGAACAAAACCAAACTGCTGTTCGAGACGAACTCCAATGACGGCGACACAAATTACATTTGCAAGCAGATGGAGAACACCGGCGTGTAACCACATACATGTCAAGAGTCTCCAACCTTGACCCTTGTGAACTATTTTTCCCCATGCCAAAGCTCCCATTTTCTCCAATCTGCAATTTTGTAGATAATAATGGATTCAAAATTTGTATCATAATTGACATCAAAGAGCTCAATTGCAGATTAGAACCATCAGCTCAAAAATCTGGTCAACGAAATGATTAGAATCGAAAGAGAGGGTTTTTTCCAGCAATCTGAAATTATTAGTAAAAACCCAGATCGTATAATTAAACCCTAAAGCGGAATCAAAATGCTGCGATGATGGAATCACACTCACGTGGAGGAAGATGGACCGAGAAGAGGATTGGACTTGAAAGACTCAAAGGAGAAACGTCCGAGGAACTTCGCGAGGCATCGATTGCTCTTGTGAGGACAATCGTTGACGTACATGACGGCAACGAAAACGACGACGTTCGCGATCACCACCATCGGAATCGCCCAGGAAGTCCATCGTACCTCGGGGGTTGTCGTATCATCGCCACCATTGCCGGCTCTTTGCTCTCTCTGTCTTCTCCCTACTTGAGGATCGTCCTCCGCCGCGGAAACCATCTCTTTCACAGTCTCTAGCTGATAGCTTAACTCGATAAAAAAAATGTCTTGCGAAATTCAAGACTTTTTGAGTTTTTGGAAATTTGATTGAGAAGGAAAAATTCAAAGTTGGCCCAAACCGCTCGAGACATGTTAACTGTGAACAGAGAAAATTTGCTGTCAAGAGTTAAATTGAAACGAGTCAAAAGTAGATTCGATACACTTGAGATTAAGACATGGTATATGATAATTTTTTAATCTTTATTGTATCCGCCCGTCTTAGGTTAATCAAAAAGTTCATACAAAATAATTAAAAGAAATGAAAAAACTAAAATGAATTTGCTGAAAGAGAAAAACTAACAACTTCAAGAGGTAAACTGATTTCTCTTTACTTATTTGTTACTTATTCGTCTTACTGACATTTTGGAATTCTCAAACCTCATTGGTTTAGTACAAGGGAAAATATGTAAAAACGACATACCTTCTCAAACTTTGTTCTTCATTCTGCGTCATCCTTCTGTATTTTTTTTTCTTGTAACTTTTTGTAGATAGTTTAAGCTTTCTCTACTATAAGTTATTGGTTCTCGATCTCATTTGTATTCATTCACAAAAGAATAACTGTTTCATCATTGTAGAAAGATCTCTCTCTTGTTGTGTTATGCTATCTCTAAAATATTGTTAGTTGTCTTAAGTTTAAACTCTGTTTTTAACAGATATTTTATTTTTAAAATGCATACAGATAATTATTACTTGATGTTCTATCTTCATGATTTACTCTCTCCTTTTTTTCAGAATCCATATCCACCTCTAAAGTTGCCTCTAACAAATAGCAAGGTAAAACTTGATTTGAAGAAGGAATCTCTAGAATCAGTGGCGGAGGCAGAAACTTTTCTTATAGGAGGTATTGATGAAATGTTTCAGATTTAAGAGTAGAATCACACTAAATAATGGGGCATAATGAAAGATTAGCTATAATTATATGGGGATTTGTAGAAAGCATTGGGGGCATATGCCCCCCTCTTGTACTATGTGGCTCCGCCACTGTCTAGAATCTAGAGAGGAAGCAGCAAAAGCAGCGCTTGAGTCTATCAAAAGGAAGCATGAGAAGCACAGAGTTGAATTGTCTTTCACTGATCATGCCACATTTAAATCTCCTAAGGTTTCCTTTTCTCTTAGTTGTTGATTCTTTTCCCCCTGATATTGAGTGGATGCTTTTAAGGTGTTGCTTACTGATACTTCAACAATCCTTCAAATGCAAAAGATAGAGAGTGAGAGAGAAGGTGCTGTGTTTCCTCAAGTGAAGGATCAGTTGCAATTATGTGTTTCTTATATCACTGTCCCTCACGTTTACTCTCCATATTTGCCTTATGCATTCTTTTTTTTGCATCACTACTATATAAGAAAAGAAAAGCAAAACGAAAATGAAAGAGAAAGATTGAAGCTTTTGGGATTATCACTGAGGCCCGGTTCAATCGTAAAATAGGCCTTGTTATAGCTTAATTTGTTTTGCAAAATTTACTCTATTTATACAAATTTTTAAACATTTAACGCCTATTTTGCAAATTGTTCAAAAATATTAGGCCATATTTGGAAATATTTCTAATTATTAGGCTCTTAAATATATAACAAAATTGATGAAAATCAAATGATCTGCTATCACTATATAGTATATACTGTTAATACAACTTATAAGTTATGGTTGATGATTATTTGAAATTCTGATTTTCTTTTGCATGAGTTAATGGTTGACCAACAAAGACGAATGAAGACGAATGAAGTAATAATCAGGGATGAATATGAAAGCAAAATTAGAAAGTAAGTAAGCTAAATTTTCGTACTTATCTATGTCTTTTCATTTGTTGAAAGAGATCTGAAATGACAATCTAAATAACACAGGGAGATGGAGAAAGCTGCAACAAGAGCACACTTGTCAGACCAGAAATATAGGAACATGAGACAACTATTAAGAACCTAATGAAGCAGCATGAAGGAGCATGAGACAACTATTAAGCATTTGGAGTACCATAAGCAAGAGAATGAATGAATAATCAGGGATGAATATGAAAGCAAAATTACTCACATCTGAATTAGTTGAGTTTCTTAACATTTTATTAGGTTATGTTTGTTAACTCGGTGTAATGCGAAGATAAATATAAACAACAACAAATGAATGATACATATGAGAAGATGAAATTGGTGAAATAGAAAAATTAACAACTTCAATAGGTAAACCGATTTATCTTTACTTATTTGCTTTGTTTTTATCCATAAAATATTTCAACAACTCTAAATAATTGTGATTATCTCTTGCATGATTGATGGTTTGCCATAAAAAAGATTTCATCTTGTCACATCTAAATTAGTTGTGTTTCTTAAGCATTTCAAGATGCATTTTGTTATGTATATATATATATAGACATGACTAAAAATAGTTGATTTCAACAATCTTCATTTAAAGGTAAATCAATTTCGATGAGTTTTATATTTTTGATTACAATGATAATACAAAAATTGTTATTACAATGTTTTGCATTAGATTGAACTAAATGAGATACCAGTATGCACAAAAATAGCACTACTAAAGCATTTGAGTTCAAAGGAGCTAGTTGTCCATGTGACATTATCGTCTATCCCAATCCAAATGACCACATAAGGCTAAGAAACTTAACTGATTTGATTGGAGTCTTACGTAAAGCATTTGAGTTCAATATGGGTTTAATTATTCAATTCATTATTGTTAAAATATATGTACTTACGTAATGTAACTGAACAGGAATTAATTGGTTTTGTTATTTGAAGCTGTTAAACCACCAATGTCAGTTTGACCAAGTTTCTTTTGTTAAAAATTTGTGTATGAAATAACACATTTTACTGATGTATGAATTAATACATATTTCTCAAATAATTTTATTAAATTCAATTTATACATGAACTCAAAAATTGGTATAACTCATACATCAATTAGTAAAATGTGTTATTTCATACATAATTTTATAAGAAATAGCCAATTCATAAATGGTATGAGTCACCTGTCGTCACATGCCAAGTCATTTTTATCAAAATAATCACGTATATACATGAACTCAAAATTTGGTATAATTCATACATCAATTCGTAAAATTTGTGTATGAAATAACAAATTTTTAAAAATAACCAATTTATACACTAATGGTTGATGAATGATGAATGATGAATAATGAATGAGTTCATGTATAAACTAACTATCCAGAATCAATACATGAAAATGTGAAAAATGTGAAAACAGTAAAAAGAAGCAATGAAAAAGCGGACTATCCGGAATCATCAATACATGAAAATGTGAATCTCCAAAACAATTAAAAGAAGCAACTTTATGAGCGAAAGTCAACAAGAGATATTTTCTTTAGGATCACAAGCATAATCCAAATGAAACTAAAGTTCCGTGTTATAATCTAGAAATTTACACCAATACAACTGTTTCAAAATATCCAGGTTTATGCGAATTGATATAACTTTGCTCAAAAGATCATTTGGTAAGGAATACAAACATGTGGATATTCCCAAGGATTGCAGTTTAAGCTCCAATTATACCACGGAACAAAATTAAACAACAATAAATTTTCAATCAAAAAGGAAAGGTGAAAAAAAAACCGCAATGGAAACAGAAGATAACAAAGAATTCATCGAACCCAAAGGTCTCAAACTCGGACGATTTGATATTGTGTCGAGAATACTAGTTTCCACGTGGCAGGAGAGAGTGCTTACTATTGTTTTTTATCCACCACGTATGCGATACATGTGGAAGATAAAAGAGACTTGATCGAACGGACGATGATGGTGGTTCAATTATCATTCTTGTTCAGTTGCATTACGTTAGTACATATATTGTAATATGATGGGCTAACTAAAGAGTAAATACTTGTGGGCTTTCTATAAACAAAGTGTATATTATTGCATACTGTAAAAATTATAGCGACAAAGCCAAACTGCTGTTCAAGACGAACTCCAATGACGGCGACACAAATTACGTTTGCAAACAAATGGAGAACACCGGCGTGTAACCACATACTATGTTTAGAATGTGCCCAAGGTGGAAAGACATGCTAGACTTTTTTTTTCTTTCTATTTCACAAGGCATGAGTTTTGAGGAATTAATGTAAAGGAATTGAGGAATTCTATTGGCTGAAAACCTTAAAATCACCGTTTGGAATGGAATGGAATTGGTAGATTGTTACTATTCAATAAAGTAAATGTGTTACCTTTTCAATACTTTATGTTTTCAGTCTGTAAATCGTTAATACAATATAACATGATAGATAAAATTATCTTTAGATATTATTTTTAAAATCATATTTCCCAAATTTTCTTAATTACTTCACTAATTAATCAGATTTTCATACTATTATTTATTAAATATTCACTAAAAAGGATGAATATTCATAAAAGGAAAAATAATCAAACTTAAAAGAGGGTATAGTTGGATTTTAGTAAATAAATTTCATGGCAATAAATGGTAAACCTGTTGGAGTAAAATAAAGTTAAAATTTTTACTCTTGCTCCACCATAATCAGAGTAAGTTTTTTGTGTTATCTAAGCGTATTTCTTTTTTACCTGCTGAAAACTTCCCTCCACATAGAAGAAGTGGAAACCTTTTACTCTGATTATAGTGAGCCCATATCAATTTTCTTATATTTTTATTCCACCATTTTACTCCTAATTGTTTACCATTCAAAGTCCTTATGTTGTTATCAAGGTGTGGTAAAACAAGTTTAGATGTCCATAATAGTAGATTAGTAGTCAAAGTTATCTTTTTCTAATATTCTTTAAATGAATAGGTTGGAAAAACGTTAATATTCTTTTTCTACAATTCTTTAAATTAAAAAAAACTCTGGAAAAAGGTAACTTTGAAGGAGATGTCTCACACGTGACGTAAAGGCATTTACGTGATTTGCTTAGAAATAGTTAGTTACAGTTTTTTACACTAGAACATGACCCAAAATAGTATGAGCCGCGTCGGAAACAAATCACGACAGTATATGCATGGCCTACTAGAGAATTGTTGTTTTATTAACGTCCCCGCCCCTAACTTTAAGAATTTATGCTTTGTCACTTTCGTATGGTTATGGTAAAAAACGACAGTACAATGTCTTGTTCAGAGTTTTTTTTTAAAATTTTTTCTCTGACTAAAGTTTAATGACCTACTTAGGGTTATAGGGACCTGGGGTAATTTTAAGAAAATGAACCATATGAAAGAAGAAAAGATATTCAAACACTTATATTACAATGCAAAGATTCGAACCCATAACATGCTGCTAAAAAATGTTCTTTTGGCCATTGCACTACGTTGAAATTGTCTTTGGTTGTGGAGCATTCAATTTTTATATCAAATTTGCAATGAGGCAAATGCCCTTTTCCCTAACAAGCGCTCATATGACCATGCTAAAAGAGGTATCGACTATCGTGCATGATATATTTTGCGTTTGCAACTATTTAAGAGATTTAGATATTTAACCTCAAAATCTCAATTAGTATGGAATACATGCGTACAAAGAAGATACGTCGATACATACTTATTTTTAATACATATTTCTTTACATAAGCTTTTACAGTAAATAACAAACCAATACTAAACTTACATGTATTTCATGAATTGGAATCTTACCATTTTATAAACTATACTAATATATTGAGTAAGACAGATTAAACTCTACTAATTTTTTCTTTCAAGTATATGGGTGAAAGATTAAAATGGGTTGAGGCACCAACGGATAAATTCCAAGTACACTTTAATTTTTATTGAGGTACAATTTTGAATAGTTAATATTAATGTTGTTCTTTTTCAGAATAAAAATAAAATATTAACGTTGTTTTCTGTTTTAAAAACTGCATGCGACAAAACAAGTCAGTAAGTAGTAACTGTGAGGAGAGAGGTTTTTTGTTTTTCAAAAGAGAGAGATATATATTAGCTGTCCCGAGTTTTTGTTTTATTAAATTGAAATCCTTAAGCATTTAAACCTTTAAAAAGTTTTTATTCCAGAGAGATATTAGCTGTCCAGAGTGTCTGTTAAAGCTTTAACCACAGAAAAAAACCTTTAAGAAACTTTTTTTCTTTGAAAAAAATTAGTTACTTTTTGTGTGTGCTTGATATGTATCATGTATGCAAGTTTTGTTTCTTACGATTGTACGTAATCCAAACATTAAGATGTAATATTTTTAAAATTCTTAGTAGAAAATTTTAAGAAAAAAAAATTCGGTAAAAATGTGGTATCAACTCATTCAAAAGGTTCATAACAAGGACAATTAGCTAAATTAGAGAATTGCATAAACTATTATCTTATCTTTATATATGCGACGCATATAGCATGTATGCGTACAGTTTAGGATATGATCCGTTATGGTTTGACCTTTTTCTAATTCTTTTAATAAATTACTAATCTGTGTTTCTTCCTTCATCTTGGCTCTTGCCGTGTATATCCATATATACAACCTCAGCTGATCATCTTTATATTAATTGGGTTATACATGTAGCGATGCACTTATGTGTTATGCGAGTCAGCAGAACATAGCCATATTTCCATATATTAATCATATATTCATATCATACCGAAGTGGGACCCAAGTGGAAGCTAGTGATTTGATCCAAGCGTGTATTGTTTGTTTGTTGAGGCCAGTGAAGGTTTTTTTAGTGACTACCAAAAATGCTACTACTATACTATTACTAGCTAAACGGTTTTGAATTTTTTTTTTTTTTTTTTTTTTTTTGATAACTCAATTTTAATTAATTATTGTGAACCTCGTTTCACCCATTAGATAAAATGTCTCTAAGAAGTATCATTAACCTAAACACGTTTTAAGCATGTTTTATCACTAAATCAAAAATTATTATACCTAGCCCTGGCGTTCGGTTTTTCGGTTCGGTTCAATTTTTTTGATTTTTGGTTTATTCGGTTTTAGAGATAAAGAAACTGTTCGATTTTTTTTTTCATTATATGTTCATGTTCGGTTCGGTTTCATTCGGGTTCAGATCGGTTTCGGGTGCCGGAACATGGGATAAAATAAAATAATAGTTTAAATAAAATTAAATTAATTTTTTCAAATAAAAATGAATTTAAATAAATATTATTACAAGATTTAGGATATTTCAAATATTTTGGTTATTTTATTCTAACTATAATTAATATATTCATTATAGAATTATAATTTTAGATAGTTTAGTTATTATAAAAAATATAGCTAATTATTTATATATATAATTATATATTGGGTATTCATTCAGTTTTTGGTTCGGTTCTGGTTCAGTTCGGTTTCGGTTCCGTTATTTTGGGTTTAGAAATTTAAAAATCATTCGGGTTTTGTGCCATTTTCGGTTCGATTCGGTTTCATCAAAATCGGTTCGGTTCGGTTCGGTTTTTGGGTTCCGGTTTTTGTGCCCATGCCTAGTTACACCAATAAAAAACAATGAAAACACAATTTCTTCGAATTGATTTGTGAGAACCTTGCTTATAACAAAAATAAAATAAAACATCATTTATTGAAAAATGGAAGTGTTTTGTCATCTTGCAGACTTGTACAACGTTGTGTTTTGTCATCTTACATGTAAAAGTTCATATAGCCCTTCCTCTACACATTGCTTTGATACTGAAGAACCCAAAGCTTTTTCTACAATGGGGATCATCAGAAGACAATATTATCAAACAGCAAAAGAGGTAGTTGTTGTTTTCTACGCTAAGGGAAAGAGTGGTGTTCATGTTGACTTCTCCGAAGAGAGTGTGAGTAACCCACTTAGAGGATTTCCTTATTTCATTTAATGTTCATGTGGATTCGTTCATGTGTTAATTTGTTTTTTGTTTTTTTAGGTCGATGTTTTTATTCAATTATCTGGAGGAGAAGAAACATATGTTCGCAAGACCAAATTGTCTGGAAAGGTACAAGCTTTTTTCTTTTGAATCTATTGTGGATTTTCTTTGGGATTTGAACATAATATTTGACTTCTCTTTGTAATCAGATAATCAAGGAGAAATCCAGATTTGAAGTATTCCCAACCAAAATTGAGATACATCTAGCAAAAGAAGATGAACTCAACTGGTCCTCTCTTGAACATGATAAGAAGCCATCGATTCTGTCAATGGGAGTAGTGAAGATCATGAGTAATTATTGGTCAATTCAAGGTATAATTTGAATTCTTGTTTTTCTGTCAAAGTTTATTCAAAAAGTCGAGATTTTCTGTCGATTTGTTGGCTATATGTCTTTTGTTTGCTGCTTGTTGAGAAAACAATGTATCATATCAGCAGTTATTGCTCTTAAAAGGTTTGCGTTTTAAATAGCAAATTTCTACGGATTTGGTTGATTGAGTTGGGTCATTGTTTACCACATTCTGGTTTCACTGTTCTTGTCTTCTGATCCTTCGTTAAGAATCTGAACAATCTTTCAATGCTTGTTTCTTTTTGTTGACTTTGGTTTCTTGTTTCGCTTTGCTCTATGTATATTTGAAAGAAGCTTGTTTTGTCCTGTATATTTGCGTTTTAGAAGAGTAATTTTCTACTGTTTATTTGATTGAGTTGGAGGGTTGTACACATTCTGGTTTAAGTGTCTAGTCTTTGGATCCTTCGTTAAGAATCTGAACTATCTAGTTTATCAATTATTAGTATCAGTTTTCAAAGTTTCAATTTTTGCTCGAGTGATTAGTATTCCCTTGCACTGTGTGGTCGGCATATGTTTTGAAAAAGTCTATTGGTCCTATCACATTCTTGGATCCGACTCTGACATGTTTCTCAACGAGCAGAAGCTAGGAAAAAGCATGGGGAACAACTGAAGCATACCAAAGATCAGATGGGGAAACGTGATATTCTCAGTTTTGATGTGGAGAAGAGAAAACGTGAGCCAGAAGCTAAGGATGAGACCATTAAGACTCTTAACGAGGTTCGTAATATTGATAATTTGCATCGGAGAACATTTAAATGATTTTGTTTTTCAATTTGAAGATGTTTTATACAGGACATTCAAATGCTTAGGGAAGAGCTGAAGAAACATGAGCTCAACTTAAAACGTGAGCAAGAAGCCAATGTTGAGACCAACAAGAAACTTCAGGAGGTTCGTAATTTTCAGAATATGCACTTTTCTTTTCCTTTCTAATTTGAATAGGTCTTAAATTAAACACCTCTGGTTGTACTATGTTTTAACAGGAGATTGAAAATCTTGGAGAAGAAATGGAGAAACGTGAAGGTGAATTGGAAAAGATAAAAGGTGAGCAAGTCCTCAAGGATGAGACCAACAAGAAACTTCAGGAGGTTCGTAATTTTCAGAATATGCACTTTTCTTTTCCTTTCTAATTTGAATAGGTATCTAACATTAAACACCTCTGGTTGTATGTTTTAACAGGAGATTCAAAATCTTGGGGAAGAAATGGAGAAACGTGAAGGTGAATTGGAAAAGATAAAAGGTGAGCAAGTCCTCAAGGATGAGACCATCACGAAACTTAACGAGGTTCGTAATATTTAGAATCTGCAAAACATTTAAAGTTCTGTTCTTTTCTTAATTTGAGGAACTCAATTATAAACATCTCTCGTTGGTTGGTATTATGTCTAAAACAGGAGATTAAAAAGCTTGGGGAAGAACTGCAGATGGAGAAACATGGACTACCAGAAATCATGTCTAATTCAACACTTCAGAAAGCAGTAGATAGACTACCAGAATGGTTGAAGAGCATTATGGCGCCTAAAGGAGCTGTCACTGGAGCTGAGCTGGGAGTTTAGTGGCCACCACTGCCTACACGGTTACTAAAGCCAACAGAAACGTAGAGAACATAGCTCTCAGCGGATTTGTGACTCTGCTTGGCATCATTGTTGGAACAATCTTCAACAACGTTGTCACCCATGTATCCACGGTAAATACATCTTCTAACAATCATTCTTTGAAATTCAGTCTCTTGTAACATTCATTCTTTGAAGTCCAGTCTCTTGTAACTGATTTCATATCACATCTTCTTTGACTATGCAGGCCCAACATGCAACTTTTCCGTCCATTGTAGGTAAAGCAGCCACGTCTCTGCCTTGGGTCATTCTTGGAGGGTTAGTCCCTATTGTTCTTGGCGCCTTCATTCCCAAATGGAGCACAAGGGCGATTGTCACAGGAGTTGTGACTTGTGTGTTGAAGATGTTGTTTGGCATCCTTTGGACGCTCAACTACAAGATCCCGAAGTGGCATGGATTTGCTATAGTATGCATGGGCATTGTAGGTATTGCCCTAGCAGCAGGTGCTCCGGATCTCCTCGGCTTGATAGCAAAAACAGAGAAGAAGGGAGATCTCGGCACTTGTTCCTAAGTTCAACAGACTTTTCACTTTTCAAACATCGTCCAAGTTCCAGACTTTTGACGTGTTAATGCCTTTATCCAATATGGCCGAATAATGCAATGGTTTCATATACTGTTTTGTTTTGGAAAAATTGGTCTTTTTTTTTTGTTGAACATCGGAAAATTTGGTTAATGAATTGATTTCAGCGACTTTATTGAACGGTGGTTCCCTATAAGAATAGTTGAGTACCTGTGTCACACAAATTGTTTGTTTCGATCTTTCTTGGAAACCTATACGATGGCTCATTTCACAGTCGGTGTTATTATGAATCGTCGTCTTTATCCAGCTTCCATTATTTAACACCTAGACTCATTAAACATACATACAAAAGTATAATCAATCATACATACTCATATTTTAATGAACAGAAAGCTTCACTAAAATGTATATGGAGCCAATTGATGCTATATATAAGTAACTACAAAAAACCAAAGATACAATAGGAGTTGAGAAGACCAAAAGTAGAGGAAGACAGAAGCATAATATCTGCTGCTCCACTTTGAGAAAGTGACTCCATTCCTTCTCGACATATGTTAGTCCGTGTAACAACCATCACCTATTGTTAAAATAATTTTAACAGTTGGTTACATAATCGATTCTTTATTGTACCTAAAACAAAGGCCAAGAGAAGGCAAAGTATGTTACCTCAGGAATATCAAATGCTGACATAAGATACTTGATGCAAGAGGGATAAAATCCGAATGTCCATTGTTCGCTCCAAGGCCAGTGGGGTCCGGAAAGTGTTCATTTGTTTCTGATATTTACCATTGATACAATGTATGATAACCTGTGTATAACCAAGAGTACCAAAATCTCAGTTTGACATTATTATAGAGAAAGCTAAATAGCACTATATGGAAAGGAAACTAACCAGAGGTGGCAAGGAATTAAAGCCGCCGACATGTGTAGAATTTTCATTACCAATAGTGTGTCTTTGGAGATATTTTGAGAGAATAAACATCATTGCAGTTATTAGCAACATAAAACACCAATGAAACACATATTTTGGAATGAATGACTGCTCTGTTTCGTATGCAAAGGTGCTCTAAACCGTACCAACCGGTAGCCAGGAATGAATCATTTCGTAAGAAGTGACCTAGTCTACACAGAGACCAACAAGGAATGAATTTGAAGACCTTCTAGTGATCGCAAAAGACGGTCTGCACGGGAGAAACACTACTACATTCTACATGTATATGCAAGACCTCTTTCGGTTGTACCATTTACTAGTGGATGCTGAGAAAGTCACATTCTGAATGTGTATCATTCTAATAGACAAATCATGATGGGCAGTTCAAGTTTAACCATGGCAGTCAGAAGATAGTTTTGAACCCAAAAAAGGTGTCAAACTCGGACGATTTGATATTGTAATTGTTTCCACGTGGCAGGAGAGAGTGCTTACCACTACTGTTTAGTAACCTCCACGTATGGGATACATGTGGAAGATAAAAGAGACTTGATCGAACCGACGATGATGGTGGTTTAACAGCTTCAGTTAACCATTCATTCCTGCTCAGTTATATACTTATATTACATTAGTAATTATTGTAATATATATGATTTTTTGTTAAACATTGTAATATATATGATGGGCTAACTAAATAGTAAATACTTAAGGGCTTTCCAAAAACAAACTGTATAGTTTTGCATACTGTACAAATATAGCGACAAAGACATAAGAAGTTTAAACTTCTACCACATCTTCTCTTTTATTGTATTAAAACAAGGTTATTGGATTAGTTATAAAAATCTCCTCTTATTGACAAATTGATATCTTTAAAAATTATTAAATCAACTTTAATTTTTTAAATCTTCATAAGATTTGAATGTATCCAAATCTACCCTAATATAATTATTTGATTCGATATGCCCTCCTAAGAATATATAATAATTATAGTTGTTGCAAAATTAATTAACGTCGATGGGGTATCCACCAAAGGGGTCGCTGGAATGGATCGACACAAAGTTGATATTTCTGTTTTCCGTGATGATCTTCTTCCTCTTTGTTATCTTTCTCTCTCTCTTGGGCTGTATCTTCTTACTCCGACATCTGGAGACCTATGATAACGACGATCACGACTTATACGAGGAATATATCCGACGATCAAAGATGCAATCTACTACGACCTAGAAGAAGATGGAACTATCCTCCTTGGCTTATTCTAGACATTTTTCTCAATTGTCGGTGTTTTGTTAATTTTTCTTCTTAATATTTTTTTTGGGGGGTCTAGCAATTGTTACTTCCGTCTTTCTATCAAGTGATTTGTTTGCAAATTGTCTTGCGTTCTTAATTTATTGGTGTTTAAACTAAACGAATTATGCTAATTGTTCTTCATTCATCTTACATTCTTACTGAGTAAAATTAATGTACGCGGAGAGAGCAAAACAGAATTAAGGAAGTCTGTTGAGACTTATTATATCTCTTGTAGATAACGACACAAAACTCTAAAGTTTACAGAAGGAAAAAAAAGATGGTCAAGGAATTAATTCCATTGATCACCGATGACTAGACTTATCTTATAAATTTTTAAAGAAAAATGAAAAAAAAAAAAATCACACAATTTGATCTGAATCCCATAATTAACGAACAAACCCTGAATCTTGACTGACAATGGTGAATTCGTGGTCCTGAATCTGCTCGCCGATCTTCTCATCGGTTTCTATAGTAGTATATGAGGGTTTAGCAAGAGATCGCCACTCACGAAACAATGCATATCCAATGATTCCCAAAAGAACAAGGCAAACGAATATGGTTCCGGCCAAGTAATACATGTATGATAACGTTTCTTCTGAAGAATCACCATAAATACCCATGGTCCAGCGATCGACAAAGGGTCCAAGTCTGTTTGTGATAATATATAACTACAGGTTTTTCAATATATATATTTTAACGTTGTTAGTCCAAATCACTTCCTATTTGTAATCCAATTAGAAAAAATAATATTGTGAATAATACTTATATGGAATAATAATTTTTGGAGATAATTGTCTCCAGAAGATAAATAATAATTTCTAAAGATAATTTTCTCCGGCCAGAAGATAAATACATACAACAGATAACTACGAGATGAGAAAAAAAAAGACTGATGAAGAAATCAAAGAAAGAATAATATAGCAACAATAAAACGCTACTCAAGTATTCACCAAAAAAAAAAACGCTAGTTAAGAAAGTATTCAAATGCAATCACAATTAAGTAATGCTATTCCCTAATTGTGAACACTGGTTTCCCTTTATCTTCATTCGCAAACTTTGTGCGTTGCCTTGAACTTCCATCATTCGAGCTCGTGGATTAGATTCATGGGTTGAAATTCTGATGCAAAATCTCTTCATCTTTCTGATTTTCTTTTGTTCCTTTTGCCTTTGTTGCATACGAGCAAAATCTAACACAAAGACAAAATCCGAAAAGAATAACAATGACGGACATCACCTCCATGACCCGAAGCAACACTTTCACTTTTTCTTCATATCGCGATGTATCCATGGCGTTACTGCGTTAGCGAGATGTCTCCAAAAACCCAACCTAATTTAATGAGACGTATGCAAGTAACTTTTGAAGGTTCAAAATAAATGAAAACAAATCGTTTCGTGAGTATCTGTTTTACTTATATATTTTATTTAGCCAAATTACCTAATTTACGGGGTTTTAATGCATATCAAATCCACTTATAGTTTTAAGTCTATGCATTAACAAAAAAAAAAAATTAAAACTCTTTTCTTGTTAAAGAATATAATGAAAACTCTAGTTTAGAGAAACGTTATATCCTTTGTTTTATATTTTAGGATTCCTAATGTGAATTGATTTACACGTCGTCTTATATTTATACACATATGTTATTGTTTTACACATGCTCAACTAATTATCTATTATCTGATCTATGGCACCTCCTCCGTGTGCATCTACTTCTCGAACGTTCGACGCACGGCGCGATGATATAATAGATCTTGCAGAGGGGATTATACTCTTAACCGCTTGCTTTGTCTACATCTATGTGATTGTGTACATCTTAATATTGGGGTGGTTGATTGAAAGAGAAGGTACTAAAAAGGAATATTTTCGCTTACGCGATGTTGAACTCGGAAGGTTGCCTGCTGGAGAGCTCATCCAAGAGCAATCAGATGGAGAGGAAAGCGGTTTGGCCAACGATCACGGCCGCGGCTGAGTTCCGAAGACAATGATCTGAAATTATTATTTTTTCTTAAAAGTTATGCTCTTTTTGTTACGATTTTAATCACTTGCTTTATTACCGTTTGCTGTATTTATGAAGTATGTGTTAATCATTAAGCTCTTCATTGCAACGATTACTTTGGCAGTGATTCTACAATTCTAAGGGTGTTTAGTCATCGACTTTCAATGGAGTCCTTTATTGTTATTTTTAGATTGACTCTCGAGCGTTCATATTAATGAATAATCATGAATTCAATATTGTTTATGGCTAAAAAAATATTCAGTTTTAGATTATGAGTCTATAGAAAACCATGGGATCAAAGATATCATAGAATCTATAAATAACAAGAAGTCAACTAATCATCCAAACTTTTACGGATAATCGAATATCTAATAAGTTACGAACAAGTAAATAAACTTTACAAATCGTAGGAAAAAAAGAAGAAAAGTTACAACTTACAAACCAATGGAATAATGGATCACGAATACTTAGAAAGTTAGAAATTTGTAGATTCGTTCCGTCTTCATACTATGATGTTAAACTTAATGGATACCCGTGCTCCTGATTGGCCGAGAGATCAAGTTTTTTTATTGTTTGAAACGTACATACCAACTTTTTCGCATCTTGTTTGGATTGTAAATCATTACTGTTAATATTGCAAATCAATAAATACCCATGGTCCAGCGATATATATATTTTTGGTCAACAATCAATACTATGTGGGAATGTTTTAGTTTGTATAATTTCATATTGAACAAAAACTATTGAACCCCTACATAAATCTAAAATATATACATTATATATATATATATATATATGATGGTTTAGCAAGAGATCGCCACTCACGAAACAATACATATCCAAGGATTCCCAAAAAAACAAGGCAAACGAATATGGTTCCGCGGCTTCCGGCCAAGTAATACATGTATGTTAACGTTTCTTCTGAGGAGTCACCATAAATACCCATGGTCCAGCGATCGACAAAGGCTTCGACGAAGGGTCCAAGTCTATTTGTGATAATATATAACTACAGGTTTTTCAAAATATATATTTTAACGTTGTTAGTCCGAATCGTACTTCCTATTTGTAATCCAATTAGAAAAATAATATTGTGAAAAATACTTATATGGAATAATAATTTCTAGAGATAATTGTCTCCAGAAGATAAATAATAATTTCTAAAGATAATTTTCTCCGGCCGGAAGATAAATACATACAACATATAACTACGAGATGTAAGTCTGATATGACTTGTGAGAAGAAAAAAAAAGACTGATGAAGAAATCAAAGAAAGAATAATATAGCAACAATAAAACGCTACTCAAGTATTCACCAAAAAAAAAAACGCTAGTTAAGAAAGTATTCAAATCCAATCACAGTAATTGTGAACACTGGTTTATCTTCGTTTACAAACTTTGTGCGTTGCCTTGAATTTCCATCATCCGAGCTCGTGGATTAGATTCATGGGTTGAAATTCTGATGCAGAATCTCTTCATCTTTCTGATTTTCTTTTGTTTCTTTTGCCTTTGTTGCATGCGAGCAAAATCTAACACAAAGACAAAAGCCGAAAAGAATAACAATGACGGACATCAACTCCATGACCCGAAGCAACACTTTCACTGTTTCTTCATATCGTGATGTATCCATGGCGTTACTGCGTTAGCGAGATGTCAGATGTCTCCAAAAATCCAACCTAATTAATGAGACGTATGCAAGTAACTTTTGAAGGTTCCAAGTAAAAGAAAACAAATCGTTTCGTATTATATCTGTTTTATTTATATATTTTATTTAGCCAAATTATCTAATTTACGGGGTTTTAATGCATATCAAATCCAGTTATAGTTTTAAGAGTATATGCATTAACAAAAATAAATAAAATTAAAACTCTTTTTTTGTTAAAGAATAATATGAAAACTCTAGTTTAGAGAAACGTTATATCCTTTGTTTTAGATTTTAGGATTCCAATGTGAATTGATTTACACGTCGTCTTATATTTATACACATATGTTATTGTTTTACACACGAATTGATCTATTATTGGATCTATGGCACCTCCTCCGTGTGCATCTACTTCTCGAACGTTCGACGCACGGCGCGATGATATAATAGATCTTGCAGAGGGGATTATACTCTTAACCGCTATCTTTGTCTACATCTATGTGATTGCGTACATCTTAATATTGTGGTGGTTCATTGATAGAGAAGGTACTAAAAAGGAATAACCGGCTTGGCCAACGATCACGGCGGCGCCTGAGTTCCGAAGACGATGATCTTAGAAATTATTATTTTTCTTAAAAGTTATGCTCTTTTTTGTTACGATTTTAATTACTTGCTTTATTACCGTTTTGCAGTATTATGGAGTATGTGTTAATCAGTTAAGCTCTTCATTGCAACGATTACTTTGACATTAATTCTACAATTCTAAGGGTGTTTACTCATCGACTTTCAATGGAGTTCTTTATTGTTATTTTTAGATATATTGACTCTCGAGCGTTTATATTGATGAATGATCATGAATTCAATATTGTTTATGGCTAAAAAATATTCGGTTTTAGATTTTGAGTCTAAAGAAAACTATGGGGTCAAAGATATCATAGAATCTATAAATAACAAGAAGTCAACTAATCATCCAAACTTTTACGGATAATCGAATATCTAATAAGTTACGAACAAGTAAATAAATTTTACAAATCGTAGGAAAAAAAAAGTTACGAACCAGTGGATCACGAATATATTATAGAATCTATAGAATCTATAAAAAAAAGTTACGAAGCATGAGAAGAACAAAGTTGAATTGGCTTTCAACTGATTTCTGCGCCAAACATTAGTTCATTTTCTGGGCAAATTCGTAAAAACACTATAATTCATACATGAACTAAAAAATTGGTATAATTCATACATCAATTAGTAAAATGAGTTATTTCATACACCATTTTTTAAAGTAGCCAATTCATATTGACCAATAATGACGTGGATGACATACATGCCGAGTCATTTTTAACAAAATAATTATGTTTATACATGAATTCAAATTTTGGTATAATTCATACTATTGGTGGTGGGGGTCGTGGACTCACCAAAAATGGATCACCTGATGCATATGCTCGAATATGCGACCCTGGTCCGCCAATGATAATAGCATACACCTGCATATTTTTTGCTCAAGTAGGATTAGACTTTTGGTGTAAACCAAATACAATCTATTCAACAAATGTTCAAATGAGTCACTAACCTGAACAATGCCTGACGGTATTAGGCTTTCGGCGACAGCACCACCCTCGGGTTTAGTGTGGAAAGGCACACATGCAATACTCCGTTTGGACAACAGTGGTGCAGCATCATGTACTTTGATTTGGTTCATGCGCTGGAAGAAGCCACTCAGGTGAAACACTTCTCGTCGACCCTGTTATGCAGAGGAATCAGAGACATTAAGAAAACCTCCACATTTCTTGTATTGAATTACATGAGACTGACACTTACGTGCTAAAGTATCCGGTGAAGACGGGGAATATAGTTGAACTGACTCCAAATGGCTTATTTTTCTTTTTATTCAAATTTTGAAGGCCACCAAGTTGGCTACATAATTTATTCATCGTGACGGATTTGGCAAGAAATTTCAAAACAGATGTATATAAACTCAATTGGCACAGTAACTGTGCGTTTGAAAATTAGTAGATCGGAATTAAAACTTGATCCTTTCTTAATACCTAACTAGTCATCGATATCAAATTTGTTTCTTCAAAAACATTCAAACTCTGACCAGTAATTAATGGTAACAAGGGTTAATTTGACCATTGAATACACACCTTCCGAATGACTCCTTTAAACATTTATTGTTTTCCGGTATTATATATAGTATCAACTTATTATCTCATGTCTCGCCAGTGATAATCGTGAAAATGGAGTTAGGTTTTTCAGCAACGTGGATGATTTTGTTATTTAATGTTTTATGCTGTAGCCTTATGATGAGCCCTAACTGTGGCATCGTCAAAGCAACCGAGACATTAAAAAATGTTGGAGATTTGGACATTGAGCAGAAACTTAAGCTTATCAACAAACCTGCAGTCAAAATCATCAAGGTTTAGTGTCCCACTTATGTTTCATTGTGTTTTATTTTATATATCCAGTGATAACTGTTACTTGCTGTTATTTCTGAATCTGCAGTCTATATATGGTGAACGGTATGGGTGCGTGGATTTCTACAAACAACCAGGATTCGACCATTCTTCCATGACGACGAATCACACATCCTTTAACTATAAGGTACATTGCACTAGCATTCTTAATTTTTTTTTCTTTTAAACATATGCAAAAATAAAATCAATATATATATATATATATATATAAAAGGATTTCGGTTTTACTTGGAGTGAGTTTTGGTTTAATTTGATTCGACTTTTTATCAACTTATTATGATATTTGTTTTTGCGTAGATGCGTATGCTGTCATATCCTGAAGGATCAAAATCGCAAAGAGAGACACTTGGTACCAAAACATTTGGGCATTTTTGGGAAAATGGTATAGGTTGTCCTAATGGTACGGTCCCTGTGCTTAGAGTCACCAAAGATGATCTCTTCAGAATGAAATATTTCGGTGGCGAAAATTTGAATCCCCAAAGTTATGAACAATACTTATGAACCTATGTCTACCGGCAGTGGCTATCATGTAAGTGTCATTTCTTAAAAAAATTATTTTATAGTTAGAAAATCATATATATATATATATATATATCAGTAGAAGAGATTTTTTTCTGTTGTGCCCACCTTTGCATGAAAGTCTTAATTAGAATAAAAACGGCGGATAACATATGTTGGAAAGAAACATAAATAATTGCTCATATTCTAAAACTGTATAATTATCTAATATATAAACATAAAATAGTGGTGCTTGATGATTTATACTAATTTATGAGCACATTACACATGTAGTGGATATCAAAATTTTAATTTTCTCAATCGTTGTGTTTAGTTTGCTGTTGTGCGGACTAGCGGAAAACTAAAGAGTTACAATGGAGCGTACATGACTGTTAAGATATGTACTCCTCCGGTTCAACGGAATCAAAGGAGCTCTGCTCGGATGATGATTCAGTTTGGAAATGAATTCATCCAAGCCGGTTGGACCGTAAGTCAATTAATTTAAATCCAATTATTTATATGTAGTTTGGTGTTTGTTTTTTAATGTTTTTAACATCGATCAATCCTATTATTTATTAATTTTAGGTAAACCCGCACTTGTACGGAGACGCCCAATCTCGGCTATTCGTATATACGAATACGAGCGTTAGTTGCCTCCATCTTACTTTCATATATTTTATTTGCCGTTCCAAATAAATACTCGAATTAGTAGTTAATATAGTAGTAACTATTAGAATATGGAATGCATATATTCTCCAAATGTAAATTAGACATCTAAGTTAATAACCTCTAACGGTAATATTGTATACTCTCGTATATATATGTGTATGAATGGAATGGCACAGATCATCGATTGAATAATACCTAATCTAATATGGTATCAGAGCATACCTCAATTTTCTAAAGTCTTCTGCCTCCCTCTCTGTTCTTTTCTTTTTGATCTCTTCCGCCTCCATTCTTGTTCATCTTCTTTTCTTTCAGTTTTTCTTGTTTATTCATTTACCATAGCTGCAACTGCGCCGGTAACCGATCGATCTCTGAGTCTCACTCAGATCAAAACTCATATCCCACTTATTCTTGATATGAACCATATGAACTACGACATATGGCGTGAGCTCTTTGAAACCCATTGTCATAGCTTCTCGGTTCTTGGCCATATTGATGGCACCTCGCTACCCACCGGCGATGAGGACACTGTCTGGGCTCAAACCGATGGCACGGTTAAGATGTGGATCTATGGTACTATCTCGGAATCTCTCCTCAAATCAGTGCTCAAAACTAAGTGTTCTGCCGCCGAGTTGTGGAAGTCGTTGGAAAATCTTTTCCGTGATAACAAAGAATCACGAGCCATTCAACTTGAGAATGAACTTCGACAACTCCGAATCGGCGATCTTCCGGTTCATGAGTACTGTCAGAAATTGAAGACTCTCTCGGATCTGCTCGCAAATGTCGATTCTCCAATCACCGACAGACAACTTGTGATGCACCTCCTCAACGGTCTTAGCTCCAAGTTTGATAACATTATTAATGTTATCCGACATCGATCTCCGGCGTGTACGTTTAGCCTTGCTCGATCGATGCTTAAGGATGAGGAAGATCGGCTTAACACAAAACGCCAGATCGAAGCTTCTCATAACGATACGGCCTCCTCTCCGCAGATTCTTGTTGCGACGGCTCCACCGGCGTACGATCCCAACCCGCGATCTAACTCCGGCGACCACCAGAATCGTGGCAATCGAAACAATCGTGGAAACCGCGGCGGCCGAAACTCGAAGGGTCGGGGAAACTCGAATTGGCAAGGCAACTGGAATTCTGGGCCTCCATCACCTTGGGTCTGGCCCAATACACCACCATGGCCCATGCTTGCTCCTTGGCAACAACAGCCCCCATGGCCCATACACTGGTCCGGCCCACCTACGCCTGGCCCATCTCCTTGGTCCAATTACCCACGACCTCCGGCCACACAACCACCATCGTCGGGTCTTCTTGGTCAGACTCCGAGATCCACGTATCTCTCAACGCACAATACGCCAGCTCCGCCGTCCCCTGCTCCACAGAATGAGATGATTCCGACGGCCTTGGCCACTGCTTTCAACACCATGTCTCTCTCCGATCCGACTGACGCCGGATGGTACATGGACACAGGAGCGACGGCTCACTTAACGGCACAGCCGGGTAAGATTTCGTCTCTCTCGTCCTCGGCATCTTTGCCATTAGTCACTGTTGGTAATGGTGCACTTATCCCAGCAACTGCTGTGGGTCAATCATCATTTCCTTCCTCATCTCGTCCTTTATTTCTTAAAAATGTTTTATTGTGTCCACAGATTCTGAAAAATTTGGTTTCTGTTCGTCAATTCACTAATGATAATATATATATATGTTCTGTGGAATTTGATCCGTTTGGTTTTGTTGTTAAGGATCTTCGTACCCGAGTCCCTCTCATCCGATGTGATAGTAGTGGTCCTTTGTACGCTATTACTTCACCATCTCGGAACTCATCTCATCATGCTTTAGTCACCTCCACTGCCTCGTCAATTTGGCATCGCCGTCTCGGCCATCCTGGCGATTCTGTTCTTCGTTTATTATCATCTTCTGGTTTATTGCATTGTTCGAACATTAATAGTTCTTCTTTATGTCATGCTTGTCAACTAGGGAAACACATTCGGCAACCTTTTTATACTTCTCAAACAGTTGTTTCTTCTCCTTTTGAAATAATACATTCAAATATTTGGACTTCACCTGTTACAAGTGTTAGTGGAATCAAATATTACGTTATTTTTCTTGATGAATTTTCTCATTTTGTTTGGATTTATCCTCTTCGTCAAAAGAGTGAAGTTTTCTCAAAGTTTTTGCATTTTTTCAAGTTTGTTAAAACTCAGTTTAAACATAAAGTTAAAGCTTTTCAGTGTGATAATGGTGGAGAGTTTAACAATCGTCATATGCTGGATTTCTTTTCCACTCATGGAATACAGCCACGATTCTCTTGTCCCCATACATCCCAGCAAAATGGTAGAGCAGAACGAACCTTGCGCACGATAAATAATCATGTGCGAGCTCTCCTCTTTCAAGCAAATCTACCTATCACATATTGGGTTGAGGCTTTGAATATGGCTGCTCATTTGTTTAACATTCTCCCTTCCACTACCATTCAAAATCAGATTCCTTATACTCGTTTATTTCAGAAACCTGTCACATATGATCACCTTCGGGTATTTGGCTGTTTATGTTACCCTAACTTGCTTGCTACTTCTAAGCATAAGCTATCACCTCGTTCTTCTCGGTGTGTGTTTTTAGGTTTTCCCTCCAAACACCGTGGGTTTCGGTGTGTTGACTTGGAAACTCGTCGCATCATCATCTCACGGCATGTGGTTTTCGATGAGAATGTTTTTCCTTTTGCAGGCACTTCTCCACCTTCGCCACCTTTCCCTGTTTCACCAATGGCGTATCCACCGCCTCTCCTTCAGGTTGTATCCACGGCCCCTTTAACCCCACCGGCGGATCCACCATCTCCTCCTCCACCACTGTCTCCACCTCTCTCGCCTACACCAGTGCCACCGAGTCCTGTGGATCCAAATCCACCAACACCACCTCTCTCGCCTGGTCATAACTCGCCACCTCCCTCTCCGCAGCAACAACTCCATCCGGCGCCAATTCAGCCTGCAGCTGCACCTGTGCCGACGCGGATTCAGACTCGGAGTCAAAGTGGCATTGTCAAGCCTAAGAAATTGTTCTCTCTTCACACTGCCACTATTTCTCCTCTGCCTCGCTCACATCTTGCTGCTTTCAGGGACCCAAATTGGAATCCAGCTATGCATGAGGAGTATAACTCGCAGATGGCAGCACGCTCTTGGACTCTTGTTCCTCGACCTTTGAATACTAACATTGTGCGTTCCATGTGGCTGTATACTCATAAGTTTCGTGCAGATGGATCGTTAGCTCGCCACAAAGCTCGTCTCGTCGCCAATGGAAAGTCTCAACAAGCCGGCGTCGACTGTGCATAAACTTTTAGTCCTGTGATTAAACCCACTACTGTTCGCACCATATTGGACATCGCTGTCTCACGAAACTGGCCGTTGCATCAGCTAGATGTCAAGAATGCTTTCTTACATGGGAATCTCGAAGAAACGGTGTATATGCATCAGCCGGCCTGCTTTGTTGATCCCACCAAACCTGATCATGTGTGTCTCCTCAAGAAGTCCATGTATGGCTTAAAGCAATCACCAAGGGCGTGGTATCAACGTTTTGCGCAGTTTGCAACCAAGATAGGATTCACTCAAAGCAAATGTGATCCATCTTTGTTCATTTTGCGTCACGGCTCTGGTTTTGCTTATTTGCTCCTCTACGTGGACGACATCATTCTTACTGCATCGACACCATCCCTTATCAGGTCTATCATATCCTCTCTTAAGTCTGAATTTCCAATGTCTGATCTCGGTTTTCTTCACTATTTTCTTGGCATTGCTGTTCGCAGAGACAAAAATGGCTTGTTCATGGATCAACGGAACTACGCGGCGGATATCCTTCATCGTGCTAATATGACAAACTGCAAACCGTGTCGTACCCCGGTGGATACTGCAGCCAAACTAGAAGCAGCCATCGGTGAGCCGGTCGCAGATCCAACGTTGTACCGGAGTCTGGCCGGCGCTCTCCAATATCTCACATTCACTCGACCGGACATCGCTTACGCAGTACAACAGATATGTCTGTATATGCATGATCCACGAGAACCACACTTCAGTGCCTTGAAACGCATTCTCCGCTACCTCAAAGGCACCATTTCACAAGGTCTTCATATCACACCGTCGAAGACCACGACTCTGACGGCTTACATTGATGCTGATTGGGGAGGTTGTCAGAACACACGGCGTTCAACCTCCGGCTACTGTGTGTACCTTGGTGACAATCTCATCTCCTGGTCCTCAAAACGTCAACCTACGGTCTCTTGTTCCAGTGCTGAGGCTGAATACCGCGGTGTCGCTAATGTTGTCGCTGAAACGATATGGGTACGTAATCTTCTGCTCGAGATACATTGTCCAATTCAAACAGCCACCATTGTTTACTGTGACAACGTTAGTGCGGTGTATCTCTCCACCAATCCCATTCAACACCAGCGCACAAAACATGTTGAGATGGACATCCATTTTGTAAGAGAAAGGGTCGCTCTTGGCCAGGTTCGTGTCCTTCATGTTCCCTCCTCTCAACAATATGCAGACATCTTCACCAAAGGGCTTCCCTCTACTCTCTTCAATGAATTCAAATCCAGTCTTTGTGTTCGGGAACCTCACGTTTCGACTGCGGGAGGGTATTAGAATATGGAATGCATATATTCTCCAAATGTAAATTAGGCATCTAAATTAATAACCTCTAACGGTAATATTGTATACTCCCGTATATATATGTGTATGAATGGAATGGCACAGATCATCGATTGAATAATACCTAATCTAATAGTAACATGTTTATATGGTTTGGTGCAGGCTGGAGGACATGCATGTTATCACACCAGATGCCCGAACGGAGCCGGAATGATACAAGTCCGTCAAGATCTTGCTCCTGGTTTACCTCTCGCGAATAAATATATTGATATTGACATCGCCATATTGAAGGTCAGGTCTTTTTGCACTTAGTTCAAATATATATTTTTGTCGGTGACTTATAAAAATTTCTGAGTCGATGTACAGTTATTAGAATGAATTGCATGTTCTAGTATGAGTCACTAAAAAGAGCCTTGACAAGGTTTTGTTAATTACAAAGAACAATAAAGTTTTTTTTTTGTTTTTTAAAAAGTGGATTTTATCGAATGCAGGACAAAAGCAACGGGAACTGGTGGCTTTACGTGGCCGGGAAACAAGTTGGTTTCTGGCCATCGAGCAGGTTCAAAGTAAGCTCCGGGACGATGGTAGAATGGGGAGGTGCAGTGTACAGTCCGCCATCGTCTCCAAGTCCTATGATGGGTACCGGTCGTTTTCCGCAGGGGAACCCTCACCTCGACTCCTATATCCGTTTAATCTCGATAATCGACGGAGACTATAAGGAGGATAAAAAGGTGAATAACATTTATTCTTATTCAGACAGCAACCATGGCTATAAAGTGAGAGACGCGACGAAGACATGGTGGAGTCATACAGGTCATATTATCTTATATGGAGGCCCCGGGGGAATTTAGAGACCATATGTTATAACTTGTACCACATACAGGGGCGTGCTTACAGTGTATTGAAAAAGGCATTTGCCAGAGGCCCCCAAAATATATAGAGTTAAGGGGCCCCCTTTTCCCAAAACACAATGTATCAAAGTGGTTATAGTGGGACTCTAAGAGCTGTAATAACCCGAGTTCGAACCTAGAAATGCCCACTTTTTCTTTTGAATTAAGATTTTCTAAAAACTGACAACATAAAAATCCTACCGCACGCATCCATCTTTCTCCTTCTCTTTACTTATTGTTTTTTTTCTTCTTTCTTTTTTGTAGTATTCATTTTTTGCCATTTTTTGTAGTTTTACATATCAAAAAAAAATATTCAAAAGATCTCATTTTTAAAATCTGCCTTGAGCCCCCGCACGGCACTGACCACATATAAAGCAAATCTGCGTCATAGTCTACAAGTATGCTCTCACGTCTGTGTTAAAATTATAATATCTTCAAAGAAAATTAACATCTTCAAAATCAGAATTTGGTTTTACCTGGTCTTGTTTAGGGTAACATGTTGAACCGGTCAACCGGAGATAGAGAATGACTTATAGCAAAACATAATAGCTGCTGAAGACGAATATGGTTGAACGGAATGGAATCTAAATGGCCTATTTTTATTTTTATTTCATATTTTAAGGCCACATAATTTTTTGCGAAATTTGGCCAAGAAATTTCGAAGGAAATGTATATAAACTCTTGGCACAGTAACCATGCGTTTGGAAATTAGTAGATCGGAATTAAAATTTGATCCTATCTACCATCAATATCAAATTTGTTTCTTCAAAAACATTCAAACTCTGACCAATAATTAATGGTAACAAGGGTTGTTTTGACCACTGAATACAAACCTTCCACATATATCGTTTAAATATTTATTGTTGTCCCATTTCCAGACTTCCCCGAATCCTTGATGCAAGTATTATATATATCAACTTATTATCTCACGTCTCTCCAGTGTTAATCATGAAAATGGACTTGGGTTTTTCAGTAACGTGGGTGATTTTGTTATGCAATGTTTTATGTTGTAGCCTTATGATGAGCCATAACTGTGGCGTCGTCAAAGCAACCGAGACATTAGAAAATATTGAAGATTTGGAAATAGAGCAGAAACTTAAGCTTATCAACAAACCTGCAGTCAAAATCATCAAGGTTTAGTGTCCCACTTATATTTAATTGTGATTTTATTTTATATATCCAGTGATATTTAGGATTATATAAACTGGCAGAATAGATTCTTAGTTGCTGTTATTTCTGAATCTGCAGTCTACATATGGTGAACGGTATGGGTGTGTGGATTTCTACAAACAACCAGGATTCAACAACTCATCCATGATGAATCACAAGGTACACTGCTCTAGCATTTACTATCTGAATAAGTAAAATATCTTTATTTTATAAAAAACATATGCAAAATAAAAAATCAAAATATATTAATGGATTTCAGTTCTTGGTTTGATTTGGTTCGACTATTTTATTAACTTATTATGATATTTCATGAGTAGATGCGTATGATGTCATATCCTGAGGGATCACAACTGCAAAGAGAGACACTTAGTACCAAAAAATTTGGGCATTTTTGGGAAAATGGTATAGGTTGTCCTAATGGTACGGTCCCTATACTTAGAGTCACCAAAGACGATCTCTTCAGAATGAAATCTTTCGGTGGAGAAAATCTGAATCTCCAAAGTTCGTGGCACAATACTTATGAACCTATGTCTGCCGGTAGTGGCTACCATGTAAGTGTCATTTTTTACAGTTTTTATTTTATAACCCCTTAAACAAAAAATAAAGATTTTATTTTATAATTAGAAATGTCAATCATTCATATCTACTATATACTATAAGTAGAAGAGATTTTTTTTGTGGTTGTGCCACCTTTGGATGAAAGTCTTAATTGGAGAATAAAAACGGCGGATAACATACTAGAAAGAAACATAAATAGTTAATCATATTCTAAAACTGTCTAATTATCTAATATATAAACATAAAAATAGTGGTTTCTTTTTTTTTTGTTAAAGAATTTCTTGGATGATTTATACTAAATTATGAGCACATTAGACATATAGTAATGGATATCAAAATTTTAATTTTCTCAATCGTTGTATTCAGTTTGCTGTTGTGCGGACTAGTGGAAAACCAAAGAGTTTCAATGGAGCGTACATGACTGTTAAGATATGTACCCCTTCAGTTAAACCAAATCAAAGAAGCGCTGCTCGGATGATGGTTCAGTTTGGAAATGAATTCATCCAAGCCGGTTGGACCGTAAGTCAATTAAATTAGATCTACCTTTTGTTTATATACTCAATGTAATCTGGTGTTTGTTTTTTAATGTTTATTAATATCGATAAATCCTATTATTTATTAATTTCAGGTAAACCCGCACTTGTACGGCGACGCCAAATCTAGGCTATTCGTATATACAAACGTTAGTTGGCTCCATCGTACTTTTATATATTTTATTTCCCGTTCCATATATATACTCGGAATTATTAGCTAATCAGTAGATTTTTGTAGCTAATCAGTAGTTACATGTTTATATGGTTTGGTGCAGGCCGGAGGACATGCATGTTATCACACCAGATGCCCGAACGGAGCCGGAATGATACTGGTCCGTCAAGATCTTGCTCCTGGTTTACCTCTCGCGAATAAATATGCTGAAATTGAGATCTCCATATTGAAGGTCAGGTCTTTTCGCACGTAGCTAATTTTTTTTTTTGTCGGCTGACTTTAAATATTTTCGAGTCTATGCACAATTATTAGAATGAATTGCATGTCATAGTACGTGTCAGTAAAGGTAGCCTGGACAAGGTTCTTTTAATTACAAAAAAGAAAAAGATTTTTGTTTCTTAAAAAGTGGATTTTATAAAGTGCAGGACAAAGGCAACGGGAACTGGTGGCTTTACGTGGCCAGGGAACAAGTTGGGTTCTGGCCATCGAGTAGGTTCAAAGTAAGCTCCGGAACGATGGTAGAATGGGGAGGTGCAGTGTACAGTCCGCCATCGTCTCCAAGTCCTATGATGGGTACCGGGCGTTTTCCCAAGGGGAACTCTCTCGTCGACTCCTATATCAGTAACATCGCGATCACCGACGGAGACTATAAGGTGGATAAAACTGTGAATGACAGGTATTCTTATTCGGACAACAATCATGGCTATAAAGTGAGAGACGCGACGACGACATGGGAACATGGTAAAGATCATATTATCTTCTATGGAGGCCCCGGGGGAATTTAGAGACCTTATGTTATACCACATATATAGCAAATCTGCGCGATAGTCTAAATGTATGATGTCACGTGTGTGGTAAAATAATAAAATCATTAAATGAAATTATACAAAAAAAAAGGATAATACCAAACTGGAATGTTAGGTTCGTGTTGAGTGATAATTCTGTGATTTTAATATATGTGGTAATATGTGTGTTCGATGAAGTTAAAAATTCTCAGAACCAACATATCCTCTCTTCATCCTCACATCTCATGAGTTACTTCTTCTCTTTTTTTTTTGTTCAACTGCAAATATCATATAAATATGAAGGAGGGATTTACATTTGGTAATCCGAGTTTGTTGGTCAATATTTGTTGTTTGTTGTTCAATATTTCGTTTCGTTTGCTGTGCAAGAATGCAAAGAAATTTCTTTTTGCTTATATTGAATAAAATAAGGAAGAACCTGATAGCAAAATGTAGTCATATCAGTAGGCATCTACCCCATGGGAAGTTAAGTTACTTTGTTCCTAACCCCCGCACTGTGTGTCAAATCCTTGTAGTCGAGAAGTTAAGTTACTTTCTTCCTCTTTTTAGATTCATATTAAATCCTAGTAGTCATCACGTCACATTCATATTTTTAGATTTTCAAAACAAAACAAAACATAAAAAAACCCTAACCCTGCACTGTGGGTCAAATTCTAGTAGTCATGAAGTTAAGTTACTTTGTTCCTCTTTTTTTATTCAAGTTTTAGGGCCATTAAGTTGGCCACATAATTTATCTATTGCCACGAATTTGGCCAAGGAATATCCGTGTAATGTTTTCAGATGTAATTAATCTTGACATAGTAACGATGAGTTTAGCTGCAAACAAATAAAATAAATAAAAATTATAAGAAAAATAAAACTTGATCTTATAGGCCTAGCTATTTTAGCACCTAATTAACCACCGATGTCAAATTTGTTTTCCTCATCAATGTTTTTACTTTGACCAATAATCAATGGTAACAATATTACAAGAGTTAAGTTGGCCATTGAATATATCTTCCAAATTAATTTTGTTTCCAAACTTTCTCAAATCCTTAAAAAAGGTCGATATATATAAACTTATTATATCACGACTCTCCATTGTTGATCATGAAAATGGAAATGGGTTTTTCAGTAAAGTGGATGATTTGTTTGTGCCATGTTTTATGTTGTAGCCTTATGATGAGCCATAGCTTTGGCATCGTCAAAGCAACCGAGACATTAAAATTTTTTGAAGATTTGGAAATAGAGAAGAAACTTAAGCTTATTAACAAACCTGCAGTCAAAATCATCAAGGTTTAGGGTCCCACTTATATTTAATCATGATTTTATTTTATACTAACTGGTAGAATAGATTCTCACTTGCTGTTATTTCTGAATCTGCAGTCTATATATGGTGAACGGTATGGGTGCGTGGATTTCTACAAACAACCAGGATTCGACCACTCATCCATGATGAATCACACATCCTTTCACTCTAAGGTATATTGCTCTAACATTTATTATAATTAAACTATCTTTATTTTTTTGTTTAAAACATATGGGAAATAAAATCATAATTTATAGAAGAATTTCAGTTGGTTTGATTTATCTTTTTTTTGTAGAATGATATAGTTCTTGGTTTGATTTGGTTCGACTATTTTATCAACTTATTATGATATTTTATGTGTAGATGCGTATGATGTCATTACATCCCGAAGGATCAAAACTGCAAAGAGGGACACTTGGTAACAAAAAATTTGGGTACTTTTGGGAGAATGGCATAGGATGTCCTAATGGTACGGTCCCTATACTTAGAGCTACCAAAGGCGATCTCTTCAGATTGAAATCGTTCGGTGGCGAAAATTTGAATCCCCAAAGTTCGTGGAACAATACTTATGAACCTATGTCTGCCGGCAGTGGCTATCATGTAAGTGTAATTTCTTAAAGTCCTTATTTTATAATTAGAAATATCCATCATATCTACTAGTGTATAAAAGTAGAAGGTATTTTTCTAGTTGTGCCACCTCTACTAGCATGAGAGTCTTAATTGGAGATTAAAAACGGCGGATGACATATTAGAAAGAAATAGTATAAATAATTGTTTATATTCTTAAATCTAATATGAAAACATAAAAATAGTGGTTCTGGGATGATTTATACTAATTTATGAGCACATTACACATATCGTGGATATAAAAAATTTAATTTTCTCGATCGTTGTATTTAGTTTGCTGTTGTGCGAACTAACGGGCCAAAGAGTTACAATGGAGCGTACATGAATGTTAGGATATGTACCCCTCCGGTTCAACCGAATCAAAGGAGCTCTGCTCGAATGATGATTCGGTTTGGAAATGAATTCATCCAAGCCGGTTGGACCGTAAGTCAATTAGATCCACTTTTTTATATACTCGATGTAATTTGGTGTTTTATTTTTATTTTTTAAAATGTTTCTTAATATCCATCAATCCTATTATTTATTTATTAATTTTAGGTGAACCCGAACTTGTACGGCGACGCCAAATCTCGGCTATTCGTATACACAAACGTTAGTTGGCTCCATCTTACTTTTATATATTTTATTTCCCGTTCCATATATATACTCGGAATTATTAGCTAATCAGTAGATTTTTATATATATACTCGAATTGTTAGTTAATTAGTAGTAGTTACATGTTGATATGGTTTGGTGCAGGCTGGAGGACATGCATGCTATCACACCAGATGCCCGAGTGGAGCCGGGATGATACAGGTCCGTCAGGATTTTGGTCCTGGTTTACCTCTCCGGGATAAATATGCTACTCTTGACATCGCCATAATGAAGGTCAGATCTTTTTGTCAGTGTCTTAAAAAAATTCTGAGTCTATGTACAGTTATTAGATTGAATTGCATGTTCTAGTACGACTCACTAAAGGTTGCCTTGACAAGGTTCTGTTAATTACAAAGAAAAAAAAAATTTGTTTTTTAAAAAGTGGATTTTATAAAGTGCAGGACAAAAGCAACGCGACCTGGTCGCTTTACGTGGCCGGGGAAGAAATTGGGTACTGGCCATCGAGCAGGTTCAAAGTAAGCTCCGGGACGATGGTAGAATGGGGAGGTGCAGTGTACAGTCCGCCGTCGTCTCCAAGTCCTATGATGGGTACCGGTCGTTTTCCGACCGGGAACCCTAACATCGACTCCTATATCCGTTTGATCTCGATCGTCGACGGAGACTATAAGGAGGATAAAACAGTGACTAACAGGTATTCCTATTCGGACAATAATCATGCCTATAAAGTGACAGACGCGACGGAGACATTCTATAGTTATACAGGTCATATTATCTTTTATGGAGGCCCCGGGGGAATTTAGAGACCATATGTTATACTACATATAAAGCAAATCTGTATGCTGTCATGTGTGTGGTAAACTAATAATATCGTTAAATAAAAAACATTAATAAGATAATACCAAGCTGGAATGTTAGGTTTCGTTTTGTTAAAAGGAATGTTAGGTTTCGTGTTGAGTGAAAATTTTGTGGTTTTAATTTCTGTGGTTACGTGTGTGTTTTCTAGAAGTTCAAATTATCAAAACCAGCAAATCATCCCCCTCCTCCTAACACCTCACGAGATGCTTAGCTTCTTCAGTTCTTCTCTATGTTTGTCGTTCAATATTTCGTTTTGTTTGCTGTGCAAGAATGCAAAGAAATCTCCTTTTTGCTGTAAAATTATAATAAAATTATATAAGGAAGAACCTGATAAAAAAAATTAGTCATATTGTTTTACCATGACTATCTAGGCCTCTATTCCATGGACTATGCATTCAAATAGCTATACTTCTTTTCAATCTACTAAGTAAGAGTTTTACCACACGGAGTAGAGATGTTTTGGATTGCAGTCTATATATATTGAAAATTTTGAAATAAGATCATGTGTATATTAGTGTTGATTACCCAACCCTTGAAAGATCATGTGAATAAGAAGTCAACCGCGATAGCTTTATCTGCAAGGAATCTATCAACTTTGAGAAACAGTCTATAACCGGAACCGGCATGGAGAGTTTCTTTACCGGATTGGAACCGAAGATGTCTTATTCAAAACACACATGAACTGTGTGAGTTTATTTTACAAGTTTACGTACACAACACACTTATTCCAATTTGTTAAAAAACAAAAACATTCTTATTCCGATACCCTTTTCTTCACGCACCAACGACAAATTTAACTTTAGAAGATTTATCTGAAAAAGAAAAAGACAAATTTAAGTTAATTAATTAATAAAAGGGTTTTTTGGTTTGTATATATCTTTCATGTTCAAAAGAGACTCCCAACGTTCTTCAACTTTTATTGTTGCCATATTTCACCTTCTTAGTACTTCAGTGTCTGAAACAGAGGATCCACGCTTTGTCCCCAGTCTCCATTGTACAACTCCAAGAGCTTCTCTGCAGGCGTAACACCTGATTTTTTTTTTCAAGAAAATTAATTAAGACCTCGATATACTTAATCCTATCAAAACTTTCAGTTAATCGAAAAACAAAACATTTACCTGTTCTAACCACCTCATCGATGGCATTCAAGAAACCGGTTTCCTTGTAGCCTCTACGCTCCAAACCATCCTAAGCAATATCAAAGAAAACTTCAATATGTATATATTCATTCACTACAAGGAGAACACACATGCACACACATATATACATACCGTTGCTAGCTTTATGACATCTTCAGCGACATGTTTCAAAGGACCACCTCTAAACATTGTCTTTAGGCCAGTGACTGGGACCTGTTGAAATCCAATGAGAATTTATTCAAACAAGAATATTTCGTAAAATCGCATAGACAAATAAAGAAAATATTGTGCTAGTTTACTTGTGTCCTAAGCATCTCTCTTTCTTGAGGAGTCCAATCAGCTATCATATCAAGAACCGCTTGGAGAGAATCCTCATCGTATAGCAAACCCACCTGAGCATCAAATTTACTGTAAGAAATTTACGAAACAGTAGTGTATATATTTTTTTTAACAGCCGAATATGTAATTACCCAAAAAGCTGGTAGGGCACACAACATCCTTAAAGGACCTCCATCGGCACCTCTCATCTCCAAGTATCTCTTTAACCGGACCTAATATTGTTATTACAGAGCAGAATCATAAGAAAAATGAATTAGGGGAGTCTAAAACGATATGGTATTTTTGATGAAACAGAGTAATCAACCTCTGGCCAAATTGTTCCTATATGGTTTTCCCAGTCGTTAATGGTTGGTTTTTCATAATATAATCCTGACAAGAAATCCTGAAAAGGTCAAGAAATATGTAAGATTTCAAAGGTTCAAAATAATTTGTAATCTTCTTATGAAGAAGAAGCATACCCTAAATGTCATTCCTTTACAGTCAAGATAGCTTTTGTTTCGATGTAAGAAGCACATGGGAAGATCAAGTGCGTAGTCGACATACCTCTCAAACCTATATCAACACACGGAAGATTAATCGTACTGTTTAGGACAAAGATCCAAGAGTTAGACAAACATTTTGATACTCACCCGAATGAGTCATCAAACACAAAAGGTATCATTCCTGTCCGGTTCTTATCGGAGTTTATCCATAAATGACTGTCAAAACATAGATGACAAAATCATTAGTATCTAAATAGAATGCGTGCAAGAGAGAGATGCAAGAAACCAAAGAGTAGTGTAGCAACCAACCTCCTCATGCTTAGAAACCCATTTGGTTTTCCATTACTAAAAGGGGAATTTGCGAATAGGGCAGTCGCAATCTGTTTGATTAGGATATAACAAAAGTGTGAGACAAATGTCTGTTTTTGACTAAAAAAAATAATTAACACCAAAAGAGCATCAAGATTCTCACAGGTTGCAAAGCTAGACTAGCTCTAAACTTCCTGATCATATCGGTTTCTGAGCCATAGTCTAGATTGACCTGAACAGTACATGTTTTGAGCATCACGTCGAGTCCTGATGAGCCAAATCTCTCTAGGTGATTTTTTATAAAGTCATACCTTCTCTGCACATAGAAAATACCCTGCTACGTCAGACACAGAGATAGATGAAGCCACATTAAGTAATATCAGAACTTATATTTTTGCAGAGGAAGGAACCTTGGGCACAGTGGCCATATCCTCGAGACTAGATTTAGGTTCACCGCCGATACCTAAGAAACCAACTCCCAGTTCGTCAGCAACAGTTTTCACTTGGTAAAGATGTGAATTGAGCTCATCACAAGTTTGGTGCAAAGTCTCTAGTGGTGCTCCACTTAGCTCTAGTTGGCCTCCTGGTTCTAATGATATGTTTTGCATTCCCTGGAATTATGATAATCCGTTCCAAACAAAATTAATTATATGAAATAATATAATCATTGTTGGTTATTCAAAGAGCAGAGAACAGAGTACTTTACCTGTTTTAGACCAATGGTTCTTCCATTCTCCATCACCTTATCCCAGCCAAATCTCTCGGCGATACCATTGAGCAGTGAAGTTATTTGTTCATATTTCATAGGGCGCAGAGTCTTGACCTCGAAACCAAACTTCTCGTGTTCTGTGCCTATTCTGAATACCCAAGTAATAAAAGCAATACAAAAATGAGTTCAAAACAAGTAACGACTTTGGTAGAACAAGGTATGAGATGATGATCGTAGTGAGTACCTCCACATTTCCTTTGGTTTGCATCCAGAAGCAAAATAGGCAATGAGATCTTCTTTAGTCAGTGGCTCCGTCGCGACTACAGCAGAGGCGCTTGCGATTGCGTTAATCCCTTGACTGCCTGCGACTATCTTGCTTCTTTTACAAGTAAAAGTTTTCTTGGGTGAGAAGCTAACATAGGTTTTCAAAGCATCCAAGTTTGTAGCAGCACCAACCCCACGATAAGAGAGCGCCATGGTTTTGTTCCTGGAGCAACTATTATAAGTTCATCACCCATGACCCATACATTTGTCAAATGTCATTTGAAATAAATTAAGTGATCTGTTGCTAATATCTCAGGCTGTTGAGAGATAGGGTTGAAAGAATTGTCTAGTCTTATAATAAATTTAAGTACAAATACAATAAAGTTAGGAATTAAACATCTAACTGATGAAATTACTATAAGATATATACAAAGTTCGCAAGAATATGTGAAGGTGCAGCAACGACGAACATAGAAAACATAAAGGAAGAGCTAAACAGACGAAGAAGAATCACCTGAAGTTGTCTAAGTTAGGGCTTAAGAATAAAGGAGCTAGAGGACGAAGGCTTGCAGCTTTAGTAGAAATGGTGGTTGTATAGTTCCCTCACCCATGCATATATATACATAAAAGATTAATAAAAAAAAAAAAAAAAAAAAAAAAATACTCGTGAGATGTATGATTAAGATATAATAATGCACACTCTTTAACAGTTTAATAAATGCAGACATTTTACACACATGTGGTACTAACCAGAATGTATCACATTAAATCTGATTACTTATATCAGTTAGCTGAGATTATAATATTATTGGTATCCTTTCTGGCGATTTTACCGAAACCATATGATTCAAGACAGCAATTATTTTCGTTATTTAATACTATGACATCGTGATTTCACACGTTTAAAATAAGAGAGAAAAGAGGGAAACGCGCATCGTGAGAGCCAGGGAAAGACAACTACAACATTTCTGACGATTTTATCGAAATTAAACCACATGATTCAAGATAACTATTACGAGTATTTTCATTTTTTAATACTATTACAACGTGATATCACTCTGTAGCCGATACTCTTACGATTCTCTCTGATTCAATTTGATTTCATACTATTAAAATAAGACAGAAAAAGCGGACACACGCGGATGGGAGTCAGAAAAACACGATTTTATTACTCCATAAAAGTATCCATCACGTAGGTTACCACCGACAGATATAAAAGTACACTGAGAAACCTCTACTCGACAACGAATATGCTGCCCTATCTATGAATATACCCACTTTCCTCGCCAGATTCACCTACTTCTCTTCCTCCTGACACTTTTTAACTTTTAATTTTTTGGGTAAAATGTAAAGATCAGTTTTCAACTTTTACCTAACCCTTTTTTCTTTCTATTAATTTCCATCAAAGGAAACTTTTAAATTAGTAGACAGATGAATGGCTTTTGTTTTAAGTTAGGGGTACAGAAAAAGGAGCTAGAGGACGAAGGCTTGCAAAGCTTGTAGAAATCGTGGTTGTGTAGTTCTATAGGAGTATAAGATTATTACTCATTAGATCTATGATTAAGATATAATTATGCACATTTTTTATTAGTCTAATGAATGTAGACACTTTACACAAATCTGGTACTACCAAGAGTTAACTAACAGTGTATCACATTAACTCTTATTACTAACCAGGTAGCTAAGATTAAAATGTTGATAACCTTTTTCTGATGATTTTACCCAAACCACATGAATCGTGACGAAACCATTATTATCATTGATTAATACAATGACAAAGTGATGTGACACTTTTGAATAAGACAGAAAAGGGACCGAAAACGGGGGGCATGTATAGGAACCAAAGGGGAGAAAAAACTAGTTAACTTTTCATGTTATACTCTTTCTTAATAGACTTCCAATTAAGTTTCAAAATGTTGCTTAAAAACGTTAATCCACTTTGACTAGTTGTTATCGTCATTGCTCATTGTTGTAAAGAAAATAAGAGTGAGTGGATGAAATAAGGAGAGACATAAAATAAAAAGGTTGTAACTTTCGAATATGATTGAAATCCATAGCGGCAGCCGGCAGAAAGTGAACGTAACTTTGACGTCGAAGATGATCACTACAAATTAATCATTTACGTGCTTTAAATTACATTGAATGTACACTGGCTTTATTTCTTGCTTTAAAACCTGAGAATCAGATAAATTTTAGTAAATCCTAACTAATTTAAATAAACTTAAAAACAAAAAATGGGCAGACGTGTAAATTTTTGTTTTTTTAACGTAAAAGCATGGGCCGGGAGGAAAAGACGTAAGTGAATAGGGGCGACAAAAGTGGGTATATTCAGAGATAAGTCAGCATATTCGTTTTCGAGTAAATGCTTCACATTATCATTGGGACTCTAGGACTTAATTGATACAGTATATGTCGGTACCTTCATGATTGAGATGACACGAAAATTTCAACACGGTTAGCTAATAGTGCTTCTTATAATTAATGAGGGTAGTAGGAGATAAAACAAAACAGAGGTTTTTAATCCCATCAAATTTTTGGGAAATGAAAATATGAGGTAAGGTAAGACTAGAGTAATCTATAACGAACATGGATCACTTTACGCAATGTCAGTTGGTGGAATAGGAGAGGAACGTGGATTAAAATGTAATGGATTTACCATGTTCTTTTAAAGATTTATTGGATTTAGACTTTTTAGCTGAAAGAGATGCTTTTTAATGAAACGTAAGATTAAAAAAAAAAAGAACTGGTGGAATAGGAGAGGAGCTGATAAAGCATGGGAACCACATGGAGCTAGGAAACCTTGAAGTTGGATAAAGATTCAAATATATTTGTGTATATTTGTATCTGTCTAGGTTAAATCTATGGAGACATCAACTAGTTATCTTTTAACCCAAAAGAAAAAAAGTCTAGTTACCTAGAATTCAGTTGTTACGTTACTGAGATGTACAAGTTTATTCGAAGGAACGTTAAGTCTTCGTGTTGGAATCAGTTTTGATTATAGGATATATTAAGTTACAATAGATCAATGTCGAACTAAGGATTTGTCTGAATGTCATTCTGATTAAGTGTCTATGGTAATAATTACTTGGCATATTTCTCTACTGAAAAGATTTCAAAAGCTTAGTCGCGTAGAAATGATTCTTCATCTGTTTCAATCTCAAATGATGTTTTCACTTGATAGTTGATACACATACGAAGAACAAATGCCAATACTCCTACTTTATATTTGATTATATCAAAACAACAATACATAACCAAATGTAAGCCTTGCGTGGAAAAACCAATTACTAAAAATATTTCTACAATGAAAGTACAAAACATCACTTCAAGTAAAATAAGAAAAATGTGGCTATAACATCAGAGGATGTGAGAGGAGTCGTGTCCATTTAATACGAATTGCAATAATTTAGTTTATGCGGAGTCTGGAAGATTTCCTAAAGACTAAAGGAAAAAAATCGTACATGTCTACATTACACAACATTTAAGAAGAAACACACACATCAACCAACTACACCAATCATCAGCACAAGGAAAATATTTTCCACCCAATCGATTTATTTTCTCATTTTTTAAGAAACTTCAGACTCAAAATCCGTAAGCTTTTGTGCGAATCAAAACTTGTAGATGTTTAGTTAATCCCATTCTTCTGCCTTCATTCAACGTCTTAGTATCACCAAATTTTCGTATTCAAAGATAACCAGTTTGTGACAAGAAAAATAGGAAACTTATTCAAAGATCTAAAACACCGGAACCCATAAACGATTTTCCACACAGAAATCGTTTAAGAACATACAATTTTCTTCTGATTTTTCAATGCTTCGAATTCTCAAAACAAAAACTGTTTTTTCAAATCCGATTACAACAAACAACTAAAACAAAAACCTTATTCCTCAGACTTGAGTTCTTCAGATATCATATAAACTCACACCCAAAAGGCTTTTTAGAGCCCCCCATTTTTTGTTCACCTTTGTCATTCTTAGTACAACAGCTCCTGGAACACAGGATCCACGCTCTGTCCCCACTCTCCATTGTACATTTCCAATAGATTCTCCGCCGGCGTAACTCCTATCATCATTTTCGAAAAAAACAAAATGTCACCACCAAGTTACAGAACAATTCGATTATACATTGGGAAACGTCATTTACCTGTCCTGACCACTTCAGTGACAGCGTTCAAGAAACCAACTTCCTTGTAGCCTCTACGCTCTAAACCATCCTGTGGAAAAAGAAGCCATTATAAAATATATGGTTAGGCAGATGTAATTATGTAAAGTTGGTTTCAAGTTTTCTAAGAAATAGCACACGAACGCACCTTTGCGAGTTTCAGGACATCTTCAGCGACATGCTTCAATAAACCATCTCTAAACGGAGTCTTCAAGCCAGTTACAGGAACCTGTTGCAAACGAAGTATTGGTTTTAAACGAGGATGTTTTCAAAATGTGGAATAAGAGGATGTAAATGTGTGGCTGTGTCTCGTAATTACTTTGTTCCTTAGCATCTCTCTTTCTGCTGCAGTCCAGTCAGCTGTCAGATCCAGGACACCTTGGAGTGTATCTTCGTCATATAATATACCCACCTGAGAAATTTCCAGAAAATATCAAATCCGAGCTTATTGAGTTTCACCATGAAAAACCAACTCATGAAGCAAGAGCGTATAATATGAGGTAATGAATAAATGTATTACCCAGAAAGCTGGTAGGGCACAGAGCCTCCTCCACGGACCTCCATCAGCACCTCTCATCTCCAAGTATCTCTTCAACCGAACCTATTTAATGTTATGGAACTTCGTCAGGGTTCAACGTAAGACAGGGAACTGAAAAGTTTCAGTCAATTGGCTTAAAAGGACTCTTGAGGCAGATGATAAAACCTCTGGGAATATTGTTGTCAGATGATTTTCCCAATCATTATACGTAGGCAGTTCACCTGGGAGACAGGGAAGTTTTCCAGCCAAGAATTGCTGCAACATGAAGAAAACAAGATAACATTATAAATGGCTCAAGAAGGATTAGATTATACGTTAGTAATCTAACAGAAAAGATAAAGGATAGGTTATGACCCGAAATGTCATTCCGGTACAGTCGACGTATTTCTTGTTCCGATAGGCGAAGTACATAGGGACATCAAGTGCGTAGTCAACATACTGCTCAAACCTGTACAAGATAAGAACAAAAGAGAGAGAGCATTAGAATTGAGATTAGCCACAGTGATTCATG